TTTGCTTTGGCAGGAATAGTAGGTTATTAAGTAGTTTGGGGTGTTACTCCAGCCTTACATTCACCATTAATGTCAGTCACAAATGCAGTATCTGGTATAATTATAGTTGGAGGTATGGAATTGATGGATGGAAAATATATGCCAGGATCTTTAACTGGATTATTAGCAGCTATTTCTGTTGCAATTGCATCATTGAATATTTCAGGAGGTTTCTTAGTCACATAAAGAATGTTAAATATGTTTAGAAGACCAACTGATCCTCCTGAATATAATTATTTGATGGCATTAGCAGGAGCAACAGGAGTACTTGGATATTATGGTGGACTCTATTATGGAATTCCTAAAGAACCATTGACAAATCTATCTTATTTAGCATCTTCAATTGCTTGTATCTTAGCTATTGGAGGATTAGCATAATAATAAACAGCTAGAATTGGTAATAGTTTTGGATGTTTGGGAGTTGGATTAGGTGTTGCTGCAACTTTAGGATATAAAGGATTTTCTCCAGAATTATTAGCTTAATGGGCATCTATGGTTATGTTAGGAGCTACTATTGGTGGTACTGTTGCTACAAGAGTTGCTATTACTGATTTACCTTAATTAGTTGCATGTTTCCATTCCTTTGTTGGTTTGGCAGCTGTTTTAACATCAATTGGTAACTATTTACATGTATTCCCTCATTTGGCTGAAGATCCTGCTGCCCTTGTTCATAAATTATCAATATTCTTTGGTATTTTCACTGGTGGTATTACATTTACTGGTTCTCTTATTGCATTTGCTAAATTGTAAAATCTCTTGCCTTCAAATCCAACTGTTGTTCCTTATCATAATTAAGTCAATATTGCATTGGCAGCACTTTCAGTTGCTTCTTTATTAGTATACAATCAAACAGGTAGTTTTGCAGTAGGAATGACAGCATTATTAACAGCTACTGCTGCTAGTAAAGTTTTAGGAGTTACATTAACAAATGCTATTGGAGGTGCTGATATGCCAGTTGTTATAACAGTTTTGAATTCATATTCAGGATGGGCATTATGTGCTGAAGGTTTTATGTTAGATAATCCATTATTAACAATAGTTGGAGCATTAGTTGGATCATCAGGTGCTATTCTCTCATATATTATGTGTAAAGCTATGAATAGAAATTTAACAAGTGTTATTTTTGGAGGATTTGATGTTAATCCAGCAGCTATATAAGCTACAAAAGTAGAAGGAACACATACTGAAATAAATGTTGAATAAGCTGTTGAAATGATGGTTAATAGTAAATCAATCATTATTGTACCAGGATATGGTTTAGCAGTTGCTAAAGCATAATATCCTGTTGCTGAAATGTGTAAAACACTTATTGATTAAGGAATCAAAGTAAGATTTGGTATTCATCCAGTTGCTGGTAGAATGCCTGGATAATTGAATGTTTTATTAGCTGAAGCTGGTATTCCTTATGATATAGTTTTTGAAATGGATGAAATTAATGATGATTTCCCTGATACAGATCTTGCCGTTGTTATTGGAGCTAATGATACTGTCAATTCTGCTGCTGAAGAAAATCCAAATTCACCAATTGCAGGTATAATTTAATATTTATTTTTTAGGAATGCCTGTTTTAAGAGTTTGGTCTGCTAAATAATCAATTGTTATGAAGAGATCAATGGGTGTTGGATATGCTGCTATTGATAATCCAGTTTTCTACAAACCAAATAACAATATGTTATTAGGTGATGCCAAAAAAACTTGTGATGAACTCTCCTCAAAAATTAAAGATCATTTTAAATCATGATCAAATATGTTGTACAATTTCATATAAAATAATACAAAATTTATTTCAATAATAACTTTTTGCATTCTTATTTATTAAACTAAATACTTCTATATAAAAATAATTTACAAATAATAAATTAATATGACAATAAACCATTGAAAATGTTCTTATTCATAATGAAATATTAATTGCTAAATCTTTTAAATGCTATTTTTTATATATATTTTATAAATTAAATCTTAATTTAAATGGAATTTATTCAATATCAAATTTTAAATAATTTTTCATACATCCTTGTAAACCTAAAATAAATTTCTTAACTTATTTAATTTATAAATTATGAAATAAGACAAAAAAACATATCAGTTAAATTATATTTGAAAATTTCTTTAAAAAATTCTTATTTGATAAACAAAAAACGAATCAGTTCTTATGAATATTAGAGATGTTGAATTTAATTGTACTTAAGAATATTTTCTATTAATTAACATAAATTTAAAAATTCTGAATATTATATTATTTCATAATCAAATCTAAGTTTAAAACAAAATACTTATTATAATATCAAATATTAAAAATGTATTATTTAATAAATCCACTAAAATTTTCTATTTTGAAAAATAAATAATATTCTTAAGAACTAATTAATTTTTCTACATAAGAAAATGATTTCCAAAATGATAAGGCAATTTTTTAATATTATAAGTAAAAATAAAAATTCTCTGAAAACATTCTACTTAGAAAATTTAGAATTCGATATCATTTTTAAAAGGTTTTGTTTCTAAAAAGAATTGTTGAAAATAAAATATACTTAAGTTATTAAATATTCCATTTAAGAGTTACACGAAATAAAAAATGTATGCCTTTGTATTTATTTTAATTTAATAATGATTTATGATATTTTAGACATTGCTCTCAGCTCAACACCATAAAAAGGAAGAGCATCTTAAGCAAATACAACAGCTTCACCTAGAAGTTCAAGTGATTCCTCCTTTGAATCGAAATATATGCCTAAATTATAAATACCTAGACCATTGTTGAGTCAAGATGAAAAATTTGAAGCTTCTTTATGTGCATTTGGTATCGCATTCTTATCATGAGATTTTAAACTGTTTATGCCTGATGAAGGAAGTGTCTTTAACCTAAAATTACTTATTTAAGAACTCATGGAAATTAAGTATTTATTCAATTATGATGAAAAACTATTGTATTAAAAAATGAATACATTTTACTACAACCTTGATATTAGTGAAGATAATGTAAATATTCTATTCTTAGTTAAGATCCTTGATGATGACAGAACTACCCTAATGTTAAAAAATATCCCTAAATACATGAGACCAAGTGATTTAAGAAACCTTTTAAATAAAGACTTCAAGTCTTAATTTGATTTTCTTTATCTTCCATCTGATAACAATAACAATGTAATTATTAATTAATCAGATAAGAATGAAGGAAATTTAGGTTATGCATTTGTAAATTTTATTTCCCCTGAAATTGTATTAAAATTTTTCAAGAAATACAATAATAATAAATGGAGTATAAATGATAAAGTAGACTAAGATATTAATTATAAAAGCAAATTTGTTAACTGAAGTATGCAAAATTGTAGGGTCGAAGAGATTTGATGAACTAAATGGAAGAATGATTCCAAACGCATTGATATTTTAATCATTTTTGTTTTTGTTTTTCAACTTTTTTAAATCAAATTTATTATTGTAAAATTAAGGAAATTTTTAATTAACTACGATAAAATTATAATATACTTCAAAGAATTTATGACAATTAAAAATAATCCAAATGGAACTAAATTTTAAATTTAACAAAACAATAAATTTAACAATTATCGATCATATCCTATTGTTAAAGAAATTAAATCCTATTTTATAAAAATATCTATTTAAAAATACATAATATTAAAAAAAAGAATTATTGTTTTATGAATCTTAGAATAATGAACCCTAACACTAAAATTTAAAAAATTTATTTTTTAAGTATACCATTTAATATTATTTAATGATAAAAGTAAATTAAAAATAAGAATTTTTGAAACATTAATTTTTTTTTTTTAAAAGAATTATTAATATTTATATAAAATAATTATGATCAAAAAAGTACTTTAATTTTACAAAATAGAAATTAATAATAGAAAATTACAGATAAAACCTACAAAATTCTAATAAAATATTCCTTTAAGTTTAAAACTATTGACACAAAATATGAATCCATATTTATGAGCGTATTTCTAAAAAGTATATAGTTGATATTATTCCAGCATTAATTTTATTTAAAGGAATACTTTGACTAGATGCCAGATGATAATGAGATTTTGATTGGCATTGATAAATTCAATTTTTAGAATATATTAAATTTCTTTTTAGAATCAAATGTGATGATTGAAAGAAAAAAGATTAATTCTTTTATAAAGGATTACCAGCAAATTTTCCTTTTTTTGTTTTAGAAATTTTAATAAATCTTATATTTATATACTTGTTAACAAGAATGAAAGGCATAAAATCTCATTATGATTATAAAAATTAGAAAATAAAATAAGATATTCTTGATTATTATTTAACAGATCAGTCAATTGAATATGTATATATATATAAAGTATGGACGAAACTTCAGTTTTTTTTACATTCTGGACATATATATTTTTATAATCTCTTTGCTTAATCCTAACTAAGTCCAATACATTTCAGATGAATCCATTACTTACATATCTCACAAAATACATACCTAATATAGTATAATATAATATAAGTACTTTAAATCTGGATTTGCAGGTCTTTTACAGACACAAATCTTTTTCCATTATTCAAAAGGTGGCAATAACTTTTCATTAATATATGAAGCTCTCATAAAAAATATATTATCATTTAGCTCTTCTATATGATCATATTCTTCATAACTTAAAATGATAGCTAATCCAATAATGCTTTCAATTTCTATATAATCGAATTCATTAGTCTTAAAAACCTCATTTTCAGATATACAATCTAAATGATCCTTTTATAACCCTATCAATTCAGTTTTCCTATAAAACCACTATACTTTTATAAACGGTATGCAGTTATTCTCTTGATCCATTAGTTTCACAATCTTAATGAGCTTGNATTGTTAAAGAAATTAAATCCTATTTTATAAAAATATCTATTTAAAAATACATAATATTAAAAAAAAGAATTATTGTTTTATGAATCTTAGAATAATGAACCCTAACACTAAAATTTAAAAAATTTATTTTTTAAGTATACCATTTAATATTATTTAATGATAAAAGTAAATTAAAAATAAGAATTTTTGAAACATTAATTTTTTTTTTTTAAAAGAATTATTAATATTTATATAAAATAATTATGATCAAAAAAGTACTTTAATTTTACAAAATAGAAATTAATAATAGAAAATTACAGATAAAACCTACAAAATTCTAATAAAATATTCCTTTAAGTTTAAAACTATTGACACAAAATATGAATCCATATTTATGAGCGTATTTCTAAAAAGTATATAGTTGATATTATTCCAGCATTAATTTTATTTAAAGGAATACTTTGACTAGATGCCAGATGATAATGAGATTTTGATTGGCATTGATAAATTCAATTTTTAGAATATATTAAATTTCTTTTTAGAATCAAATGTGATGATTGAAAGAAAAAAGATTAATTCTTTTATAAAGGATTACCAGCAAATTTTCCTTTTTTTGTTTTAGAAATTTTAATAAATCTTATATTTATATACTTGTTAACAAGAATGAAAGGCATAAAATCTCATTATGATTATAAAAATTAGAAAATAAAATAAGATATTCTTGATTATTATTTAACAGATCAGTCAATTGAATATGTATATATATATAAAGTATGGACGAAACTTCAGTTTTTTTTACATTCTGGACATATATATTTTTATAATCTCTTTGCTTAATCCTAACTAAGTCCAATACATTTCAGATGAATCCATTACTTACATATCTCACAAAATACATACCTAATATAGTATAATATAATATAAGTACTTTAAATCTGGATTTGCAGGTCTTTTACAGACACAAATCTTTTTCCATTATTCAAAAGGTGGCAATAACTTTTCATTAATATATGAAGCTCTCATAAAAAATATATTATCATTTAGCTCTTCTATATGATCATATTCTTCATAACTTAAAATGATAGCTAATCCAATAATGCTTTCAATTTCTATATAATCGAATTCATTAGTCTTAAAAACCTCATTTTCAGATATACAATCTAAATGATCCTTTTATAACCCTATCAATTCAGTTTTCCTATAAAACCACTATACTTTTATAAACGGTATGCAGTTATTCTCTTGATCCATTAGTTTCACAATCTTAATGAGCTTGGCCACATAGACAGATCTATTATCACCTCTTATGCATAAATTTTGACCAACATGATATATTTAGTTTAGGTATTTCAGCTTTGGATAATTAGTTCTAAAAATAAGGAGAATGCCTTAACCTTGACTTTTTATCAGTTTGTAAAATTCTTATAATCGATTTTAAATCATTTCTCCTTAGAAAATTTTATAAATGACTCTGCTTTCTTTAGAGATTTTAATCATCTTTAAGAGTGGAAGTAGAGGAAATCTTTTGTTCCTACGATACTGACATCTGATATCTATTTGAGATTTAAAATAAAATTAATCAAATATTTTAGTTGCTACTAAATCTTTATATAGTTAGATTACTAATACGTAATAGTTGAAATAATTAAGTAAACTTAAATCTAAATATAATCAATTAAATAATCAGTTATAGTCAATTTAGATTGATTATCGAATATAACTCTTGTAGATTTAATCCTTAGAAGAAAAAGTTAATTTTTAATTTCTTTGTTTGAAAATGATCTATATCCTATTATCAAAAAGTAAATTTAAAGTTTAGGGCATTTTTTGCAAAAATTAATTATGATAATTTCAATCAGAATAAGTCATTTAAATATTCATAAATTTTCATTTATAGTATATATTGAAGTATAAGGAGTAATTAGAGAAGTTGTTTGCAAGGAATATGGTATCATAAAAATATAATTCTAATAAATAATTCTAAATCATTGAAATAATTAATTAAATTATCGCAATATAAGAAAACTTTATTTTAAGATAATTATAATGATAACTTGATTATTATATTTTAAGGAAACATTTATGTATTTACTTTAAATCATAAATTTAAATAAAATAGAATAATGAAACAAACTTGATAAACTATTTACAAAATAATTAAAGATTCAAAATTTTTATGATGAATTTGAAATGATAATAATAGAGATGAATATCTATAAATAAATAGTATCATTTAAGAATTTGATAATATATTTTGTTGAAAGTTTATATAATTGATTCCTAAGAATTGTATTTTTTTTACAAAGATGAAATAGGCTTTATTATTTTATTAAATAGAGTAGTAATAGTTAAGATAATTTGGATAAAGATGAAAAATTGAAAAAATAAATAAAAGGTTTAGGAATAGAAATGAACAGTATTATAATTAATATTAAATATATAAAATACTTTAACAAATTAATGCAAAATTTTGAGACTGTAGAGGTAGTAAATCCAACAGTTGATTATTTAATGACAAAATGTGGATAAAATCTTTATGAGCATTACTTATGTGAAAAAGAACCTGGATATAATTGTGAAGTTTTAGCAAATTGGCAATGTGGAGTTGTATAATAGGAATTTTTAGTATGTAAAATAAATAACAATAAAAGCCATTCGATCATGGTGAATCAAAATATGCGATATTGAATAAATGGATAGATGAGGATGAACCTGTAATTAATTATATAAAAAGTTATAGCATTTTAAAACGATTGATAATATGACTGCAAAGGGAGTGAAAATGATGAGAATATAATAGCCATCAACAGGATAAGAAACATTTGATGATGCTAGATCATAGAAAAGTTAGTCTTCATCTAGATTTTCTAGAGGTTCAATAGCAAAATTTTAAAATTCTGTAAGTAAAATGAAACTTATAAATAAATTGGGTGGATCTTCTCAATAGATGACAACATATTAAACGACAATCGAAGAAGAATATAAACCAAATTTAATAAAAATGCCAGAAGCTAAAAAACCTCCAACTCCAGATGCTATTATAGAAAGACTTCGTGAATAGAGAGAATATTAAACATTAGATAAATAGAAAGAGAATGAAAGAATGCGTAAAATAAAAGAGGATTAAATTGAATAAGAGGAGAAAAAGAAAGAGTAGATGAAATAATTGAAAAATAAATAGTATACATATGACTATGATGGTTAAGTAGTTTTTCTTACAACAAAGTATGTATATATGTATATAAATTAATAGGCCAATAGATTTATAAATAAATGAAATATTATAACCAGAGACAAAAACTAATTAGCCTTAGAGAGTGATGAAAGAGGTAAATTCATAACCTGAAATTAAACCAGTTAAAGAGGCATTTGCAAAAGGAGAAGAAGATAATAGAAAATTAGAAAAAGCAGCAGCTGTTGAATATCCAAAATAACCACCTTTAATAGAAGCCATGAAGGTTATATGAATAGTTATTCTAGTCTAAATAAGGTACAAATATCATTTTTGATAATGGATATATAAAAGAAGGAGGTGACTATAAAATTCCTGATAGAATGAGTAAAAGAGATTATTAAACTATGGTTTTTGGTTTATAATAAAAAAACAAAAAGTAATTTGAAGATTAAGAAGATGGTGTTGTTGAAGATATGGATACATACGAATAAAAATTATTTGATGCTATCAATCATGAAGGTGATAGAAATATTAAAATTTAAAATGAATAACATTTTAAATGGATGATGGAAGATGAAGATATTAAAAAATCTTATAGATCTTCTTCAGCAGACTCAGCTAATGCAAAGAGTATTTATGAAAGTAAAAAACAATCTAAAAAACAAACCAAAGAAAAAGAAAAGATTAGTCCAAAGAAATTAAAATCTTAATTTGATAGAATTAATGCTTATAAAAATTGTAACACCTTTTTCTAAACATTTAGTTGACGATATGAAAAAACCTTAAAATCTCAAAGCTAGTAAATTACATAAAGTTTTGAATGAATTTGATTCCAAATTACAAAGTCCAAAATGGGGTTATACTGAAGATAAAGAATTACCTTTACCAAATTCAACTATTTATAAATTAAAACATAAATCTGAAAGTTAATCTAAATTACCACCTCTGAAATAAAAAGGAAAAACTTGAGCTTTTTTATTATTAAATATATTAACAATTATAATATGGATAAGGTTTACAGCTTTAAAGCTAAAAATTAAGTTGGTCACATTAAATAGGTTATAAATCAAGAACAAAAGCTTCAATTTTACAGTGAAGAAGAAGGAGAATCTACTAAATCTAAAGATAATACTCCTAAAACTAATTTAAAACCTAAAGCAAAAGCACCTATTCAAAATGGATATCAAACTGATGATTCAGATTAAGGTACTCCAAAAAATTAAAAACCATAATCTAAATAACCTTAAGGTATTACTTATTTTTATTTAGCTCCTAAGATGTCGAAATTCAGCAATCTTGTCAATACTAAGAAGGTCGAGGGAGACGTTGAATTAGAACCAGACTTTAGTGACCAAGATAAAAAGCAATAACCAGTATAAGTTTAATAACAAGAAGGAAATTACAATATTGAAGAACAAGCTAAAAGGATATAATAAAAATTGAGTTAATAACCCTAATAAAACGTGAAACTCAGTAAAACCAAGTATTTAAATTTTATCTATCTTAGATAAGCTGTCTCGATGTAAAATCTCAATGTTAATTCTGATAATGAACACACCAAAAAGAATTCGTACAATAATGCCAAAGATAAATTGAGTAATCATCCTTTTCGGCATCTTATTTTTGGTCCAAATGTCAACGAATAAACATTTAAAAAGCATTTGATATTAACTTAAAGAGGTCTAATCTATGCTCGAAAATGTCTTAAAGGACCTTCTGACAAATTTATATAATCAAAAAAAATTCAACTTTCAGAGGCCAATCCAAAAAAAGATAAAACCTTAGTACTTGATCTTGATGAAACCTTAATTCATTCGTGCACTTCAAGAGAAAATCCTTAAGTGTATGTAACAGCTGTTGGAGATTATGGGGAGGAGGCTAAAGTAAAAATTTTTTTATAATAATTAGATTGGGTTTAATATTCGTCCATATACAACACTGTTCTTGTAGTAGTTATCTTAATATTATACTATTTACATATATACAGCATCATCTTAAGCTTATGCATCCGCTATCATAAATTATTTAGATCCAACTAAATAATACATCTCGGGAATTATGACTAGAAATAATTGTATGGAAACTAAAAATGGTTTTTTTATTAAGGACTTACGATTAATAGGTAATAAAGAATTGAAAGATATACTAATTGTTGACAATTTAGCTCATTCTTTTGGATTTTAAATTGAAAATGGTATTCCTATTTTGGAATGGCATACTGATTAAAATGATTAAGAATTAAAATATTTACTAGATTACTTAATTGAAGCAGTCAAATATCCTGATCTTAGGGAATATAATACAAAAAAATTAAGACTGGATGATTTGATTGAATTTCATATTGAAGAGTGAGATATTTTTATTGTTTATTTCATCAACAGTTTTATAAAATTATTTACTGAATAGCTGTTTATAATTTAAATCTATTATTGAAATATTCGATTATTATTTTTAGAGTTGTTTTTATCTTACAATTCATTAAAATAATCATGTTTAAAATTAATCAATAAAATATAAATTGTTAATATGGAAAATATTGAAATAAGAAAATTTTCATGCATCAAAAATTTGAAAAAAAAATAAAATAATTTTTAATAAAAAAGGTATCTTACTTTGAGATTAAACTTTAATAAATTACATTATTACTTAGACAGAATAAAATTGTACATAGATAATCTGAACTGTTAAAAAATTTATTCTGTATTAAAATATTGATAAATTTTTTAATTATAGTAAAATATAATGTATCTTTAGTAAGAATAAAAAAGTTGTCATATTTTAGTTGATGGATTCAGAATTAAAAAACTATATTTATCAATAATATTATTTTAGTTTAATAATATTAGTTATTTTTAATGAACGACTCTGATTCTTAAATCAATAATCCTCTAAGTAATAGCCATGTCTCGAATTCAGAATAAGAATAATTAATACGTTAAGAAGAATCAGATTGCGAATACGAATGTTCATAAAATCCAATGTTAACAGAAGAAGATAATAAGTCTATTGTTATAAATAAGCTAATATAACATTCATGTATTATTAATTTTATCTAAGAATCTTCTAATTAAAGAAATAAGAAAAGTTAGTTAGGATCGTTTTTGACTTCTTAATAATTAGAATCATAATAATACAAAATATCTGTTTAGTATGTAGATTCTAACATTGGTAATCCTCTTTGTTCAGGAGAAGAAGAAATATAAGAGAATTTGAAGAATATGAAGGAGAAACTTCAATAAATGGAAATAAAATTTGAAAGTTAGGCAAATGAAATAAAGGAAATTCAAAGTAAAAAATCATTAAAAATTCAGACAATTTTAATAAAACAAAAGAAGAATTAGAATAATTGAAATCTGAAAATGATACTTATAAGAAAGATAACATTGAGATAAGATAATAGATGTAGAATTAAGAAAGTGAAATTCAAAAAATCTAAAATTTGTTATCATTAATGATATAAGAAAAATAATTAAATCGTTATGATCAACATATTTAAATTTCGAATAAAAGATCCAAAACAACAGTTGAATTAAGCAAAGATATAATTAATAATTAAGAAGATCAAATAAAATAAAAGCAAAAGCAAACTAATAGTAATGGATCTCTAATAAAATTAAATGAAACTCCATTGTCTTAATAATAAACATCATTTTTAATAAATAGTTCTAAAAGTTACTACCAAAAACCATTCACACCTCAAGTTTAATTATTTAATGCCAATCAATTAGCAGCTCTTTTGAAATTACGTAATAATATATTTAATTAAAGCTATGAATCGAAAGGAAGAAGAAAGAAAAGAATTGCAATAGAAATTACTTGGAAAAGACTTTAATTATTTATTTCATAAGCCAACCAAATCTAGTTGTAAGATTTTAATTAAGATTATAGCAATAAATCTTAATCAAGTTAAAGGCTAAGGAATACCGTCATCCTATTCATTTATTAATACCTCTCTGACAAAATGAAGATGGTTTTTTTAAATACTAATAATTTTATATGTCTCTATTTTTCTCCTTTATTTTGGCATTACAGTCTAAATACAGATTTTCAATCTTAGCTATATCTTTTTTGATTAATTAGCAAGCTTTTTCAGCATAATCTTTTATTTTTTAAATACCTCATTACTATAACTACTCTAAGCAGATTTCCCAATTTTTAAATAATTCTAAAAATATTTTACCTCTTCTATAAGCAAACATTTATAAAGGATTTTCTTAAATCTATAAATAAATTTTAAAAATAAATAAGTGTAAATCGAACTTAAGTTAAATTAAAATCATTTTTTCATTTTTTTTCATAAGAATCTTTTTATTCATACCTCCATTTTAATTTAATATTTTATTTCCTTTCTTTTTCAACTATCTGTTTTAATCAAAATTTTAATAGCTAAAATGATTCCACTAAATTCAAAGAAAAACCTTTTCAATTTTTATTAAGAACATCTTAAATTTTATCGAATTCTTTCTAAAACTTCCTTCTGTCTTGATATACAAAAATTGCCATTAAAGCATCGGTTTCGCTTGGTTTGAGAGTTTAAATTTTCTTTTCTTTTTTCTAAAAAATGTTTTCTTAATCTAATTGATTATAGACATTATCTATTTAAAGATTTCAATTTAACTAAAACTTAATCTTATTGAGTTATACAATATGTTAATTCAAATTGATAAACTAGTTTATGAATAAAAGCATCTACTATATTAATGAATTTCTGATCAAATTCTCTAAATTTCTGATTGCTGAAAGACTTAATAGATGACATATATAAATCTCTTATATTTTATATTATGTTTAAATGCTTATTGAATTACACTGTTAGCAACAACAGTCTTACCTTCAAAAATGCAGGTATAAATAAATCCTCATTTTTTTTAAATGATTTAATAATGGGTTCTTTTTAAAATCATCCAATTCAATTTGGTATTTTAAATAGATTTTGCACTTGGTCATGAAATTTTGACATCTCTTTTTTTTTGATTCTCAACTGCATATATTAAAATTTCTTTGTTAATATCTAACTATTTTTTTAACAAAATATATAAAATTAGTAAGATTAAAGCATTTCTTTTTTTTTAATATCTCTTAATTTACTTATATGCCCACTTTGATCAAATATTGTATCTATTAAAATTCTAATTATATAATGATCTTAATTTATCACCAAGTTTTTACCTTTTCTGGCCCTCCTTTATCTTTAATTAATCGACCTTTATTGATTAAATTTTTGCTAAAGAATTTCAAGATCAATTTAAAAATAACTAGAACTAGCACTTTCGATTTCATAATGAAACGCATAATAATTAATATTTAATGCTTATTCTTCTTACCTGAATGGAGAGAAATATTAGTTAATTCATAATCCTTGTATTTTCATCATTGTACTAATTCTCTTATCAAATTTATCAATCTAATTAAGTGATTTATATTAAAATTTAATCAATTTGTAATTGTAATCGTATTCTTATGATTCATTTAAATGTACATTTTATCAAGTATTTTTTGCTTCTATTTCTATTCAAGAATATTACTCGCCATTATTGATATAATGGATCAAATTATTATGAGCAGCTTTGTCTTTTGTTTGATTTTAAAATAAAAAAGCATTTTCATATATTCTTAATCTTCATTCATTTTATTTATATTATATATTAATTCTCATTCTAAAAATGAAATTATTTTTGTAGTTATTAAAATCTAAAAGAACGTAACAATAATTCTTGGTTTTTTATTAAGCTTTAAATTTTTGTTTGAAAAAAAAAAAGAAAATAATAAAGGTCTTTAAAAGTATGAAAATTACAACAATCCATACCTAATAATAATTCAATTTTAATTTAAATAAATAATCGACAACAAATAGATTCGAAATTAGATAAATTAATCAAAAATTATAGTTTAAGGAAGACAAAGGATTCAAGCCTAACCCTATTAATCGTGAGAGAATTATTAAAAGAATATTATTATCCTTATTGATTAATATATAGCTTTTATTAACTTCAAAGAAATATTTATATCTATGTTTAAAAAATTTATAATATATTAAAAAAAAACTTTTAATTTATAATATTATTTTATAATGTAAATATTATTTTGATTAAAGTAAAAATTATGTTGGAGTTGATTCTATAATTAATTTATTTGCAATGAATAACCCACTCTCTTGTTCTGATCCTTTGTTCAATTTGTTTAATGGAGGCTTAGGATGCTCTCTGAATGGATGTGGCTAATACAATAAATGTTTATAAGTGCTTAATGAAAAATATATTGAGACAACAGGATGTTGTCGTATGAAAATTTTAGAGCCAAATTTTGTGACAGTTTTTGTTTATATATTGATTGTCCCAGTAATAGGAATAGCTAGTTTGGGAGCATTAGGAGGTATAAATATAGTAATTTTGATTTTAGGAGGAATTGTAAAACGTCCATTCCTCTAAGCAATTCTGAATTTTGATGCAAGTATAGCAGGGGATATTACTGCTTGCCTTATGATTAGTGCTTAAATAGTAAATATGGTGTTCATATTTCTCTAAAAGTAATTTTATAGATTTAGAAAAATAGTCATCCAGATGTGCCAGAAAGACCAGTTATCAACTATGATATAGCAATAATTTATACTTTAGCTATTCCAATTGGTTTGTGTCTAGGAAGTGATTTAGCAAACTTTCTACCGTTACTACCATTACTTTCATTTCAAATTCTATTTTTTTTAGCAATCTCCCCTATTTTAATATATTATGGTAGAAGATAGAATGAATTGGAAGATGGAAAGATTCAGAATAGTAGTTTGGTAAATGAATCAGCACTTTTAACTGTATCTTAACAATAGATTTAAAATCATAGTGAATATTCTGAAAGTTAAGCCAAACTATACAAATAGCTTTATGCTTAATAATGTTAAAGATTTCCTTTAGTACCTATTTTGATAACTTTAGGAAATTTTGTGATAAATGAGGTTGATTTTTTTATTAATTATTAGCTTATATTATTGTTAAGATCTTCTCCATATCAATATTCTCCATATTTCTTTCCTAATGGAGATCTAAATAATAATTATAGAGATAAAGGTCCTTGTGAACCTTGGAACTTTTATATGGTTCTTTTGTTGACTGCCGTTAACTTTTTGATAACAGGTTCAGTTTACTTTTTTATGAGAAAAAAGGAATTGTTAAAAAATACAGTAAACTTTTATCCTCATGAACGTTACTTTACACCAGTAAGAAGATTCTTTTTTGTTTATGCAGCTGGATTTCTAACAGGATTTGTAGCTGGTTTTGTAGGGATGGCTGCTGGATTAACAATGGTTGTAACTATGGTTTAATTTAAATTGATTGCAGCAGTGGCAGGTGCAACAGCAAATTATTGTTATTTTTTAATTTGTATTTAAGTGTATACAAATTTCCTTGTTGGTGCATCTTAAAGTTAAGGTTTAGGTGTTGGAGAATAATTCTTTTTTTATGCTTTAGGAGTATTGAAATAATTAAAAATTTTATAGGTTCTAGCAGTATTGACATTTACAAATTATGGATATAAATTATTAGTTAAATATAATATAGGTCATATTATATTTTATATTGATCTTGCAATTGTTGTTTTAAATATAATTGGAAATATTGCATCGGGTCTTGAAACTGGTTACCGGGATGGTTTCCGTTCATTGGAGTAACAGCCTTCAACATGTGGAAATTATGTCTTAGATAACTGAAAGAATATTTATTTATTTTAATTTAATTAAAATAAGATTTTTTTTGCACACCAAAATGGTCAAGATGATATATTTTAATGGATTTTAAGTTTGATTTAAGGTTTAATATAGACATATAGAAAGTTGAGGCCTTGTAATTGAAATTGTAGAATTATTTATTGTGTAATGCGACAATCAGTTAAGTTAGCATATTCTAATGTTCTTAGAAATACTAAAATATTCTATAATTATTTTTATAATGTCTTAAATATTGACATGTTAAAATGATCAATACTCTCTATTTTAAGGTGTAGGAACAATCAATTGTCAAAGCTCTTCTTGTGGATAGTTCTCTGCATGCAACAGTTTAATTTTAAATGGAAAACCAACTGGATAAGTAGGTTGTTGTAGAGAAGGTGTTTTATATCCTAATGCAGTTTCAATTATAGTGTATATTCTTATTATTCCCATTATTGGAATAGGAAGTCTTGGAGCTTTAGGAGGTTATTATATTATTAATTTCATTAGGTGGTGTTGTAAATAGACCTTTTTTAGAGGCTATTCTAAATTTTAACCCTTCTACATCTGGTGATATTACTGCTTGTCTTATGTTCGGAGCACAATTAGTGAATCAATTCATTATCTTTTTTTAAAGGTATATAATTTTATTCTATGTTTATAGACATCCTAACTCTCCAGAACGACCATTAGTTAATTTTGAGATAGGATTAGTATATGCCTTAGGAATACCTATATCCATGTAGATTGGAATGGAATTGGCTAACTATTTACCTCTTTTGCCATTGTTGACTCTATAAATGCTTTTTTTTATCATTATTTGTCCAGTGCTTTTGTATTTCGCAAAATCTGAACAAAAAGTTGAAAATAACAAAGAAGTTAATTCTGAAATGCAACAATCATCAATCATTACTATAGAATAATAAATCAAGGGCAACTTAATTGAAGAATAACGAATGGCTGAATTATTTAAATAGCTTCAAGAAGAATCATGTCAAAGATTTCCTTTACTACCAATACTTTTGGCTTTTGGAAATTTTGCAATAAATGAATTAATAATTTTATTAAGAACTACATCCTATTAAAAATCACCGTATTTTTATCCAGATGATTAAAATTTTGGTAACAAATTTTCTGCTTGTGAACCATGGAATTTTTATATGATGGTTTTATTATTTGGAGTTAATTTAATTATCACACTTTGGGTATTCTTTTATATGAGAAAAAAAGAATTCCTTAAAAATACTGTTAATTTTAATATGAATGAACGCTATTTTACTCCTATTTCAAGATTTTTTATGATTTATGGAGCTGGTTGGGCAACAGGATTTGTTGCTGGATTTTTAGGAATGGCAGCTGGATTAACTATGTTTGTAACTATGATAGAATTTGGTTTAGTTGCTGCTGCTGCTGGAGCAACTGCTAATTATGGATATTTTATTATATGTTTACAAGTTTTTATTTCATTTGTTGTTGGAGAATATTAAGATTTAACTTTAACAGTTGGTTATTAATTTTTCTTTTATGCAATAGGAGTATTTAATTATATTTAATTTAGGCTATTGGTGTTTTAATCTTCACTAATTTAGGGTATTATGTGATCAAAAAATACAATGTAGGGCATATTTTATTCTATATTGATTTTGCTTTGGTATTACTCAATATGATTGGCAATATTGCTTGGGGTATTGAATAATCTGAAAGGTTTTCATATCATGCTTTGGTTTATAATCCACAGAGTTGTACAGCTTAGATCATAAGCAAAAGTTCAGTGCAATGAACTTTATTTATTTATTTATTTATTTATTATTAAAACAACAAAACACAAGTTTTTATAATACTAATTAACTTATATATTTATTTATTAATTAAATAATTATACTTTGTGTCTATTCAATAAATTTTATTTTTTTCTGAATTAAATATTAAACTAACTAAAGAGAATTAAATTTTAATCTATCTTTAAATATTTACAGGATTATTGATCTATCTATTATTTTTTATTTCTAGTCAACATTGCTAACTTAAAATACTTTTTATTCATTTTTGTAAAGCAAAAACTATTTTAATTATGATTAATAGTATAATTGATGATATTTTTAAAATTTATTGAAAAATGAAATAAAAATAAATCATTCTTCTTGTTTGATCTCAACTAGATTGACAGTACCATCTAATTATAAGAAGGTTTAGGATTTGACTATTCTTCCTGAATTAAATCCTTAATTAGCTAATAAAGCTGATAGAATTCTATCAGGTGGAGGAGCAGGATCAACTGGCCATTAATTTGGATTTGGTGTTGTAGTGAATGCTCCATCTCCAATTCCCAAATACCAATCAAATGCTTCACCCTAAAATAAATATTAAATTATTGATTACATCAAACATTTTGCCATAACCATCTTCTGCAAAGAAGACACTTAAATAATGAGGAACAAAATGATAAATATCTTCAAATAAAAAGGAGTTCTCACTCTAATCAATAAATCTAATATAAGCATATGCTTATTTTAATTTAAATGAGTAACCGAAATAGAAATAAGTCCATTTACCCCATTATTTATTCATATCAAATTCATGTATAACTATAAATATATAAATAATTAATTACTTGATCCATCATCATCATCAACAACTTCCAGATCTCCATAATCATAAGTACTATAAATCCATTTACCTTTATCAGCAAATATTGTAAGTGTTCTATCTCCTGCATTTTCATTGTCTTTTTAAATGTCTGGAGTATTTTATGTTACTCTCACAAGAGTAGTCCATTCTGTAATATTTCTTAATTTATTTCCTTTAGCAAATCCATAAACACTATATTCAAATACTCCACTATATTTTTCTTCATATGATTTGAATACTCTCTCAGTAATCTTTGCTTTCTCAACTTAAACAGGCTCATTATCTTATTTCTCTTTATAAGGTGGATAAGCTCTAAATTTTGGAATCAAATTGTTTATCAAATCTTCACTTGTCTCTATATAACTACCCTTTCCTAAAAATACTCTTGGATCAAACAATTTCCCTTAAAATGCAGAATGTCCAAATTCTTTTTTCCCTACTACTAATCTAGCATAATTTCTTAATAACCAATGTTTAGCATTATCTATCTCTATTCTCTTTACTACATTAACATTTGATAAGAACACATATCCAATCCCTTTAGGATTTGTAGGAATTCTTTTATAACAGAAATAAATGAAATTCCAATATCCTTCCAATTCTTTATCAAATTTACTACCTGTACTTATATCATTTTTATTAAGAACAGCATCATATGTACTAAACTTATATTCTCCTCTTCCAACAAATGCTGAAACTGTTCTATCTCCATTTTATTCAGCATCTTCATATTATGCATTGGTTGTAAATCTAAAAATTGAATGTGAATCAGCTTTTTCTAATAAAATAAACGGATAATTCATGAGCCATCTTGTCCATATTCCTATACCATATTCAAATATAGCTTCAATATCTGAACCAGGGAAATTACTCTCTGTAATTTCTACATCTATAGCTGCATTATCATTTTAAGCAACAATTAGTGCATCCTCATCTTTTTAGATAAAAAATTCAAATTAATTATTCAATTTATAAGGAATCCAAGCTGGTAAACTCTCTTCTGTTTCAACCTTATTTACAAAATGCCAACATTAAGTAGTACCATAACAAGCATGAACATGTCTTGATTTTCCAATAAAATTCTTATTGATACCATCTTTTCCAAAATAAACAGCTAGATACTTTGGAGAAAAATGGAGTGTTTTTTTCATCACACCACCTTTACTTATATCAGGAAATCCTAAAAACCATCCTGTTTATTGATCAAATCTCGAATATCCTACCCAAATATACATCCAAATTCCTCTGTATTCTCCTAGTTCAACTTCTGTCTGTCTATTTACTTCATAATCTTTATCTATAAATCCAATATCATATGTGCCAAATATCATAATTCCTCCTTATTAAATTGCTGTTAATGTTCTATCTCCTAAAATAGAAGCATCACTCAAATGATCAACTTCATTATTTGTTAATCTAATGATTGTTTAAGCATCAGTATTAGACAAGTCACCATAATATTTAAACCATCCATAAACAGAATATTATTCAGTTTCAGTTGCTTGATGTTCATAAATAAAAGTCTCATAAGTTTCAGTATCTTTATTATCTGCTCCTTAAATTTCATGATCTTTAGTTCCCAATTCTTCATCAACAGGAACTTTATATAATTCCATCCAAGTTTAGAATTCTTCAATTTCACAAATAAATGAACCTCTACCCATACGAACTACTGCTGATGCCATTCTACCATTGAATCCAAATTAACTATTTTTCCAATTTCCAACATAAAAACGAGCATAATTATTAGCAGGATCTGCATCAAATGGATCAAACTTAGTTCTTTATATTTGTTACAATTTATTAAAATTTACATAACCAACAGAAATTTATTATAATTTGGAATAACTAAAATAAATGTAGTTCCAATATCCATCCAAATTTTTGCCATATTACACTGGCCTCATTGATCCAGCCCAGAATTCATAATCTCCTCTGCCAATATAAACACCAAATTCAGCTTAATCATTATCACTAAAACCTAATCTGGCTATCAAAATACGATCTGGTTTTTCATATATACGAGAAGGATTTGTAATAAAGAATTTAGTCCACATTCCGAATCCATATTCATATATACCATCAGTAACCCATTCAGATTCTTCATGCAATAAACTATCATACTCTGATTCTTAAGTATGGGTTATCCATTTAGCATCATATGTTTTCATTTATACTCCAGGCCAAAATTTGTTCTTTCCTATTTTATATTCATCAAATTCAGTATAAACTCCCCAAGATCCTTTTCCAAATCTTAAATTTGAATAAGCTGTTTTACCTTGGAAGGTATATTTAGAATCTTAACCTAGGTACAATGCCCAATATTTAGCAACAACATGCCATCCCTTGAATTGTTTAGTGGCAGTACTATCTGGCCATTCAATATAAAATTGTAAATCTTCATTATTGTATCCATAATATACATAAGTCCATAATTACTAAGATTCTTAATTAATTTTGACACTTTCTACAATATTGCTAAATTTATCTTAATTTTCAACTGTATAAGTTTTAAACAAATATTCAATGGTATCAGTTTAATATAAGGAAAGTACATTATGTCCATGAGCAACTTCTCCAGAATCAGGTTCATTTGATGTCAATCTAAAAATGAGTTAATCAAGTTTATCTGCTCTTCGAACATATCTGAACCAAGTAGAAAAAGAGTATTCTCTATATCTATCTAAATCCCAATGTAATTTAGGTTCTGTTATTAATCCATCATATTCAATTTTTTCATAATATTAATTTTCCAAATAATCTAAATCAGTCTCACTTGGAACAGGATATTCAGTCTCAATTGCATTCTTCATAATAATTTCATCCTCAATAAAAGAATCTTTATTTAAGACAACTCTGATATTAGTAATAATTCCATTGAAAGCTTTGTAGCTAGACCACCAACCTGATGAAAATTTGATAGTATTTAGAATAGATTAATAAGTAATGGTAAAAGTCACACTCTTGATAGTTTAAGTTCTTGCCCAATAGACATAACCATTTGCTTTTCCTTCTTTATATCCAAAATAAACATAAATCCATTCAGCATCCAAATATTTACCATAATCTACTTATTATTCTGTCGCAGTATCTCCATCAAATACTTAGAAGTTATAAAAGCCTTCACCAATAAGAGTCAAAAGTCTACTTGATCCATCTCCACTTAAACCTCCAACTACTAATACATCTTTTTTCTCTGAAATTTTAATAGCCCCATTATATCTAAAGTATGTCCATAATCCATAACTATATTCATTGGATCCCTTTATTCTTGTCTCAGATCCATGATTTACTTCAACTTCCCATTTAGATGATTCTTAAGTATGGATATTTACATGTTTATCATCAGATTTGTAAATGAGATATTGTATTTCTTCAGGAGGATCAACAGGATATTCTAATCTACCAAAATCATCATCATCTTCTTCAAAAATTTCTTCAACAATTTCTTCTACAATTTCTTCTACTATTTCTTCAACAATAATTTCTTCCTCAACCTCTTACTCTTCTTCAAACATTTTATTATCATCAGGAGTAGGTTCAGTCTCTATTTCTTCCTCTACAATTATTTATTCTTCTTATTAAGGTTCAGGTTCTGGCTCTGGCTCAGGCTCAGGTTCAGGTTAAGGTTGTGGTTAAGGTTCTGGTTCTTCTTCATCATCTTCAACAACAATAATAATTGGTTAGTCTTAACATCCAGGATATCCACATCCTGTTTAATAGGCACTAGGTCCATTAGCTGCATCAATTAAAGTATCAATTAAATCTTCTAATACTTCATCAGTACATCCTTCTTCTTCAGATAAATATTCATATTCTTCTTCATAAAATTCTTCATGAAATGGTTCATCAAGAGGAGGTTCATCTAAACATTCCTGAGTTTTTCTAGCTTCTTCTGCTAATCTTTCTGCTTCTTCTACTTTTTTTCTTGCCTCTTCTGCAGCTTCTTAAGCAGCTTTTAATCTTCTTTCTGCTTCTTCTGCATCTACACAGGCTTCTTCCTCTATTCTTTATGCCTCTTACAAAGCTTATTCAGCAGCTTCTGCTCTTTATGCAGCTTCTTTAGCTATCTCTTCTTCTTTTTCTGCTTCTTATTAAGCTTCTTTTTCAGTAGTCTATGCCTCTTCTAATTCTTATTATGCTTAAATTTCTGCTTCTTCAGCTAATTATAATTCTTGTTCGGCTTCTTTATCTAGAGCTTCAGCTTCTTCAGGTGTAAGTTCTACACTATTTTTCAACTCTTCTAATTCTCTAGCTTCTTCTTCCTTTCTTCTTTCCTCCTCTATTGCTTATTATTCTCTTTATTTTGCTTCTTCTTCTGCCTATACTCTTGCAGCTTCTTATTCTTATTCCACTCTCTATTTCTCCTCTTCAGCTTTTACATCTGCTTCCAAAAAAGGTGCCCACACATCCTTACATGCAGAAGTTTTTTAATTTACTCTTGTTGACAACTCATACAAATCATCTATCTCTACTGGTATTGAATTTAATTATAATTAGATCTCGGTAATTTATTGAATTAACTCTGAGATCTTCCCTGCAATCATAGTCGCTAATTATAACTTATCTTCGTCACCTAATTTATTATTATCAAATTTAATTACTTTTTGCTTTATTCAATACTTCAACATAACCCAATATATCATTAATATCATACCATGATGACAATGACTCTATCTCTGATAACTTTTTAAAGTGTTTTGATAATTGATGATGTATATGTTTCACTTACACAAAAGTGCTTCCAGAAATATGTTATACTGAAGCTAATACCTTATCCACTAGTGCTTTTACCATTGCCAAAACTTACAAATCACCATCAAAACCATCCTTATGTTTCACTATATCAATCCATTATTCTATATCATGTTCAGCTCCCAATTACTCTTTATATGGTGGATTTTCACATGTCCATCCAGAAGGATCTATTCCTAAAATTGTTTCCAATGGAGTTATTTATGTCTTAACTGCAACCTTAAATTATAATGATAGGTTAATAAACAGCAACACCATAAACATTTCTTTGTACATTTTAATATTAATAATTCGTTTTTATTATAACTATAGAGATTTCTTTAATTATTTTTATTTAATTTCTTTCCATTACTCTAAATGTCTTAATTCAATATATTATCTTCCTTCAATTCTCTATATTCCTATCATTTAATTACTAAAACCTCTTTTCTAATATTTAAATCACTCATCTCATTTTAATACAAATTCACTTTTTACATATGATTTATAATAGATATAATTTTCAATAATTTATTATAATCTGAAAAAATATATTTTTATTATTAAAATTAAATGAAAACTCAAGGATTACATAAATTGAATAATCTTCTAGAAACAGTCAACATGAGAAATCAAGAGTTACTGTCCTAGTTACAATCTGACTTTAAATCAAGAGAAACATCACCACCCAAGCCCAAAATTTTATCAGCTTCACAAATGGAAATGCAATAATTGGCAGAAAAAAATAAACAATTAGTTGAAGATGTACATATTTTGCTCATTTATTTAAGCTTAATTTTTTGAATTTAAGTTTTAAAGAATTGAAATTAGGCACAGATGAATTGAACTCTAAAAATTAAGCACTTAAAAAACATGTTAAAGAACTTTTATAGACCCTTAAACATAAGGAGGATGAACTTAGAAAAGCAAGAGAGAAATAAAAAAATGGAGAATAAATAGAAGAAAATAAAAATCAAGAAAAATCTGTCATCGATTATGCTATTTACATGGAAAAATAATTCTAGACTTTAGAAGATAAAGTCAAAAAGTATAAAAAACTTTTAGAAAAGAATGGATATGATGACTAATTAGCTAAAAAAGTAAAGATCTTAATAATCTAAGGTTGAAGAATAAAAGAAGATTATTTAATAATTAAATTCAGAAAAAGAGTCTATTAAAAAAGAAAAAGAAGATATCTAAAATCAGATAAAAAATTAAAGGCCAGATGCGGAAGCTCAACTAAAATTACTCACTGAAAAAATTTAAAATAATGATAAACTACATATTTAGGAAATTTAACTTAAAAATAACATGATTGAAAAGCTAAATAATCAATTGATAAAGCTGATGGACAATCAAAAATAATTGAACGAATAAAAATCACATAATTAGATTTTATAATAAAAAATCAGTGAACAAGAAAGAAAATACAAAGATCTAGATGAATAAGCTAAACATGTTAATGGAACAGCTCTCGAATAATCAAAGCAAATTTAATAATTAAATAAAGAGATTTTAAGCTACAAATAGTAATTAGCTTAACAAGAAGAATATTGTAATAGAATTATTCTATAGAAATAAAAAGAAATCACTCAAGTGCAATAATAATTAGAGTAAAAACATTTTGAAGAAAGTTAAAAAAAATAAAAATAGTATGAATAGTAATATCGCTAAGTTATAGAATAATTTAATTCATTACAAAATAAAATTGCAGAATTAGAGGATTAAAATAATTTTATGAAACAAAAGTCATCTAAAACTTTAAAAAATTTAGTGCAAGAATTGAAAAAAATGAAAATAGAATTACAAAATCTTAAAATGATTGGACATTATGACATCTAGTAATTTAATGAACTAGAATAAATAATAATGAATTCGATATAATAAAAAATTTAATAATCATAAAATATTTAAGAATATGAATAAGAAGTAGTATAGGAGATGAGTCAAGAATAATCTTTGATAGAAAGAACTTAGATTTAATAATAATTTATTGCTTAGTAATTGTAATTGAACAAACATCGTTAATTTTTTATGTCAGTAATGAAGGAAGAAAATAATTTTCCAATAATGAAATAACAAATTTTAAACTCTATGGGATAGTTCAAATAGTATTTATTAAACATTATTTAATAATTTTTCCTAAAATCTATAGATATCTTAAACAATTAGAAAGAAGATTATGCATCTTAAATAAATAGTTTGATTTAAGAATTAAATAATGTAAATCATTAATTATTTGAGATGTAACAAAAAAATACTAATTTACAAGAAGAATTATAAGAAAAGCAGGATGAACATTAATTTGAAATGTAAAATCTATAAGAATAAATTGATAAATTAAACTAAACAATAGAGGAAACAAACTAAAACTTAGAAAAAAACAATTAAAATTAAGCAACAATTGACCGTTAACAATAATAAATTTCCTAATTAGAGATTCAGTTATCCCAATCTCAGTAATATAATAAATCTTAATAATAAACTTTAAATATAGCAATTGAACAAAATAATATAAAAGAAACTGAATTAAATGAAATAAAATAAAAGTTAAACTAAATTAATACAATTTTAAAACAGAAAGAAGATGATTTGAAAATGTAAAAATAATTAGTCTCAACAAAGTCTACTAAATATGATTAAGAAAAGGTACTAAACCAAAAACTTTAATAAGAGACAGAAGCCCTCAAAACTCAAAATAAATAAATATAATTAGACTTAAATAGATAAAAGGACTTAAATAAGTAGTAATAAACAGAATTAGCCAAACTTAAAACAGATAATTAACAATTGAAATAATAATGTGAAACATTATAATCAATATAATAAGAATTGACAAAAATTAAATCAGACTTCAGTATGACATTGTAGGAGAAAAATACTTTACAAGAATAACTTGATGAAATCAAGAAGAATTTAAAATCAATAAATACAATAAATGAGAAATTACAAGAGGAATAATTAAATAATGATAAGCTTAAAAAATAAATATTTGAATTATAATTAAATTTAGAAAGTTAGAAGGAAGAGATGGAGAATATTGGTAATGATAATAAAAGACTTAAAAGTTAATTGAAAGATCTAAATAATGATTATGAAATTACTCTCTAAGAAAATTAAATGTTATAAGAACAAATGATTTCAAAAGATTAAAATTTACTTTAATTAAAAACAGAGTAGCAAGAATAAATTAATTTGTTCTGCAGTCAAAATATAGAATAATAATTAGAGTTAAAAAATAAAGATTAAGCTAATTTGTATGATCTAAGACTTCAACTAGAATAAGGATAAGAAATTATTGAATAAAATAAAGTTTAAATTTAAAAGCTTTAAGATGAATCATTAATAATTCAAAAAGAGAATAAAAAATTGTAAGAACAGATAGAGGAATTATAAATTAATAACCAAATTATGAATGAAACCTTATAAAGTTAAAAAAATTTCTCCTAAAATTAAGAGGTTTTGATTGAAAATTTAAAAAGTCAGCTTGAATAAGAGTCATCAAGTAATTCAAGATAAACAATATAATTGAAAAAAATGAATACTTAGATTGGAGAACTTGAATAATAAATAGACAGAAAAGAACAAGAATTGAATGAATACATCTAATCATCTGAGGATCTAAAGATTATAAAGGAATAGTTGGAATAATAATTATTTAAATAATCACAAGAATTGAAATGTGTTAAAATTTAAAATTAAACTCAAGCTGAAAGTCTTACACAATTAAATGATATTGTTAATAGTTTAAGAGAAAGAGAAAAATAACATGCTTTAAGCTGTGAGGAAATCTAAAATTAAAAATAACAAATGTAAAAATAATTAGAGGGAAAAGATTTATAATTTAAAAATTTACAACATGAAAATAAAGAATTAAATGAAGCATTAGTAGCTGTATAAAGTGAAAATTAGACATTATCTGATTAAATTTAATCATTATAAAATGAATTAGTTTAAAAAGTTTATGAAACTACTTTAGAAAATGAGAAGTAATTACAATTAAATATTTAATAATAAAGCCAAAAATTATAGTAGTAAGAAGTTTAAATATCAAAATTTAAATAATAGATAGAAAATTTAAAAAAAAATTTGTCAGATGGGGAAAAATAAAAGTAATTGGATTAAAATTAAATCATAGAATTAAATTTAAATGTTTAGGAATTATAAAGACATTTACAAATTTAAATAGCTTAGATAGAAGAGATTAATGAACAAAGTAAGCAAAAGGATTAAAAAATATTATAATTGTAAATTTCAATTCAAGAACAAAAATCTTAAATAGAAAATTAAAATTTGAAATTTTAAAATGAACTAAAAAAGTAGAAAGAAGAATATTTAATTTTGAAAGAAGGCAATTAAAAACTACTAATTTAGGAATAATAATATTAGATGCTAATAACACAACTTCAATAAGATTGTGAATGTAAAATTTCTGAAATGAATGGATTAAAAAATTAGATTATTTAATTACAATAAAATTATCAAAATGTATCATCAAGTAAATCGGCATTATAAGAATAGTTTAACAAGTAAATGGAATAAATTGAATAAAATTAATTAGAATTTAAAAATAGTTTGATTTAGGTTTAATCACTTATTGAAGAAATAGATTTGTTAAAACGTCAAATTCTTTTAAATTAATAAGATAATTTAGAATTATAAAATTAATTAAAAGAAGCAAATCAATCAGATTAAAACAAAAGATTAATGATTAGCTAATTAGAATCTAAATATAATTAAAAGACTTAGGAATTAATTAATGAAAATTAAGAGACATAAAATTTAGTTGATATTTTATAAAAGTAAATAGTATAGATTTAGGATGAAAAAGAAAAAGTTGAAGAATAATTAAGTGAAAAGAATTAATAACTTGATAATTATTGTAATGATATTGAAGAGTAAAAGAATCATTTCTAATAAAAATTATAAAATTTAGAGCAAAATTTAAAATCTTATGAATTATAGAAATAATAAGATTAAGATTAAATAATAAAATATTAAGATGCCCTTGAAATGCTAAAACAATAAAATTTATAATAATAAAGCGATTTAATATAATCGAACTCTCAACTCTAAAATATAATTGATGAAGAGAAAAAAAAAGATATGGAAAAAGCAGAAAAGGAAATAAAAATAATTGCTTAAGAAAAAGAAATATAAGAATAGAAAGAAAAAATCATTTAATTGAATAATAAAATGATTTAATATGAAGAATTACAAAACTAATACTAATAAACAAAATAGAAAGTAGAAGAAAATCAACAGAAATTGAATGAGTTTGAAAATAAAATTGATTAATTAACTAAAAAAACATAGATTTAGGAGTAAGAAATTTAAGAACTTTAAAAAAAAAATAGAGAGCTGGAAGATCTCTTATAAATAGCTTAATCAGAAAAGAATAAAATCACTTATTTGATGGAAAACTATAAAGAAGAAATAATACAAAAAAATTAAAATGAATAAACCTTATAAGACGAACTAAATTAATTGTAATAATAATTATTTAAATTAAAAGAAGAAAATATTTTGTTAGAATCAGATGTAATTTCAAAAAATACTTAACTTAATCTTTAAGAAAAAAAAATTTCTTCATTAAATGAAGATATAGACTTACTGAAAAATTAATTAAATGAAGGAAAGGATATAATAAAGGATTTGAAATAAAAATTAGAATAGTAACTATAAAGATAATAGAAATTTGAAGTTTTTGTAAAAGGGGAGGAGTTTAAATACTTACAAAAAATAGAAAATTTAGAAACTGAATTATCTTCATTGTAGGTAAATTCAAAGTTAAAAATAGAAAATGTTAAAAATAAATTGAGTTTAATAAAATTAGAGTTTGGTAAATACAAAAGATAATAGTAACTCTCGAATAAATTCATATAAACATAATTATTAAATTTTAATGAAACTTATAAAGCAATATTAGTTAAGAAAATAAAAAAACTCTATGCGATCAAAATTTAATTAGATGAGCTTAAATCGGAGCATTAAAAATTAGATGACACAATAAGAGGATAAGTAAAAATGGGTCCATAAATTTAAAAATTTTTGAATTAATAATAATAATCTCTAGATGCCTTAGTTAAAGGCTTTAAGGATAAAATTTAAGAATTAACTTCCTAATAAGAAAATATGTTTTTTACTGATGAAAATAGAAAACAAGAGATTTAATCTTTATCTTCTGATAGAAGTGACTTAAAAAATTAATTATATGATGTTAATTAAAAATTATAATCATAGTAATAAATTAATTTAGAAATAAAAGAAGAAATACAAAGATTGGAAAGTTAAAACTTATTATACTAAGGTTAAATACAAGAGAAAAATAGTGTAATAGATTAATTTAATGAAAAATTTAAGATAATTCCAATTCTTAAGAACGAAATTTAATAGTTAGAGCAATAGAAACAGAAATAGTAAACTATGATTAATGAAATATAGGCAAGCTTTTAAGTCACAATAGATCATTAACAAGAGCAAATTCAATCTCTTAAAGAATAAAATAGAAATTTATTATCTGGTTAGGAAATTAAGACTTAAGATTTATATTTAAAATTACAAAAGCAAGAATAATAATTGATAAAAGAAAAATAATTTAGTTAATAAATACTAGATAAGCTTTCTTCGAAAGATGAGGAGATATAATAACTTTAATTAGCATAAAAAAGAAACATATAAGAAATAGATGATCTAAATAATGATATTGAAGATCTTAATGATAAGAATGAAAATCTTAAAGATTAGGCTTAAAGATTTTAAGTTTATTGTTCTGAAAAAGAAGAATCAATCAGAAATTTGAAAGAGAATGTTTATAATTAAAATTTATTATTGGAAGAAAAAGGAAAAAAAATAAACTAGATCCAAAATGATAATGAAATTTTAAAGAAAAAGTTAAAGGATTATGAAGAAACCATGATGAAAAAAGATATAAAATTTTAAAAATAAAATAATAAAATGGAATCGATGCAGAATATTATTAAGGAATTCCCAATAATTAGTAAAGAGATTGTGGATACAATTAAAAATACTAAAGATTTTTGTTTAGAATAATTAAAGAAATTTGTGAAAAAAATTTCGAATTTGTAAGAGAAAATTGAAGAATAAGAATCAGCTTATGAATAAGAAATATAAAGGTTAAAAAAGTAAATACAATTACAATAATAATAATATGACGAAATGTTTTCATAAACTTTAACAATTAACAATGAAAATCCTGATCTGATGGTTCATTTCAAAGATAAATTGAATAAAGCTGTATAGGAAAGGGATTAATTTTAGTAGGAATTAAAATTGAAGATAGAGCAATTTGATAAAGTTTCTGTTGAAAACGATTATCTATAATTATAGATTAAGAATTTAAAGTAATAATAAGAATTCAATGAGAGTGGTTTTCCAAGTTTGGAATTAAGCTCAATAGATAACTAAGAAATAAGAAAATTTGACCATAGCTCTATTAATAATGCTACAATTATAGATCCTACTGTTTAAAGTGGACATACAAAAAGTAGTTTATAAATTAAAGATTTTTAAAATTAACTAGCATAATAATTATAATAATAAAATGAAAATAACAATACTAAATTTTATGATTTATAATAAGAAATAGAGTTCCATAAAACAGAAATAGAAAAGTACAAAAATAATCTAATGGATTATTAGGATGAAGAAAAAAAAATGGTTAAAATGATATCTGATTTGAAAAGAGAAAATTATAGACTTTAATAAACAATTGATTAAACAGATACAAAATCTTTAAAATTACAAATAAAATAATTACTTTAATCTTTTCTAATATCACTACAAAATTAGTAAATATTATTTATCATTTTTAAGGGCTTAAGAAACTGAAGGTTACTTTAAAATTCTAGCTAATATGCTAGAACTTACAGATTAGGAAAGAATAAAATTTTAAACAGTAGTCAGTTAAATGAATCAAAAGAAAAAAGGAGGAATTTTTAGATGATTTATATTTAATTAAAATTTTTATATAAAATTTATAAAACATATTAGAAGTAAAAACAAATTTTACATCAAAAACTTATACGAGAGCTACTTTTTAATGTATTTATACTTTTAACTTTTGTTACAACGCTTCTAAACTAATATAAAATTATTAATTTACTTTTGAATTTTTAGTAATGTATTAATTTCTTTTCTTTTCTATTCTTGTTAAATTGAATACCCTGGTATTTTCAAATGCAAATATAGATTCCTTCTTTTTTAATTGAGATTTAGTAAAATATCTTCTTAAATCTTCTTATTTCAAATAAAAACAATAATACTATAAATATGACTAGAACTCTTCAGGGCCAAATAAAGTGTATTTTGGTGGTATTTATGAAATTGATCCTTTTTTTTAAATTCTATGATATCTTTCTAAAACATGCTCAACATTATCTCTTTAACAAAAATTATGAAAACTAGAAACTTTATCAAAATTTGGTAATTCTGAAAAGTGAAAGCTTTGGTATTTTTATTTTTTTTGTTTAAGAGTATTAATTTAATCCAGAAGATCATTAAAACGATCTGATGCTATTTAATCAATATATTATTCTTCTATTTAAATTCTTTAAGTTAATACACCCATTGTTTTTTTGGAATAATATGAATCTTCTTCCAAATTTGATTCTAGTTAATCAAACTTCTTTTTATTTTTATTATTAAATATAGCAGTTTATAAAGATGTGATTACTCTTGAAGGAGTGTCATCATCGATTTAATTGCCATCTTCCTCTATATTATAATAATTTGTAAAAATTGTATCTACAATTCCTTTTGAACCAAGAAATGAAATTCTTTTATTATTAATTTAAATGAATCGTTTTTAAGTTTATTAAACCTAACTTAGAGAAGATCTTGCATTAAAATCCATTCTATCTTTACGAATATAAACTGTTTATTCAATTTTACGATATTGATACAAAAAAGAAAGAAAATGGGGAGCATTACTAAATAATTAAATTAATTTACACTTAAAAATGTAATACAGGACAATCTTTAGCCAAATGATCATCCATCTAGCAAACTTAACATCGAACTTATAAATAAGTATAATCTGATTCAAAAATTATTGCGTTTCTTATTTTAAAGTATTATTGTAAATCTCTTGGATATGATCTAGCAATTTCTAAAAATTTCTATTAATTGAGTACAAAGATATGAGAAAATGTTCTACTAATTGTACTTGCCGATCTAATTTAATTAGAATAAAAGCTAATTTCTCCAAAATAATCATTCTTAATTTTTTTATCAATAACAATGTTTGTTTTCATGAAATATATATCTACTTCCCCTTTTTAGATTAAAAATAAATCATAAGTAATTGTAGGAATTTCAAGGAATATAATTTCCTCAGGTAAATATAATTTATCCTCTAAGATTGGAATAATCCCTTACATAAGAAATCTTTTGGTATGTAAATTCCAAAAAATATCTGCGTGACCAAATAATTTTCCATTTACTTATTCTTATATATCTTTTGCTAATTCATCAGATAATAATTTAATTATGTCTTTTAGAAGAATTTAATTACTATCCCAAACAAACTCTAAATATTTTCTGACTTTATTTTATAACACATCAGGAATATTAACTTTTTTCATATATTTATTAAGAAGACTGACTTTTTATTTTGTAACATTAGATTTTTCTTCTAAAGAGGATAATGCAAATCCAATTGAATTCATAGTAAATGCGAAACCTCCGCAAGCTACTAATAATAGAAAGATTCCTAAAAGTCTTTCAGTTGTAGTTTATGGACTAATATCTCCATATCCTACTGTAGTCATTGTTGCAACACCCCAATAAAGAGAATGAATATATCTTTTCTGCCAATCATAATCATCTTCTCCTAACCAAGAATCTTCCTCTTAAATTGCAGTATAATGAAATATACATCCTAATACATGAGCAAAAAATAGTACAAAAACAAACAATTTTATAAATGTTATGATCACTCCTATTATTCGAGAGGTTTAAATATATTCGTCAAATTTATCTATTATTTTTTTAAGCTTTGCTAATCTTAATAATTTTAAAACTCTGACAAATTTCAAAAATTTAAATAATCTTAATAATTTAGCACTTTAAATTAGTTATTATGACTCATCAATAATAATTTCATAAGGAAATGTAGAAATTAAATCAATCCAAAACCAAAATGATATATAATTCTTGAATATTTATCTTCTATTCATTTAAAGAGAACCATCTAAGTAAACCCCTGTATTGAAATTCAATATTATATCAAAAATAAACACTGCCAGCGATAAATTTTGCACTTCTTTACTGATTTCTATTTCAAAACTAATTTAAAATGGAATGCTAATCATTTCATAAATTACGAATCCTAAACAAATTAAATCCCAAATTAATTTTATTGAACCATCTGGCGTTAAAGTATAAGGAGGTTATGGTGCTAAATGCTTTTTTAACTTTCTTATCTAAGTATTCAATAAAATTAAATAATGATCAAACTTCATGGCACATGTTTTCGAATATAACTTAGTATGCTTAGAATTCATAAAATTTAAGCTTCTTTATTCCCATTAAAATTTTCTTCTTTATTTTAATAAAATTTTGAATTCTTTTTTTTTTTCTAACTCATCCCCAGAATCGTCACTTGTAACTGTTATATCTCTTAAATATTTTAATTATTTTCTATTCAACCATTCTTTTTCCTTTCTATTATTTTATAAATATTCATTTTATTTTATTTCATTCATTTATTATTGAAAATAAATTGTAAATATTATTGTTGGTAGTATTCTTAAAAAATTGAGAAATAGATATTAAAATAAAAAGAAATAATTAACAACTAATTGTAAGAATACTATTTTTTTATTTTAAATTATTTCTTAATATTGTAAATAATCACAAAACTAAATAAATAAATAAATTCAATTCAATTCAAATATACTGATCTAAAACACAAATTACCATTTTATTAAGGAATATTATTGATTTTAAAGAACTACTTAAGATTTTATTCTAAAGATTAATATCAAATTTAGTCAAGTTATATTTATATAATAATAATATCAACCTTCTTAAATAATTCCATATTCCTTTATTATTTAATTAAATTTCTGTAGTGTTTGTTCACTATTTTTTTAAACTTTATTTTCAAAAAAGTTTGCCATTTCTTCAGCTTTTGATATAATTGAATTCTAAATTCCAACAACTTTAGCAACATTTATTCCAAAAGAAGCTTCACATGCTCCTTCCTTTAATCTAAAAAGAAAAATGACTTAACCATTTTAAATATAACAAGCCATATGAACATTTGTTACATCTCTTATTAATTTAGCCTCTTCAACTAATATTCTAAAATGAGTTGCAAATAAAACTCTACATTATATTGTCTTAATAAGATAATGCATAACAGCAGATGCAATAGCTACTCCATCATATGTTGAAGTTCCTCTTCCAAGTTCATCAGTAATAAATAATGAATTTTTGGTACCATATTTTAATGGTATTAATGTTTCTTCTAATTCAACATAAAATGTTGATTTTCCTTCCATTAAATAATCTTTGGCACCAATTCTTGTAAAAATTCTATCTATTGGAGAAAGTTCCATTTCTTCACAAGGAACTGAACATCCAAGCTAAGCTAAAATAGCAAGTACACAAACCATTCTTAAAATTGTACTCTTACCTCCCATATTAGGGCCAGTCAATAATTAAAATTTACAAAGCTTTTGACCCATATCTATAGAATTTGAAACAAAATTAATGTTTGTTAAACATGGATGTCTTCCTTCTTTAATAACTAATTTAGTTTTTTCAGTTATGAATTTTGGCATTGTCATTCTCACTTCTGATGTATCTCCAAATACACTCAATGAGCACAAAGCATCCAATTCATTTAATATTTTAATTAAAGAATCCCAAACATGTTAATTTTAATGAAAATGCTTGAATATAAAATTACCAAAAACAGCCAATTATAGTTTTTTTAATTCTTCTGCTTATTCTAAATCAAATACTAAATCTTTAATATCTTAATTAATATATCTCTTGTATCCCTATCTGGAAGAAGTAAACTCAAAATCTTCAGGTTTAGACTTTTAAATCAATTCATCAGGAATTTCAATTTCATATCTGAATTTTGTATGCACATATTAAATGTCTTTATTGTTCTTAAATAATTATTTTTTAATTTATTAGAGATATTGTTCAAGTTTCTATTCAATCAATTCAACTAATGCAACTGATTAATCATAACTTTCTAATACTCCTGTAACAGGTTTAGGTGTTTCTTTTTCCCATAGAATGAATTATTCAAATTCATCTAATTATTCTTTAACATTTGGAAGTAAACCTCCATCAACTTCAAAAGTCATCATTTTTCTTAGCCTTTCACTTATAAAGTTAAATTTAAGTAAACCAAATAATTTTATTTCTTCTTAAGCAAGCCTTAATGTTTTTGTAAGATTTTTAAATTCTTTAAGGCGTTATTCAGATAAATTTTCATAAAATATTGCTTTACTTTCAGTTTTGATAGAATATTCATAAATTCTACTACATTTTCGATCAAAGTCTAGAAATCTTTTAATATTTTATCGAAATATATCTCTTTCTTTTCTAAATTTACTAATATCAGAAACCATGGTTTATCTTTCTCTAATTTGATCAATTTAATAAAGAGGTGCAAAAATCCATCTTCTTAATAAACGATGGCCACCAGGAGTAACAGTTTTATTAATTACACCAAATAGAGAATAATCTTTTTTATCTACAGAGGCCGATGTTTCTAAAATTTCTAAATGATACTAAAATAATTGTGGTAATATTTACTATAGCTTAACTATCTAAAATCATACATTATTAAAGTGAAAATTCTTCATCATATAATTTGAATCTTGCACATCCTAAAATACGATCTAAAATTAAGATTTAATTTAAATAAGTAAACAATCCATTTAAAGCTTATAGTACAACTTGATTATTTTTATAAAATTTAATTGCTGCAGGAAATTCAGCTTTATAATATTATTCAAGTCTGAATAATGCTTTTTTTTCATCCCAATTATCTTTTGATGCTGTTATATGTGAAATAACACTTTTTATAACTGATCCAGATATCATTTTAGTTATAGGATCATAAGAAGGTAAATTATTTTAATCTATTACTGTTTCAACTGGTCTCATATGAAGTAATAAAGTTTTCAATGTTTCATAATTTTTATCACGATTTTCTAAAAATGCAAGAGATATTGTATTTGTTTATCTTTCAAAAATAGCAATACCATATTCCTCTATTGTATTAGACAATATTTTCTTTCTTATTACAAGTAAAACCTTTTCATCCAGATTCATTTATGATTCTCCCTCCTCGTATAAATATGTTCCTTTAGTCAAAATTTCTGTTATTTATCTCTAGACTATTTTATCTGTATTGCCTGTCCCATATTTCTTATTTTAAGCTACTCTTTAATTCATTTATTCTGGAGTCTCTGTTTAATCTACTATTACTACTTTATATCCATATTCTAATAATATTGCTTTATATTTATGAACTGCTTTTTCTGGGAATCCTGTATGCCTTAAATTAGAATATCATTAATTACATCTTTCTTCCCATCCAATTTAAATCTAAATATTTGTTTCCTATGTATGCATCTTCATAAAATAACTCATAGAATTTTCCCAATTTAAAAAATATTATCTTATCAAAATTTTCACTTTTATATTTCCAAAATTATTGCATACATTTACTTAATTTTATAAATTCATTTTAAGGTATTAAGAGTGTAGTTGGATCTGCATCTTAAGTTCCATGTAGTTTTCCATTTTTATCTCTTGATTAACCTATTGATGCCCATTTTGGAGTAACATCTTCAAACTCTTCATAAACATTTATTTTATCTGATGGATGTTTGAAATCTATATTACCCTACATATTTTCTTGAAAATTATCATATTCTTCATTTTCTTCAATTTTTGCTGATTATTTCAAAGTTCTCCCAGATTTATCATTTTTATCATATTTATCATATTCAGTCCTTTTAGCCTTTTATTATGTATTTATAATATTTTTTGTATTATCTTATATATTAAAAACAGACAAAGATTTATTCTCTTTATTTTTTTCTTAAGAACCTATAAAAGAAAATTTATTAATTTTGAACTCATTTTAATTCAACTTCATATTTTCTTATTTTTCATCAGTTTCTAAAATGTTATTTCTTTTTAATCCATTAAATAGTAATGGCTTTTCTGATAAATTTCGAATTAATTTCTCTTTTATTACTTTTATTTCTTCTTCCTTATTAATTTTAACAGCTGTATTTATGTATTAATTTTAGATGTTCCTTTCTTCTACACTAATATTAGAATTTAAAACATTATTATCATTTAAGCTTGTTGTTTCATTCTTTTTTTATGATGAAGTTAAGAACCTTTGAATAGTTGATTACTTCATAATACCGGGAATTATTAATTTTAACTTATGAATTAGTAAAATCTTAAATTATGCTCTGAAATAATTGATGATAAATACATAAAAATAGCTTCAAATTCTTTAAATGCAAGGGAGAAATTATTTAAATTATTGTTATCTTAACGATAAATACCTGAAGAAGGTTTTGATGATTTAACAATTGAATATTTACTAAATATATTTGCTACAATGGATACAAATAATTTTGTTAATAAAGTAGGAGTTGGAGAAAGAGAAAGTAGAATTTACTCTTCTCTTGTATAAAAAAGAAATTATTATATGGGACATGGAATAGGAAGATCAGGAGATCTTGTTGCTAGTCAACCTAAAGCTGCAGGATCATCTTTAATTGCTAAATTAACAAAGCACTTAGCTAAAGATGCACTTAAATTAAGTAATTATTAAATCAATGAATTATTAATTGTCCCTGTTGCTACAGGTATGGCTTTATCACTTTGTTTATTAACATTAAAATCTCTAAAGCCTCAAGCAAAATATGTTTTATGGCCAAGGATTGATTAAAAAACATGTTTAAAATGCATATAAACTGCTAATCTTATTCCTATAGTTATTGATACTAAAATCTAAGATCATGTTGTTACTACTAACTTAGAAATTTTAATATAAAAAATTCATGAAATTCAACCAGATAATATTTTATGTGTATTAAGCACTACTAGTTGTTTTGCACCTAGAATCCCTGACAATATTGAAGAAATTGCTAAAATTTGTAAATAATTTTCTATCAATCATGTTGTTAATAATGCTTATGGTATTTAATGCAACAAAATAGCTAATTCAATTAATTTAGGATTAGCATAAGGAACTGTTAATTTAATTGTTTCAAGCTTAGATAAAAACTTTATGGTTCCTGTTGGAGGAGCTTTGATATATGGTAATGATAAATAACTCATCAAATTAATTAGTGAAATATATCCTGGTAGAGCAAGTGCAGCTCCTATTTTAGATTTATTTATTACTTTTTTATCCATGGGTAAATAGGGTTATTTAAAATTATAAAAGGAAAGAGTGGAAAATTATCAATACTTTAAAGAGAAACTTTAAATAGTTACATAAAAAGTATCTGAACAAATTCTTGATACACATAAAAATAGTATTTCTATTGGTATAAGTTTAAAAAACCTTAAAATTGACATGAATAATTTAGAGGAAAAAAATTAAGCTACAAAATTAGGAGCAATTTTATATTCAAAAAAAGTGATGGGATCAAGGGTAATTACAAATAAAAAAAATAAAGTAGTCTGTGGCATAGAATTTAAAAATTATGGAAGTAATTGTGGTATAAATTATTTATTTATCTAATTTTAGACAATTATTTCACTCCTTATATTACTGTAGCATGTGCTTTAGGAATCACGAAATAAGAAATTGATACATTTATTTAAGAATTTGAAAAAGCTTACACTTAAAATACATGAAATAAAAAAATCACTGATCTTTTTATTGAATAAATTTAATTTATTAATGAATTATATAACATTAAGATTCAATAATTCAGAGTTTGAACATAGATATTCCTCTTAAAGAAAAAGTCTATAGTTATAAAGCTAAACTGTTTATAGACTTTTTCTCATACTTTTAATTTTATTAGAAATTCTTGGAAATGTATTGCAAAAATTGTGGTTTGAAACAATATTAAATTTATTTGCACTTTTGATCATGTTGTTTGGCTATATCTTTAAATAATAATTGAGCAATCTAAATAATACTTTAACTTTAATAGCTATTTTAATTTACAATATTTAACATCCAATCAAATATGGGTTTTTAAACAATACTAACGATAAATAAGTATTAGAAAGCTACTTCATTTGTTTAGTAACTTTAGCGTAAATTTATAAAATATTTTAGAATCATCTCTTAATGGAGTTATTTAATGAAAAGCTTCATAACAATTGTAATACTCATTTTAAATATTGCATCTTTATGTTTAGTATCAGATCATTGGAGAGAAATTTTAATATTTATTTTCTCTAGCATTATAGCAATATATAGTTATTATATTAATGAAAGGTAAACTAGAATCTCATTTATTGTAATGAATAATAAAGGAATAATTGAGGAAAATTTATATAAATAGATTGATATTTAATCTTATATTGTCCACTATAATCTGAGGCATAATTCATTTGATTTAATCAGGTAAAATAGTATCTCCTAGATTTCTGAAAACAAATAGCATAGTTTTATTAATTTTATAAGGAGTATGAAAGTAATCTTATTTAGCTAAAAAAGAAGGAAGTCTATCATATAATCTTCATATATGCTTAATTAATCTAATAAAATTAACCTAGAATAATTTTTGTTCTATTTATTTATGAATCATGAGAAAATGTAAGAAATAACCAAACAATGTACTACTGATAATTAAACTTATGAGATAATAGGATTAATTGGATTAGATGTACATCATATTAAAATAATTCGTACTGTAGATACTAAACCTTGTCTAATCATTTTGATTAAGGAAAATAGAAGAGAATCATAGTATAAATCACTAAAGTATAAGCTTAAAATATCGAATAAATTATTGAATCAGGTTTAAGAAAGCATTCAATCTAGAATTAGAGTTTGTTTAATTTATATCAAATAAATTTTATAATAAGAGATACTGAAAAAATAATTATCTTAGGATTTTGATAATTAAAAAATTGTTTTTTTTTTAAATAGTTAAATTACAAAAACATACACTGACATTAATAATATTCACGATTTTGCAAATTTGAATTCAAAATTTACTAGAATAGTACTAAATAATTTTGATTTAAAAAATTGTATATAGGAATGTATATAAATCTTAAATGTACTTTTCCCTAAAAGGGATTAAAAAAAAATTTAATTAATATCTCATCTGATCGATAATCGAATTTATACTGATTAAAAAAAGCTTAAGTAGTTGCTTTTTAATTGCTTATTCTTTGTTTTTTAAAATACAGAATAAATTATAATTGAACTGAAGGATGAAGTTAGTGAAGATGATTTAAATTAAAAGTTCATAAAGTTTGATATAATTTACTCTGGTTAAATTTTTACAGCTGAAAAAATTAGCAAATTACCAATTTTAAATCCTTAAAGTTTAGAAGAATTACGTCATAATAGCTATTAGTAATTAAACCTAGAAATTCCTATAGCTTTAATGATTATAAGATAAATAGGACCTTATAAATAAATTTAATTTAAATAGAATGCAGTGTAAAAATAAAACACACTTACATTTTACTTATTTAAATCATTAGAAGACTTTCATTTGATTCCAATAATATCATTACATCCATCAGATAATTTGATAACAAATTAAAAATTCTTTATGAAATCCTAAAATGTATATAAAACAGAAAAATATTAACATACTGAAGAACCACATTTAGAAACATTTCGTTAGATAAGTGAATAAATGATATCGAAATGTTGATAAAATAAATTGGGAAATGTAATTAATTAATTCTAAATATTATTCTGTATTAAAATATATAAAAATGATTACATTTTAAACATAAGCAATAAATAATTAATGGATTCATAAATTGACTTTCATTATTTATGATACATTTCATTGAGATATGCATTGAGCATGGATGCACTTTGATTTCTTAATTTTAATATTTTTTTCATTTTGGTTCCCTAGCATTCAGTAATAGCATGTCCATTTTGAAAAGCCTTTTTAGTGACAGTGTCATAAGATAAGCCTCTTGAAGGTACATAGATTTCAATATTAGGTTCAGTTTTTGAATTAATATAATTATTTTGTTGATATTTCTAAAAATCTGAATTGTAAGTTGTTTCAAAATAATTAGGAGTGATATGAGCATAAGTTTAACTATTTAAATTATAATAAGATTACTGATATTGCATTTTTTTAACATCAGAAGCTGAAAGATTGGATGTTTTTGGACGAGCTTTAGTATAATCTTTGCTATAACTGGTAACTGTCAATATTGGAATTCCAGAATGGGTACTTACATGTTTAGGTGCATCAATCTTTCTGTTTGGGTCTTGATCTTTCCAATCAGGATACATTTTCTATAATTCTTGTTCTTTCTTAATACTTAATATGTTGTTGTAGACAAAAATTATCTTGAAGCTGAATTCTTTTTGTATTATCGTTTGTATCTTTATTATATAGGATGTGCAGTAAATGCCTTTCTCTATTAAGTTTACATTTCTAAATATGGGGTCGAAATTGGTTTTTATTCATAATATCTCAAATTCAATTCTGGAGTATAAAAAGATGAGGATGATATTCCAAACTAATAGCTTTTCTTATAGGAAGTTTTATATCCTGATTTATAAACTAATTTTGCATTGTTTGCATAATTGCATTTGCAATTGCAACATGCACATTGGAAACAAGCACAATTTTCTTCATTAAAATATTATATACTTTAAAGATGATGAAAATAATCTTGATTCTCTCTAATTATTTGTTTTATATCAATATTCTAATCCTCTATATTAAGTTATTTTAATAATTCTTAAACAGTTGGATTTTCTATCGTTAAAGTTTCAAGAAAATCAAAATTAACTGAAAAACACTTTTTTTCCTCTTTTGCCATAGTTTTAGAAAGATCTTAACATTAATGATTTGCTATAGATGCACTTCTCTTCTTTTCTTCCAATCTAAAATAATAAATTTTAATACAATTTATTCACAGACTAATAACTTTTTGTACTAATACATTGAGATATTTGCTATCTATCATATAAAAACAATTACTTACATAGCATCTTGTATTTTTTTTTTACTATTATGACTATAATAGTTAGTTTTATTCATAAAATTTTATAATATCAATATTTATTTATAAAATAAAAAACATATATAAAAAAATAATAAAAACAAGATTTTAATTTCATTAAAAGAAGTGAGTATTTTTAGGTCTAAATATTTTTGGATCGAATTTAACTCTTTTCTAACTCTTTGAGGTTCTTTGAGATTATGTATCATCATTGATTGCTTATTATTATTGTCTTAAACTGACTCCTCTTTTTAGTTAATTAGTTATAAATTGTTGTTTATTTTTCAAAATGCTTTTTTTAGTGTTAGTTTCCGAATCTCTTTATTATAATGATATTGATGACTCATCATTATTAGGAGTTTAAGCTCTCTTAGCTTTTGAATTACTACTAAGACTTCTAACATAATTTTCTTTTTTATCTCCTTATCCTTCTGCACGCATCTTAAATTAAGAATTTTTTAAAGTTTATTTTTTTTAAATTGCTTCATCATCTCTCTACTTAGGTGGCTCTTAAAAAGATAAATTTTAATTGATTTATGGTTAAAATGTATTTGGAATTGTAGTATTTAGAGATAAATTCAAGTTAGGATTCATTTAAATAGATTAACGATTTACACTACTACTATTAAATGTAGCTGTTTTATGAATGCTAAAATTAATGTTATTTTCTTATAAGGCTAATTCTAATTGTTCTAATGATTCATGATATTCACCTAATTGAGAAAGTGGAGGAATCAAAATATTTTATTTATGAGGGTGTTTTCCAATATATTTTCTTTTTATAATAGTAGGAACATTGTATTCAATTTGGGGAGCAGAGTTCCTTTACTTAATACAAGTTTATACTACTCCCATTTAATAAATAAATATTTTAGGATAATTAAAAATTATTTTGTATTTCATGATGGATGGCAATTATAATTTTTAATTAGATTTTAAGATTAAATCCAACCAAAAATTTAGACATACAATTTCTAATTTATTTTAAACTCAATAAAACGGTAAATTACATCTATGTAAAGAAACTATACATATATATAATAAAAATATAGATTTATTTGATATATCATTATGGTTTACTGGAATTATTAATCCAAACATGAATTTCGTTTATTTTTTCCTGTAATTCAATGTCACTTAAGGAGATTTCCTCAACTACATTTCCTAGAATTTCTTTCAATACTTCATCCATTGGTCTCTTGGCATATTAAAGAGTGTGAATGGTTGCTTTTTATTAATAAATTTTTAAGTCTTGCATATATTCTGAAGCTATGGTTGTATCTAATGGATCATCTGGTTCAGGAGTCATAAGAAGACCTAAAAATTTTATTTATAAATACCATAAATGACTTCAAAGATTTAAAGAACTCTTGTATCAGGTGTATAATTTCTACCCCAAATACTATGACAAATTCTACCTTGAATGTTTATATTATAATGATAAATTGAAGTTAAAAATCTTAGATCAGGTGGTTGAATTGGATATTCTTAAGGAAATTTCATATACAAAATATATACTCCAACCTAAATAAGGAGTTTATTCAGGACCAATTAAAATGATCTTCCAAAATGACACATCATGCGAACAAGGGAAAACTTTTACAAAATGATGAGGTTTTTATTCATAAGTTATCAATTCTTTTATCACTCTTTTTAAATAAATATTTGGAGCAATTAAATTTAGTTATTAGGAATCAGAACTAATTCTTCTGACTAATTATTAAGGATTAACAGATTATTTTTTTAATTCTATAGGTAATTCGTATTCTCTAGGTTAAACATCAAATTTAATGGTTTTTGGACCTTATTTGAAAATAGCTTCAATCTTAGAATTAGTTAAGGGTTCTTAGGGCTTTCTTATTTTAGCAGATAATATAGTTTCATACTCAAATAATTTTAAACCTTCTTAGATAGTTTTTGGGCAAAAACATTGTCCACCTGCTGCGCTTGTAATTTATTTCAATCCATCAAATTTATCATAAACAACAAAAGAGTCAAGAATTATTTAATTTTACGCAATTGATTTTGCAATAAATTCTGGACTAAATTTATTTTTATTATCTTCTCCATCACAGTGCAATGATTCTCAATAAAAAATTTGGATATTTCTTTTTGAATTACAAAAGGGAATCAATAGCATTTTTGAGAGCCACATATAATCCTGTCATACCTTAAGGTTTAGCTTTATTAACCAAATCTTTAAATTACATGAATAATTCTGTAGAACCACATTTCAATATATATCTATAATCAAAATATGCTAAAGATATCACATTTTTCAAATTGTAAGCCATAGTTCTATCTGCAAAAGCATTAAAAAATGCCTTAACTGCACCTAATCTAGTCAAAATTCACTTTTATAGTATTCTTTCTCCATTGATCCAGAAACGTCAATTAAAACTATCATAGCTTCTTCTGGTTCGACAGTTATTTGAGTCACTAATTAAATTGATGAATCATCATCCTCGTCAAATAAAGAAGTATCATTTTTACTTGTAGAAATATTTGGTAGGACTTAATTATAAGCTATTTAATCAGGATTATCAGATGTTTCTAATTCAGATAATGGATCAAATAAATTAACAGGCTTTGAAACATCTTTATTCATAGATGTGTATATTACTAATTGGTTTTGAGAATTCTTAGTTAGAACAGGAGCATTAGAATGCATTTTTAATTAAACTGAACTGTAAATCTTTAAAGTTTATAATTGTATATCTTAATTCCTATGCCACTCTGCAGGTAATGATTTAAGATCTCTTTTATCTTTAAATTCAGTTTAAGGTAACCATATTAAATCTTCTTTTTCTAACATTTAAACAATTTTAAATTATTCTTCCAAATTTGGATTTTTAATTAATTTTCATTAAGAATATCGTTTTCCATTAGAATGAATTTCTTCGGTCTACTATTTAGCTAAGATAGTATTGTAATCAACTATTTAATAAAGTAATACATCATCTTCATTTTCATTTAAAGATAAAAAAGCTGGAGTCTTTATAGGATTTAAAGTAGCCCAACAAGTANCGTATTCTCTAGGTTAAACATCAAATTTAATGGTTTTTGGACCTTATTTGAAAATAGCTTCAATCTTAGAATTAGTTAAGGGTTCTTAGGGCTTTCTTATTTTAGCAGATAATATAGTTTCATACTCAAATAATTTTAAACCTTCTTAGATAGTTTTTGGGCAAAAACATTGTCCACCTGCTGCGCTTGTAATTTATTTCAATCCATCAAATTTATCATAAACAACAAAAGAGTCAAGAATTATTTAATTTTACGCAATTGATTTTGCAATAAATTCTGGACTAAATTTATTTTTATTATCTTCTCCATCACAGTGCAATGATTCTCAATAAAAAATTTGGATATTTCTTTTTGAATTACAAAAGGGAATCAATAGCATTTTTGAGAGCCACATATAATCCTGTCATACCTTAAGGTTTAGCTTTATTAACCAAATCTTTAAATTACATGAATAATTCTGTAGAACCACATTTCAATATATATCTATAATCAAAATATGCTAAAGATATCACATTTTTCAAATTGTAAGCCATAGTTCTATCTGCAAAAGCATTAAAAAATGCCTTAACTGCACCTAATCTAGTCAAAATTCACTTTTATAGTATTCTTTCTCCATTGATCCAGAAACGTCAATTAAAACTATCATAGCTTCTTCTGGTTCGACAGTTATTTGAGTCACTAATTAAATTGATGAATCATCATCCTCGTCAAATAAAGAAGTATCATTTTTACTTGTAGAAATATTTGGTAGGACTTAATTATAAGCTATTTAATCAGGATTATCAGATGTTTCTAATTCAGATAATGGATCAAATAAATTAACAGGCTTTGAAACATCTTTATTCATAGATGTGTATATTACTAATTGGTTTTGAGAATTCTTAGTTAGAACAGGAGCATTAGAATGCATTTTTAATTAAACTGAACTGTAAATCTTTAAAGTTTATAATTGTATATCTTAATTCCTATGCCACTCTGCAGGTAATGATTTAAGATCTCTTTTATCTTTAAATTCAGTTTAAGGTAACCATATTAAATCTTCTTTTTCTAACATTTAAACAATTTTAAATTATTCTTCCAAATTTGGATTTTTAATTAATTTTCATTAAGAATATCGTTTTCCATTAGAATGAATTTCTTCGGTCTACTATTTAGCTAAGATAGTATTGTAATCAACTATTTAATAAAGTAATACATCATCTTCATTTTCATTTAAAGATAAAAAAGCTGGAGTCTTTATAGGATTTAAAGTAGCCCAACAAGTATAATCAATTTTTTTATATTTTTCTACTAATTTAATATCAACTTAATTGAACTTAGTAGTTTGATCATATAAAAATTGAATCCATTATCTTGTATATTCAAAAATAGAACTTAAATTAAAAGTAACAGGTATTTAAGAACTTGAGATGATCAAATAAAAAAACAATCTCAGAAATCCTTCTTCAAAAGCTATACGAGAATTTTAATTTAATCTGTATTTATTGAACAAACAAGCTGAAGCTAAAGTAAGAGCAGCATTATTATTTGAATATTATCTAACCGCACGAGAAATTATTTTTGGATCTTGCTTTGCTAAAAGTACTAACATGTTACATCTAAATTGACGAATGCCTTCATCACTTTATTTAACAAAATGATTAAACCAAGGCATATAAAAGTTATAATTAAAACTATCAGCATGACTAACTAATTGATTTAATTTAAATGTTAGATTTAAATTTGAATTGTTTTAAATATTATAATCTTTTAAAAGCAAGCTATCTGTAAGTAATTTACCTCCATAATTTAAAGTTTAAACATTTGTTGGAATGTTAAGTTTATGATATATTTTTTATTTTAATTGTAAAACAGATGTTGTTTCAATATCTACTTTTATTATTTTTGGTCCTTGATGAATTATAAATATTTATTCTTTTCCTTCCTCTGGTCAATTTTTGGAAAAGATTTAACACCTGCAGAACATTTTGTAATTATTGCATAAAATACTTTATTTTGTAATTTATTTATGGTATCATTTACAGTCTTCTAATGAAGTTAATTCAAATTACTAATTATAGGTAAACCAGCAAGACTATATAAAATAGCATGGTTTTATTATTAATCAGATAATTAAAGTTAATTACATATTTTTAAAAGATAAATTATATAATGTATCATCTAATTAACAACCCATAGTATATAAAATAGATTAATCTTCAGCTTGTAAGAATCTTATGATTATTTCTATATCACTCATAATTAATTAATTTGAATTCCATTTTGATGTATTCAAATAGAATTATTATTTCAATTAATTCTTATCAGCCTCATCCATAAATATATTGGTTTTCTACTAATTTTTAATCAGCAATTAATTAGGTTATGAGACTACATTCTTTATTTATTGAGGAGGAGTTTATGGTTTGGTATCTTAAGGATCTTAATTTGATTAGACTGAGTAGATTGATGGAATTTACTAAGGCTAAATTCCTGTTTTTTAAGATTATTGAATACTGGCTGAAGACCTAATTTTTACTGGATCCATAACTATCAATGATAATGATTAATTAAGAACTAGATTAATTAATTCATTGTTCGAACATAAATCTACAACAATATCTTAATCACTTAGAATAAAGTTAGTTTAATCAGTTAAATGATATTAAGAAGGGTCAAAATTGTCTGGTAATATTTCCTTAATATTTTAAGGAGCAATCTATTTAAAAATTGAAACTTTACTCTGTAAAATGCTTCTAATCTTGAAACAAAAATTTATTTTAATTGATTAAATGTTTTTGATCCAGAAGCATCAAAGGCTATTTTGAACTTTACTTCTTATTAAAGATAGACATTTAAAATCAAATTATTCATTATCTATATTTTTTAATTAATTAAAATATTTATAATAGTATAAAATATAAATTTGTGTTAAATTCTGAACTCAAAAATATAAATAAAAAGTAGGGCTCGTTCGGGAATTGAACCCGACCTACTTGCACCCAAAGCAAGCGTACTACCGATATACTAACAAGCCACTTGTTAGTATAATGCTTTAAGTCAACAATTTATACCACTGATTAATAAAATAAATGAGAACAAATAAAATTAATGATGATGGTACTTATTGGAAATTATAATATGAACAACTCAAAAAGTAAAAGAAGATATTTTATAACAACGATACCAATTAATAATTAGTGTCATAACTATAAGAAAAATGCTCAAAATATGAACAATAAATTCAGAAGTTGAATTAAATAATTAAATAAGCCTCTCCAACTAAAACTTCAGATAATTCCTTTTAAGATTTTGAAATTATTAAAGTACAATTTAAGTCTGAAATTGATCAAAAAGATTCATTAATTCTTCAATTACAAAGAGATAACCTTAATATTTAAAAAGTTGCTTTAGAATAGTTAAAAAAATCAGATCTACAAATTGAACAATAAAGATGCTAAATTGATTAATTAAAACTTTAAATAGAAGAGTAAAATCAACTTATTTCCCATTTATAATAAAAGTTGTTACAGGAACAATAAGAAACTAAAGAATTCAAAGAGAAAATTATTATTTGTGAAAAAATGAATGAAGCTTTGGAATCCACTATTGATACACTTAATCAGAAAAGTTAAACAAATAGAGAAAAACAAAGTAAGGAAGTTTAATAGTGGATGCAGAAATATAAAAAAATTGAATAAGAATATTTAATCTTAAAAACTAAAATTGAAGATCTCTCCAAATAAAATTTTGGTAAATATAGTGTCGAAAATCTTGACTTAGCATCTGTAATTGAGAAAATTAATGAAAGAATTAACCTATTATTAGAGGAATCCAAAGGATTAAAGTTAGAAAAATAATAATTGAGTTCTGAAATAACTAAACTTTAAAATAAATTAACTTAGGTTGAAAGTTAAAGTTAATAATAAGTTTAATAAATTTTAGAATTACAAACAGAAATCAATTACTAACAATTAAAAGCAAAATCTAGTATACAAATTTTAGATGAATAATAATAAAATATTCCACAAATAATAATCTAATCATCAGAAGATAAAGATTAAGAGAATGATTCTATTCCTTAACAAGAAGTGTAATAGGAAGTTTGAAAATGATCCTTTTTATATTGCATATTTATTCACCACTACACATAAAACCTAAAATTAATAAAGAATTTAATTCTCTAATTAACATTCAATGAAAATATATATTAACACAATTTTTATCCAAGAATGGTATATAAATAAAATTAAATAATTCTAAAAAATTCTAATCTTATTACCTTCAATATGCCATTTATTTTCTAATCTATTGCATTTCTGTATATACAAAATTTATTATAAATAATATTAAAAACAAACTAAATTTAAAGGGATTTTGGAAATCAATCTATGTGTTTGTTAACAGTATTATTAATTAAACGAGAGATAAGGGTTTCTCGGCTTATTTTTAAGTTAAATTGCTTGAATATAAATATTATTATTCTACATCGATTCCATTTCAATATTTTATTTTAAAAATTTTTTAAATCTTTTTTCATAATTTTTTCTTCATTATTATGAACTTAATTTATTTTTTTTCCTGTTTCTTCAAATAAATAATTTTAATTATAGATATTTTTTTAAATTTCTTGATTGACTCTTCTTTTTTAGAACAATAATCTTAAATTTTTTAAGTTTCTCAATTTTTATTATAAAGATCTTGATTCTATAACTTAAAGTTTTTCTTTAAGCTAATTACAATTATCATTTTATCTTCCCATCTTTTAAAGAAATCTTATCCAGTATTTATTAATTGAAATATTTCTCTTTAAATAATTACTGTTCTATACCTTAAATGTCTCTCCATTCATGTTATCTTGTTGTTCCATTTATGATTGGTTATACAACAACCTAAAATAGTGGAAAGGAATATTTGTATCAGATGTATATTTTAACCATATAGTTATTTTTTTGCAACGTCAATTTTAAATTGTTCTAATAAAATAAGAGAAATAAATAAACTTTTTAGTTTCCATAACAACCCATATTGATTTGTAGATATATTAATAATTATAATAATAAAATCAGTATTTTTGTAATTCCTTAATGATGAATTCATTCCATTCCTTCTATCTGCTAATATTTTGACTGTGATTAGTCTCATCATCATACCTTCTTTCTAAGGTGAGATACTCTTAGAAAGTATCTTGAAAGATTTTAGTGGATTCTAGCCGATAATTTTTAGTAAATTTAGATTTGTCAGCTCTATAAAAAATTGATGATAATAAAACCTGGCTTTGAATTCTAGAGCACATAAACATCCAATTAGATAATGACCAGTTTCATGTTCTAATAAACGATCCCATTTATTCTTAACCCATGATTTACTATTTAAACAACACCAAGCATTAATAGTTAAACGATATCTAATATTATTGCTATGTTTCATTTTTTTCATGGCAATGTCATAAGTATATCCTACAGTCCAAAAACAGTGAGCTTTCCATTATGAAAAAACATTTGGAGGAGCAGAAAAGAGATCCCAAGTTACTCTTTATATTTTGACACCATTAATCATAAGTGGTAGGATAGTGTCAAAATCATTGAAGGAAGTATAATTCAAAGGGTCATAAATCTCATCAATTTCAGATGATGTATTACTGCAGCATGTTGTGAAGTGAGAATTACTATTGCATTATTCATTTTCTGACATTCTACATAAGAATATATATAGTTAATACTTTTAAGATTGTGATCTTTGAGATGTAGAATTAGAAATTGAACATCTTCTAATTATCATTTGTGAAAAATGTCACAAAATAAATAAATTAATTATCAGATCAGATTAGATAAATCTACAAGTTTGATATTCCGAATGAATTCTCAAGTGGATCATTGTCTAGGGTGCTTCCAAATCCTAACTTTATAGTATCTTTAGTATGTGGGAATGAAACATCAATAACTGATGTCAATTTTCCTTCAGGATATCTACTCCCACAAACAGAAATACCATTCTTAACTTTTGAATAGTCATATTTTTCAGTCCAAATATATTCCATTCCATCCATTCTTCCTATACTAGCTCTTAAGAATCCTGTTTCTCCTCCCCAACCATCTATAAAATGATAATTTGCAACAATCCTCACTTTACTATGTTAAGGTAATTCCACAAATGTTTTCTAGACTTCTCCTCCTGCAAATTTTCCATAACCACCTAACATACTTATACCTCCACATGTAGATATTGAATTATCACTCCAATCTACTGGCTACTACCAATAATTTTCTTACCACCATAACATCCATTAAGGTTGATTTTTATAGTAGAAATTACCTTATATTCGCAATGAATGAAAAGAAGCTTTCTCTGCAGATGTATAAAATTCCAATGGTGATATCGATAATACTATATCTTCATTAAATGTCCATTTCACTGCTCTATCTATAGTTATACGAGATGTTGAATGAGGAAGACTAATAAATTCCAAAAATGCTGGTGATGAGTCTGTTCCTACCAAACTTAATGATGCCATTTATAAAGCTACTTGTTATGTAATCACCTTCTCATTTGAAAGTACTCTTACTATCAATTATATTAATATTAACATTATTATATAAATAAAAACGATTAACATGCTAATATTATTTCTACTTTTAGGTCTAAGTGTCAATATCGAACTTAAATTTGAAGAGGAGATTATTAAATTAGAGCAAACTTAATTAGGCAAAACATTTTTAGATACAGTTTAAATTGCTGTGAGAAGTAAAGAACCTTTAGATAGAGTATTCTAAATTTTAAGAGATCAAGCATAGTCATATGAAACTGAATTCTTATCTATTGATCAAAAACATAAGACATTTTCTGCTAAATGCATTAAAGATCTCAATGATTTCGATAATTATGCAGCTTTATTAAAAGCTCGTATAATGGATATGTAATAAGCCTTAGATGATAAAGTACCTGAAAAAAACAAAAAAGTTAATACACTTTAAAACAAAAAGAAAGAAAAATCTATCTTAATTAATAGAATAGATGAGATCTAATAAAATAGAGAGAAACAGAAATGTGTCTTCGAATCAAGACTTGAGTAAGTATATTACGCTATCAAAGAGAACATTAAACTGCCATTTCTGCTGTTGTTGCAGTTAGAGAAATATTTGAGTCTGCTTTATATGAAAATGAAAACGGAGAAACAGCGTTTATTCAACTATAAGAAGATGATGTTGATAAAATTACAAATTTATTAGGTTATGCAAGTCTTAAGGCAGGTATACTATTATCTTTATAATAAGGGGATTTTAAACATTTATAGGGTTATAGTTCATTGTTTGCTGTTATGGAATAATTGAAAGTAGGATAAATTTCTAAACATGAAGAAACAGTACGATAATTAGTAGAAACTTGCAATGATTTAGAAAATTACATTGATATTGCTAGAAGTCTTTTAAGATCAGTAGATGACATCAGAGACTCTTATTTCCAAAGATTATTCAAAAATTTGAATCAAGATTTAAGAGATGTGAATGCAATTATAGAGGAGCTAGAATCAGATGTTAATGTTTTAGAAGCTTAAATTAAAGTTCTCTCTATGGACAGAGATGAAGCAGTGTAGAAATAGGAAAATAAAATAAAATAACGAGGAGATAGATCAACTGAATGTGAATAAGAAGATAGTGTTTATTAATTTAAATTATAGGAAAAGTAATTTATATTATTATTATCTATTAGTTAAAGAGAAAGAGAAACTATTCATAGGATATTAACATTATGTTTAGAAAATGTTAAAGAACTTAAACATTATATCAAAAAAAGAGGAGACGAATTTTAATGATTAAGAAATAAATTTATTATTTTATCAACTAATTCAAGATTTTATCAAATTACACTTTTTTATAATTCTCTTATACTATTATTAGATATCTAAAGAGATTATTTATCAAACTAGAAAGAATTTGTGTTATTTTTTATATAAAAATTATTAATTACTAGAAAAATCAAAGAAAAAATGGTACTGTGAATCAATGATAATTAGTTAGGAATTTTCAACTTTTCAACTATGATAGTGGTTTTGTTGCTTGTCATCTGCACATCGACTTATATTAGATAGATGAAACCTGATTTTATAAATTCACACAGACATGGGTTTAGAGGTTTCTTTAGAAGAAGCGCTGTAATAGGAGTATTTGAACGATTATATTATATTAAGGATAGATTATCACCATTAGTATCAGGTTCATGTTTTATTATGGCTGCTTATGTGTTGTTAATAAGATGATTAATTAAAACATGTGTTTAAATTATGTAAGAATTATTCTAAATTTATTTAAAATTATTTTTTAAATTTTACTATGAAGCAAGGCAAGCAATAAGGTTAAGCATTAAATGAAGTTTTGAAAGGAGCTATTAAAGGTAGTCATATTTTATATTTGCTCGATTAGGATAGGTATGTACTCGATTTCCACCTGAGCCATCTGGTTATTTACATATAGGTCATATAAAAGCATCTGTATTGAATTATAGATATTCTAAAATGTATGAAGGAAAAATGTTAGTACGTTTTGACGATACAAATCCATCAAAAGAAAAAGCTGAATTTTAAGATTCTATATTGGAAGATTTGAAGACTCTTAAAATTGAATGGGCAAATTTGTCTCATTCAAGTGATTACTTTGATCTTACTGAAGAGAAAGCAAGATTCTTGATAAAAAAAGGATTAGCTTATTGTGATAATACAGATAAAGAGTAGATGAAGAAGGAAAGATTTGATGGTATAGAAAGTGTTAATAGAAACAAAAGTGTTGAGGAGAATCTTGAGTTATTTGAAAAAATGTTATCAGGATAAAATAGTGATTATTGTTTGAGAGCAAAGATAGATATGAAAGCTTTAAATAAATGTATGAGAGATCCAGTTCTGTATCGAACAAATTCAACTCCACACCATAGAACAGGTACTAAGTATAAGGCTTATCCAACCTATGATTTTGTATGTCCAATTTTAGATAGTGTTGAAGGAGTTACTCATGCTATGAGAACTAATGAATATTCAGATAGAATAGAATAATATTAATGGGTTTAATAAGCTTTAGAATTAAGACCAGTTGAAATTTATGAATTCTCAAGATTAAATTTTGTTAATACTTGTTTGAGTAAAAGAAAGCTTTAGGAATTTGTAGATGAAAAGGTTGTAGAAGGATGGTAAGATCCTCGTTTTCCAACTCTTAGAGGAATTCTAAGAAGAGGAATTACAATTGAAGCATTACATGATTTTATGTTAGATTAAGGACCATCTAAAAATGCTAATTTATAAACTTGGGATAAACTTTGGGCAATCAATTTTACAAAGATTGATCCTATAGCTCCAAGATATACAGCAATAGGTAAAGAAGGAATTGCAATTTTGACTATTTCAAATTTTGGAGATTAAGGTTTGAATGTTGTTACAGTACCATAACATCCTAAAAATAATGATTTAGGTACAAGACCTCTTTTTAGAAGTGGTTAATTATACCTAGAAGCTTAGGATGCTAAAGATATTAAAGCAGATGAAAAAATAACATTAATGAAATGGGGAAATGTTAAAATTACTGAGAAAAAAGAAGTTAATGGATAAATCTTATTAACTGGTGAAAATCTACCTGATGATAAGGATTTCAAAACAACTAATAAATATACATGGTTAGCTAAAGACACTCCTATAGTCAATGTAGATTTGGTTGAGTATGATCATCTTATTAAGGTTAAAACAATTGAAGAAGGCTAAAAATTTGAAGATTATTACAATCCAAATAGTAAATATGTAACTGAAGCCTTTGCTGATGCTGGAATTAAAACACTTTAAGTTGGTAAAAATAATTATTTATAATTTTATAGGATCTGTATTGCAATTTGAGAGAAGAGGCTTTTTCAGAATTGATAAAATTGTTGGTGAAAAATATGAGTTAATTTATATTCCAGATGGTAAAACTAAAGCAGCCAGCATCTAAACTAAATTAGATTTGAAATAGGTTCAAACCGGAACTGTTGATTAATAATAATAATAATAATAGCAATAATAAGAATAAGAATAACCAAAGTAACAAAAGTAATAGGAATAACCAAATCCTGAAAGCAAAAAATAATAGAAAAAATTAGAAGCTGAGAAAAAGAAAGCTGAAAAAAAGGCTGAAAGATAAGCAGCATAATAAGCTGAAAAAAAAGAGTGAAGTAATATTAATATATATTATTTTCATCAAAATATTTATCAATATTAACTCAATTTGGATGTATAACATATAATAAATCATAATCTGTTCTATTTCCAAACTTCATCTTTACATATTTATTTTATTTCCAAATATCCATTTAATTTGTATACAATTTACTAAATGGGTTTCCGCTAATTCCTGTATCAATTACAAAGAAATTTGATTCTTCTGGATCCATTGATATAATTTATTTATAATTAGATCCTGTTTTACCATTAAAAGATCCATCTAAATCATAAGATGATACTCCCACTGCTCTTCTATTTGATGAATAAGGAATTCTTCTTTCAAAAATGAAAGCGAGAAGTGTTTTAGAAAATGCATGTGGAAAAACTTGATTGTGTAATGATCCCCATTTCCAATCTATTGTTTGATTACCAAATTTTTCATTTATAAATTATTTTGCTTCTCTTAATGATTCAACTAAATTCAAAGCACATTTATCTTATACTTAACCATTGCAATATGGTTAATTAAGAATTTAATCATTAGGTTATGCATTATTCATATCAATAAGATTTTTAAAATGAAAGGAATCAAAAATATAAAAATTGTTCCATTATTTTATAACTGCTTCATCTAATTAAGAATGGAATTTGAATGAATAAAAATACTCGAATACTCCATACAATAAAGCACCTGAAGATTCTTAATCCCATTTACATGTCCAATTTTCTAATATTACAATTTCGTTTATTAATTCCTTCTTTTTATCATATTTTTTCAGCAATTAAATTAATTCTTCTTTTGTGTTACAAGCATAACTATCATATGTATCTGATTAAAATTTTATATGATCTAAAACAGAAAATTTCTAACCATTTTTTATCATTTAAGTAATTAAATCATTTATTCTCCTTGCTCTGCTTGTTGGTTGTGAATTCCAACTTAATTCATTATCTGGTATAAATTTATTATTTGCAACAACAATATATCCTTTTTCAGGATCAATAATCATTGGAATTTCTTAGTATGGTACATATCTAATCCATTCTTTATTGTTCTTCTTAACATATGCATTCTCATCTGGATGTCCCTCCTTTATAACCAATCTTCCTGTAGATAAATAACCAATATGATTATCATGACTTATGAATACCATTCCATTATTAGGATAACAAATATTTTTCAAAAATTCCATACTTTACTTTAAATCCTTTCCTTAAGCGAAATGAATAAAACCATCAAATGATTAGTAATCATCTATATGAACTATAGATTATAATGAATAAAAATGACCATTATGATCTCTTAATTTACTGTTCTCAATATAATATTACATAATTGGACCATGATGAGTATGAAAAATTGTTATAGATTAATCTTCTAAACCTTTTATTTTTATGATCTCTATCGTTTTTTTACAAGGAATCCAGCCATTATTAAATTTGTATAATAAATTTTCATTATCTTTTTAAAGAATCTCTTCTTCATAAATGTCTCCTCCATCAGAATATAAAGTAGTCAATCCCCAACCTAAGTATTTGCTTCTTCCACTCAAACTAAATGGCAATCCAGGAAGTGTTCCACCTATTATAAAATTATATTCTTGATTTTCCATCTGAAAATAAATTTCTGCTTAATACCATTATGATGGAATATTATTATCTAAATGAGGATCATTTGCTAAATGAGGTCTCCCACTTTTAGTATGATTCCCACTTATAACCCAAGCATTAGATGCCTTTAAGGTTGGGAATATATAATTAGAATAATATTCTGGTATTGATTATAAAATTTCTGTTAGATTGTATTATGTTGCTTTTTCATTTTCACTCTTAGAATTTTATCCAAATTTTTTATTGTATGAAACATTATTGGTTTGCATAAATTAAACCCATTCTTTTTCTTAAACTTCTGTAACATCTGAATCAAATTAGTTATGAGGTCCAACAGATCCTAAGATGTTTGCAAGTTCTCTACCATATAATTCATCAAACTTTGTTCTCATAAATTCATGAAACATATCATTAACATTCAATAAAGACATTAATTTGATAAATGCCACACTGTCAAGTATTTCCCAATCTTAAAATTATACTCCCAAAATCTTAAATTCTATTGGTAGCATTTATAATGATTTTACACCATCATTAATTCCATCTGCATAAGATTGTAAATGAACTTTGGCTTCTTCACTCAGTTTTTCAACTATTCTTCTACATGATTCAAGATAACCTAAATTTCTTATATACTTATCTATGTTTAGGATATCTTAGCGAAATCCAAAAATCTCGCTTAATCTACCTTATGAGGACATTCTAAATATATGTAATCTAATGATTACCTTCTTAAGTGTAATTACCATAATCTATCTTAAGCATGTACAAATCCTAATCCATAATATCCTTCTTTTAATGTTTTTGAATGTATATGAGGTATACCATAAGTTTTATCTCGATATATCCTAAAATAATTTGTTGGTAATTTTACTTAACATCATTGTTAATATGTTAAGATGACCATTCTCCTTGATAATTTGGAATACTTTAGTAAATAAAAACAAAAGAAGATAGAATCACAATGGTAATTGTAGAAATTATGAATTTCCCAAACATATTATTATTAATAATCATTAATTTACATATACAGGAATGTGTCTTTCTGAAAATTTTTTGGCTTTAACTTTAATATTCTCAACAATTAATGGTTGAATGTCTTTACTATTGATTGGCTCATCATTTGTTTTGAATTAAGGTAGAATTGCTAAAATGATCGATCCATTTTAATAGTGAGAAGATACTTCCCTAATTTAAACTCTTGTAAAGAATGCGGTTCCTTTTATTAAAGGTACGCACAAATGACCTTTTAATATTTATTCTCCTTTATTATTAACTTTGATTTCTTTTGGATATTATTCTTATGAATAGATAGCAACTACAAGTTCAATTTTATTTGGGTTTTTTACAAGATCTCCACTTTTATTTTTCAATTCAACTCTTAATTAAAAAATACGATCTCGATAAAGTGGGGTTTCAAGGGCATCTGCTAACGTAAGCTTGTATTTATATTGCTTCTCCAGTAACTAATAAATAAGAAAATTAAGAATTACAGATCTTAAATTGAATTATATATGTAATTAAGAATGAGTGTAAAGCTCATCATTTCTTTTGATTTGAATTTGAGAGCAGGAAAAATCTTGCCGACCTTAGACTAGTTTATTATTGATGGTTTGAAATTTGAGCAAATAATCTGAAAGTAAATTGTTGAATTTGTCTTAACTTGAACTCAACTGATCAAGCAATGTCTTATAGGCATCTACTTATTTGTCTAACAAATCAAAAAATTGTTATTATTAAGATAAGATGTTCTGCATGATTTTTTTGAGAGAAAATAATTAATATTTTTATATAATGAATATTAGTACAATCTAAATTCAAATATAAATGTTGTTTTTGTCATTGTTATAAAACAAAAGGTTTGATCCATTTAGCCTATATTTATTAAATATGAGGTATATGAATATCTTGATTAGGGGATTAAAATCCAACAAGAGGAGAATCTATATAGAAATAGAAAAATACTGTCAATAGATCCAGTTCTTCCGGTAATGACAGGAGTTCTCATGATAATTTTAAGAAAGTCATTCTTTTCTTAACTCTAATCAACTTTTAGATCTTCAGTCTTGCAAATATCATTTTCATCGTTAGATCTTTTCAGCTTTTCCATATCTAATCGAATATATTCTGCATTTAATTTGATAAGCCTTTCATCCAAATGTGGATCATCATCTGTATACATTGAAGCAAATTCTTCCTCATAGTTTTCAAAAAAGTATTCATGTTTCAAAGCCTACTTAGAAGTGATTCTTAATTCAGGATCAGCCTAAAGCATTTTAATCAATAAACATCTCTAAGTATCTGAAACTTAATTAAGTTTTTCTTTTTAAAAATCCACAATAGCTTCTCGATTCCTCCTTACAATTGTATTATAACTCTTTCCTTTGAATACTGGCTATCCTGTAATCAAGATATATAAGATCACTCCTAAAGAATACATATCACAAACAGATCCATAAGAAAATGAATCATCTTTCAAATTTATAACTTCCGGAGCAACAAACCCAGGAGTTCCACATTTTGTATATAGATATGGTTTCTAATCTACCCTAGTTGCCAATCCAAAATCAGCTATTACTACTGAATCATAATTTCTAATCTATAGATTATAATCATACTCTGGTTCTTTGAATAAGATATTTTCTAGTTTGAGATCTCTATGCATTATTCCCATACTATGAATATAATTCAATCCTTCTAATAAACCTTTCAATATTGAACGAATCTATTGGATATTAAAAGTCCTTTTCATTTTGAATAATCCATATAGTTAATCTCCCTCAAGTAATTCTAAACACATATATATCGAATTTTAAGTTTCATAAACTTCATACAACTTCATTAAGTTTGGATGATCTAGAATTCTCATTATTTGAATTTCATTAATTAATCCTTCCTAAAAGTGTATTTTTATACTTACCCTTCCATTCTCTTCCTTATAAACTGCATTCTTACAAAATGCCTTTACAGCCATTTTTGTTCCATCTTCTATTCTCTAAGCTAAATATACAGATGCAAAGCTTCCCTTCCCTATTTTTTTGTATACTTTAAAATACTAATGGAATCCTGTCTAATTCATTTTCTTTCCCAGAAACTGTCTCAATTATTCCAAATCACTCACTGAACCCCTAAATTCACTCCACTTATCAACATTCTCTCGAAGAAATCTTATAGCAAGTATTTCTCCCAGAGATACAATATTTTCACCTTTCTTTTCAGAAAGCGATGGGTTTATTAGTAAAGGGGGTGCTCTTAATACCTAAAACTTATATTCAAAGTTTATTGTTAATTATTTATAAGGTTTCTATTAATCGCTATCCTAAATATATATATAAGTTTTTCATACTTAAAATAGCTATATTTATGTATCTGTACATTTTACATAAACAAAATGAGAATTCTTTCCTGATTTTAAAAGCCTTAGACGTAATACATGAGTACAATTTGAATAGTTTTAGTCTACTTTGTTCCAAATTCTTTAATTATACATAAATATTTATGGAGTTGTTGTTTTAGGATATAAATATACTTATAAAATATCAAAAAGAAATTAAAGGTTTTTGATAAAAACTGCTCATATATATAAATGATTTTAATATCATCTAAATCCAGGTCTAAATCCTGATCCAACTTGACTATTTCCTAATTAGACCAATTCAGTTTTTTAAACAAGAGGCACTTCATCAACTTAGTTAGCAAAAACGATGGCTTCACCCAAGCCTAAAAATAAATAAATGATATAAAATTACAATGTGCTTTATCAATACCAATATTTTCAGTTTCAGCATCAATTCTAAGTACTCCAAATCCCTTTAAAACAAGTAATGTAATTAAAACAAAGAAGGCAACCCATACAAATATGATCAATAATCCTAATAATTACATTCCTAATAATTTAGCACCAAATCCATAGAAAACACCAGCTTTAGTATCGAAGAATGCTGATAAAAAGATTCCTAAGAATCCATTACCCTAAAATGAATGAAAAATAATACCAAAAATACAGGAACAACTTCAACAGGATCGTCAATATGAACTTTAGGAATGATTTTAGCTAATACACTATAAAAGACAGCAGCCAAAAGACCATAAATGAATGCAGTCCATGGTTTCATATCATCAGTAGCAGCACTAACAGCTACTAAACCACTAACAATTCCTCTAGATAAAGCAACTAAACTTGTAACTTCATATTAGAAATATCTAATAATAAAAGCAAAGAATCCACCAGTTGCACCAGCAATCAAAGTATTGACAGCAACTAATCCTTAAGTGTATTTAGCATTAGCTCCTTAAGCAACAATACCTCCATTATAGAATAACCATCCTGCAAATACTAATATAGATCCAAATCCAATATAAATTGGTGAATGTCTTTAGAATTATAATGTTGTATTTGGATCAAATCTAAATCTTCTTGGTTTTAAAAGAACAGTAACGACTAATCCAGCAACTCCTGCAGCAAAAAATACTACGCCAGCTCCTGAGAAATCTTTATATCCTAAAGTTGTTAACCTTTTTAAAATATATTTAATTTATACCATCCTTTTGCTAATGTCCAATGTGCTAATCCTGCATATATGAATGCTGCATATACAATTGTTAAAATAGACCATGCTAAGAATGTCATTCTTTCTGCTGCTGCTCCAGATAATACTGATACACCGATTGCTGCACCTGCTGCTCTAAATACTATACAAATTTGAATATTAACAGAAATACCAAAATTAGTATAATCATTTCCGTATTGATTTGCTTCCCAATTTGCTCCTCCTAATTTTGTACCTCCCATAAAATTTGTTTAGAAATCATAACCAAATGAAAATCCATATCCAAACTATATTTATTTAACTTTTATTCTTACCAACCACCATATTAATATTGTCAAAAATAAACCCAATAGTACTTTTATCACTATTGATTAGGAATTCTTATATCTCACTGATCCTGCTTCAATAAATGCAAATCCCACTTATGTCAAAACGATTATGAACCCTGAAATTAGTACCCAATCATAATCTATTGTTGATGCTTAAGGAGTTGGAATAACAGCTACAACAGGAGCTTATGCATATTAAAATTATTAATTTTACCAGCACTTCCTTCTTAATGTCTAAATAGATGACCCATATCTTCCGTTATTTAAATTTTTAAAATAAATTTATTTCATAACTAAATAAAAAATTCCATTTATACTATTAATAAAAATGTATTGATCATTTTAATTTCTAAACTTAGTAAATATTCAACTGATTTTACACAAAATTGCTATTTATTATTTATAGATATATTTAATTCTTATTATTTGTTCAATAAATAAAAATAAAGAAAACTAAATTGATAAATTTTATTTATGTTTTAGATAAATTTAATTAGTAACAAATTATAACATATTAATAATGCAACAAATACCAAAAATAATGCGGGAAATGATTATGACATTATCTAACAACTAATTTACCTATTCATGATAAAGGTTAATTTAAAAACTTAAATAATTATATTCCAGCTATTTAGATCAAACCTATATTTAATTGGCGGGGCTTTTAATTAGAATCTTTACTCTAAATGCGGGTAATAATTGTTTGGTATTTTATATATAAAAATTTGAATTTAAATTCAGAGGGAAAATTCATATAACAAATGAGCTCAGAATTAATATAGGATGGAACTCCATTTACAAAATTGTTTTAAAGATTAGAAAAAATTCATAAATCTCCAGTATTTAATGCCGATTGTGTCCAAAACTAAGATGAAATATATATAAAAGACTAGTCCCCTGAATAAGTATGTAAGAAACTAGAGTTTACACCATGCTTAAAGTCTCCGAATTAGTATCCAATTTTTCTTAATCAATTCTAGATTCTAACCATATTCTCCATTGAATCATTAAACAACAAAAAAGGCTAATATATTTGTAATATCACCAGCAAGATAAATTAATTTTGATCATACAAAGACAGAACAACGACTAGTCAATATTAGTTCACCTCTTAGTTCTCTTAAAGTTCCAGATGATCTATTATGTGATGAGGAGGAGATTTTATCTGAAGATTAAGATGTCCATTCATAATTTAGAAGTCCCCCTAAATCCCCTCACAGAAAATTGGAAAGAGCCACAAAATTGAAATTCATAAATTTTGTTACACTCAAGAAACCTCTTAAATTTACAAGTGACTAAATCTTTAATAGAAAGAGAACAAGCTCTAAAAGAAGAAAACCTTAAACTGAATAGAAACCTAAAATTATTGTTTGCAATTGTAAAAAATCAAAATGCCTAAAATTATACTGTGATTGCTTTGCTGCTGGAGTTCCTTGTGGAAAAGATTGTAATTGTGGTTCCTGCCATAATAATGATGACCATAATAAAGAAAGAGAAAATATAATCAAATAGATAATGGAAAGAAATCCATAAGCATTTCGACCCAAAGTAGAATCTAGAGTATTAATATTTTTTAATTAATAGAGTAATTCCGAAGAGGAAATTGATCATAAACCTAGACATTTTAAAGGATGTAATTGTAAAAAGTCTAATTGTTTAAAAAAATATTGTGAATGCTATTAAATGGGAGTAAAATGTTCTGAATTATGTAAATGTGATGATTGTAAAAATTGTGAAATGCCAGTCAAAAAGGACTCAAGAAAAAGAATTAAACATACACATTCGTGTTTTAAAAATACAGAAATGTATTGATTTAATTGTTTTTATTTTTTTTTTTATTTACAAATTTCCATCAAAATATTTATGAAAATCTATTAGAATTATTCATTTTATATTAAATTATTAATAGACTAATTATTTTTTATATAGTTTATATTTTTCAAATATTTCTCCATAAAGTATAGGATGGGTTTGCAAATTGATATGGATTATAATACTAATTTTAAAGTTATTAATTTTGAATTGTCAAATAGTTTTAATATTATTAGTATAGAGATGATTCTTAATTTAATTAGGGTTAATAAATATTCATATTTGGTACATATTATTAATATCTGATTTATGAGGTTTATTCCTAAGTTTTTATAACCTCTTCTTTTTTTATTGAATTATTAATTTCACATTGAGGTAAATTAATATTTCTAAATGTTTATGAAGGTTAATTGATTGCATTAGAATATTATTCGATTTTGACTTTAGGGGCAATGTTATCCTCAATGTAAGAAAAAGATTAAGTTTTTAAAATAGCAAAATGTTTTGTTTTAGAAGTGATTTTCAAAGTTTGTTTGAAGTATTCTGAATATTACTAAGAGAACTATTTTAGATCCTCTACCTATTTAACATTATCAGGCAAATAACATTATTGTGTATAAATTTCATAGCAACTATTTTCTAATTATTAAATTAATTCAATTGACTATAATTATGATGGATTATACCTTTTTTTATTGGATAATATCTTGATTAGGAGGTGTAATTAATAACTTGATCTTCTTTTGTTTTTCTACTTTATTAATAATATTGTTTAAATGATTTTAAATCTAATTCACAATATTTGTTTATTAATAAAATAATTATTAATCAACAAATATTTTAATTAGACTAGAGAATCTTAATGCTAAAAATATAGGATGTTTAATTTTATTTCTGATATTTGAAGCAGTAAAATAATTGATAAATCCTGTAATTGAATTATCAATTTTAATCATATTTACAGTCTTATTTTTCGTTTCTCTTTTTGTGATTATAGCATCAAGTAAATCACTTGGGAATAATTCTGTAAAAGAATGTGTATGAATTGAGAAATTGTGAAACCGAGCAAATTTTCTTGAATCCACAAAAATTGCTGGAGATATTATTGAGCTAAGAACCACATTTTCTTCATTTACTGAGGAATAAAATAATACAAGTATTAAATGGAATTTTTTATGCTAACGTTACTATTTAAAGTAATACATCATTGTTATAAGATGTTGTGGTAAATTTAAGGCATCTAAAGTTAGTTTGTTGGCCTATTATTTCTTTTTTTGATTCTCCTTTAATACCTAAATTTTTATATTAATAAGGCATTTCTAAAGCTTTGACTACAAAAATTTACACAAAAAAAGTTCCTTAAATTGATTAACTCGAGATAGGTAACTTTTAAGTTTTAGAATTTATTATTACCTTTAAAGTATAATCAATTTCAGGCAAATTCCATGATTTATGCCAACTCCAGCCTGCTTCAGGATCATAATTTAGTTATTTCTTAAATACAACATCAGGAAGGATTTCCATTTTTATTTCATTAAGAACAGCTTTTTGTTAAGCTTTAAGATCAATCTAAATATTTTCATTCTCTTAATTTATCATAATTCCAGAGACAGGAATCCAATTAAATACATTCTGTATGTTACTGTTCATGATGCAGGAATGCTTTGTTTTTAAATTTTAAGATTACAATAAATACAAATAAATAAATGGTTAAGTATTTAGAAATAATGTAAAATGAGATACTTTTTTCAAAGTCTTTAATTTATTTGAATAACAAATTAATAAAGTTTAGTTTATTAATAAATAACAATATTAATTAAGAAATTATAAATTCCTCTTTCAGCGATTTAAAAACAGTGTTATTATTTATTGAGGATAAAGATTATTTATTTTTACCAATTATTATACGTTCTATATCATGTATAACCTATTATATTTCTTTATTTTTAAATAATTAATTATTAATTTTATATAATAAATTCATATTTTCGATCACATTTTTCTAAAGTAATAATAAATTATTTAAATATATTGATAAAATTGAATTTTATGCATGTTTGATTGGTTGCATTTGATTCTAAACTCTTCAAGAGATAATTTGGATAGAATATTCAAATTAATTTATAAAATTATACTACTAAAGGGTAATATTTAATATTTCTTCCCAAAATAAACCCTTTAAATTTAATGTTAGTGGATGTTAATGGAAAAGCGATTTTCAGATTTTTGGTATGATAGTGTTATTTATTTAGAAATTAGGGCTAAATTGAAGAAAGGTTGAGATTTTGATTAATGACAATATTTAAATGAATTATTAGATTGAATCAATAGAGCAAAATTAACTATCAGATTAATAGTTGCAATTGATAAAGCAAAAGATATCGATGAAGCACAGAAAACTTATAAATTAGTGATAATAAATACAACATTTAATTGGAGTAGTCATTTTTCATAGTTTAAACCTATATTACAAAAATTTAGAGATTTAGGATATAAGATAATCATTTATATTGAAGAACTAAAGCAATATATTGAAGAAAATAATGATGTCATTGATTAAACATCAACTAAGCAAAAGAATAATTTAATAGGATAAAGAATCTGAATATATCAATAGAAGCATTCTTTCATCCAATCTATTTATGTGTAATCAAATTTTGATTCAATTCAAGATTTTAATAAGGAAATTCCTATAGCTATGCATTATGTTTTAATATAACTCTCACAAAAAAGAAGATATTAATTAAAAAGACATTTTGATATTTAAATGAATTTATTACAGTCATTATCGAGTATGACTTTATGTATGATTATCAAATTTTTTAATAATAAAGTTAAACTTATCAAAATATTTCGCAATTTTGAGAAACTAAATATAATGAAAAATAAGTACCTATTTAGTATAAATGCAATTTAATTCCATCGCTTGCAACAATTACTTTGCCATTCTATATTGTAGTTAATAAATGAGCTGGTTTTGAAGCATTAACAATTAATTCTTTATCCTTTTCATCATTTAATTTGCTTAAATCACCATTAACTAATATTGATCCTATAAATTTTTAACTCACCCAAACAAGGTAGTTGTCTGAAATTGATAGAGCTAATGGAATAGTTTTATTATGAATTTGATATATTTATATTAAATTTAAAACTCCTAACGTACAAAAAAAGAATTACCATCTTTAATTTAAAATATTGGAATTTCTACAACATCTTTTCCTATTCCTGTAAAATATTCTGATGAAATTAAGGTTAAATTTGTAAGTTAAGTTTCATAAATATATTTAGCTCTATATATTTTAAGAGAAATAAAATTACGATTATTCAGAAGCTAAATATTTACAAAGTATTGCACAGTTTTAATGTGTTGATATAATATTTTTGATTTCATCATCATATATTAAATCTAATACTTATCTATCAATTTCTTTGTATTTTTTTATTACACCAGGAGGTTAAGTATCAAATGCTAAAATCATAATTTCTCCATATTTAGTTCCGATTATGCAGAGATCTTTTCTCATAAATTTCATGACCTAAAATCTACGAAAATATAATACAGTTATTGTATCATATTAAAAATGAGTTATTTGTTCGCAGACAGAGGATTTATTTTTTAAGTTGATTCCTAATATTTCTCCTGACCCTGTTATTCCAACACAAATATTAAGTGAAGGAAGATAGGATAAAAAATTAACATCTATCTTTTTAGTAATAGAATACGTTGATTAAAAATCCATTCTACTGTGCCATCTATTGAAATAAGTCTAACACCTTCATTTGAATAAGAAAGAATTTGATCACCAGCAGAGAGAATTCTATTATGATAACTATCATCATTCAATGTTCCTAAAAACTTTAGAGCAGTATTTTCATTAGAATATGTTTAAATAAACTATTGTTTTTTTTATTCATCAAATTAAATTTGTTTCTGGATCTGTAGTTTCTCACTAAATTTAATTTTTTAATATACTCATCCTTGAAATCTGGATTTAATGTTGTTAAGGCTTGAAACCAACTGAATCTATTCTTTTCACTAAACTCTGTCATTCCATATATACAAGCTTTTATTTAAGGATTTTTTATATTAGTTATGTGATTTTATAATTTTTTCCATCCTTGACAATCTTTTCTTAATTCAAATTCTTCACTTGTATCAATAGAATCTCCAGTTTTATCATCATAAATAATAGGATCGTTCAATTTTGACAAATCTCCATCATTAAGTAATAGGATCATTTGTAAAAAAGTAATACCTAAAGAAAAAATATCGCTCTTTTCTAAATCATGTCTTTTATAAAATATATTATACTTCACTTTTCCTGTTTGATTCATTGAATATGCAAAATATAACTTAGGAGATAAAAATAAGGGTGTCCCTACTAAAGTATTCAAATTTGCCTATCCATGAAAGTTTTCTTTACCAGCTCCAAAATCTGCTAATTTAATTGTAAATGGTGATTAATTTGTAACCAATATATTCTCTGGCTTAATATCCCTATGAAATAAATGTTTATTTTTTGCTAAATAATGAAAAGTTCTTAAACATTGATTCATTATATCTATTATTAATAAATCTATTATTTCATTAGTATATTTAACCTCCATATTCTTTTGAATTTTTTCTTCTATCTTCTATGTCTTATCTAAGACTATTTATTGCTAATTCCATTGCAAAAACTAATACAAATTTTCTAAAAGGCATTTCATCCTTCCAATAATAAACTTTGTAAACTTTAATAACATTTTGATGATGCATTATTGCTGAATACAATTTTAACTCTTAAATTGCCAACTCAAAAGCCTATTAACTAAACTATTAAATTTTTTATACTTTTATGTTTCAATTATTTTCAAAGCATAAAATCCTTGTGGTAAAGACTTTAACGCCTTAGCTTTAAAGACTTTACCAAATGTTCCTTATCCAAGTAATACAGAATTTTTAAAATCAAAGTCTTCCTAAAATTCAATTTTAGTAGAAAATGATAACATATAAATATATATATTTTTTTAGAATAAAAATGTTTGTCCTACATTTTGTACTATTAATACTTTAATATAAATTTAGTCTAAAGATTTCTTTAATCAATATTCTAATATATGACAATATCAAAATTATTTCATTTTAATTACAGAGAAAGAAATTTAAATACATTTTTTGATTAAAATTAAGAAGAGAAAAACAAGCATATTCTTGGGTGCATGATTACTAAAAAAAAATAGAATATTATATAAAATTTATATTAATATCAATGGATAAATTGATTGGCCATTATAGATTTAATATGAATCATCTTATTGGTAGGGGAGCATATGGTTCTGTTTTCAAAGGTAAAACATAATCAGGATAACCAGTCGCAGTTAAAATGATAGACAAAAGAATGATTAATAAAGTAATTTCCATAAAATTGATCATTTTAAGGAGAATGAAAAACATTTAAAAAACGAAGTTGAATCAATGAGGACTTTAAATCATCCTAATATTGTCAAATTTTTAGATTATTATGAAACATAAAATAACATATACATTATTTCTGAATTTTGTGATGGTGGAGATTTAAGAGATTTGATAAAAAGAGGTAAATAAGATGAAAAATTAGTAATAAGCATTTTGTAGCAAATATTAAAAGGGTAAAGTCTAACATTATTGTTAGATATCGAGAGTTGTAAAATAAATCTATAATCCATAGAGATTTAAAACCAGCTAATATTTTAATTCATTAGAACATTATAAAAATAGCAGATTTTGGGTTTTCTAAACGAATCAATTTTGAAAATGATCTAATGAATAGTGTAGCAGGAACACCTTTATATATGGCACCTTAAACGGTTTTAAGATAATCTTATTCATCTAAATGTGATATTTGGTCTCTTGGAATGATTCTTTATGAGTTGATTTTTTTAAAGCCTCCTATTAAAGCACAGAATGTATTAGAATTATAAGAGTAAATCAAAATGGCAATTGTAATACCTAAAATTGATAATTCTCTTTTGTAAGATTTAATACAAAAATGTCTTTAAGTAAATGAAGATGAACGTATTAGTTGGGACGAAATTTATAATCATGAATTGTTCTGTAAATATGATTATTATATGCAATAAATTTAAAATATTGAAGAGGAAAAGGGTTAATAATTGAATGAATGTTAAATAACAAATAATCAAATCTTATTAGAATATCAAAGGTTAATGATTAGCAACTATCTTGAAATAGAATTTGAAAATAACTAAAAATTATATTTAAATATCATAAATACTACAAGAAGCCTGTTTAACTTTAGTATATTTGTTAATGCATAATAAAGATAGTATTAATATGCTTAGCAATTAGCTTAATATCTTAAAAATTGTGCATTTGGTCATCTTAAACTTATAGATTAGTGTGTGCTATTTAAGGAATTCGACAAATTTATAATAACAGAAAAAGGTTAATATTGTCTTTAGTAGCTATAATTTTTAAAGTAAATGATTTAAGAAAAAAATATATAAGCTATTAACTTTTCTTTTAATTAATTTGAATTTAATGAATTACAAAAATTTTTAGAATATGCAATAGTTTAAATAACTACAGAATCAGCCTAAATGAATCACACAAAATTATGTTTTATTCTTATGTCAAAATTAATAATTGAAATGATAAAGTATGAAAATGAATATCCAAATAAACATTTGTTTTAATTGAGTGATATTGCTTAAATAGACATACTTACAGATTAAGAATTGGCATATAGAATTAACTGTATTTGATAAATTAGATATTAAATAATAAAAATACTAAATATCAAATTAATCTTTATAGAATTATATTAATTTATAATTAAATCTGATTTTTATTGTATTTAATAATAAGACGTCGTTACTACTAAAATAATTAAAACACTAGACATAGTTGGTTAATTAAAAGCTTTACAGTTTAAAATTATTTTTTTTTGAGTAAATTATAGACAATCATAATTTAATTTAAATATCTTTGATATAATATTTCTAAAAACTTGTATCTATTTTGAATTAATAGAAAAATAATAAAAAAAACAACAACAAACATGATTATCTTACTATTTTTAGTTTATTATTGTTTCTTTTAAGTCAAGAGTATTAAGTTTTTTGATAAAATTGTAAAAATTCCAGTTTAAAACAGATTTAGTTTAATTATATTCTAAAATTATCGAAATATCTATATTTATTCCATTTAGATAAATCATAATTCCTTTAATGTTAAATAATATTGAAACAATAATAATATTTCATCTATATCAAAAATGGGAGGAATATGTTAGAAGCAAATTAGCATTGAAGAATAGGGAAATAATGAAAAGAAACAACATAAATTCTTAATAAAAGGTCCACCTAAAATTCAAAAGCCTATTCCAATAAAAAATTTATAATTTCAAGTTGATGATGTTATAATAGAGAAAGAATAATGTATCTCAATACCAAAACTTTTATCTTAAGAAAAGGAATTTAGAATAACTGAATAAGAATTAGCTATAAAGGATGTTAAAATTTCATTAGAAGAAGAGATTCTCTTTCGTTAAGAAAGTGATTAATTAGAGCAGTAAAACAATTCAAAAGATGAAGGAAATAGTCAGAAAAATTAAGGAAAGGGTTCAAATAATGATATTTCTAAACATAAATCGATTCTGAAAAATAAAGTTAACAATGGATCTAACCCTTAAAGTCCTAAGAATCAATTAAAAGATTCTTTAACATCTGGGTCATAAAGATCTATAAAAAAAGTAACTTTTGATAAAAAGCAGAAAGTTGCTTATAGTAGTTTTAGAAAGATAAAGCTTGATTGATGAACTTAGATTTACAATTTTGTTTATATTGATTGAAGCAAATTTTATTATAAATAATTTATTTATTTGCTCAAATAAATAGGTATATGAGTTAAAAAGATGAAACAGAATAAGAAAAAGAAGATTAATATATAGAGAATGAAAATGAGAATGATGATAAAACAGGAGTTTAATAAAATTAATCTCTTAATGATGGAACAATATAAGATAATTCAAGAATAGAACCACCTATTGTTGAATTAAAGAACTAAAATGAAGAAATAAATTAAGAGTAACTCTAAATACCAAAATAAGATTCAAATGTAGCTACACCAACAAGAACTTCTTAACATGAGGCATCTCCAGTTGTATAAAGAGATTAAATATAATATCAAGAAAAAGATTAGTAATCAATAGATGGTACAGAATTTAAATAAGAAGAACAATTTGATATACTATAAAATATAGATAATTAATAACAAAATAAGTAAGAAAAAATAAATGAAGAAAATAATCATGAAGAACAAAATGAAAAATCTTCAGAAAATCATTAAAATGAATAAAGTTTTAAGAAAGAACAAGTTGAATAAGAAGAATTATAAAAATCTTTTCACTCATAATAATATTCTTAAAAATCAAATAAATCAACATTATCTGAAAAAATAACTTTCTTATAATCTACTTTATAAATGAAAGATGAATTAATATTAACATTGTAAGATGAAATTGCTGTTTTGAAATAATCTTAATTAGATAAATAAGAGCATATAGAAACTATTGAAAAAAAACATGCAGAAAAATTAGAAAAACTTTTTAAAAAAGTAGAAGAATTAGAAAAACTTCTAAAAGAAAAAGAAAATGATATAGAATAATATCGTAATGGAAATTAGACTTTACATCTTCAAGATTTATCTGTTATTTCTGTATAAAAAAATGATAATATTAAATCAAATGTTAATGATAAAAAAGATGTTACTATTTTTGAAGTTCTTAATGAAAAATAAACAACTGCAGATTTATCAGAACTTGGAAATAATTTTTGGTTAATATCAGCAGAAAGAAAAATTTAGAAAAATAATCCTTTATATAAAGATTATTTTCCAAAAGATCCAGAACCTGAATAACTTAAAAATAAAATTGTTATAAATCATCCAACTAAGAAATATGATAAATCATATTGGTACAAATATGTTGAAATAAAAAAACCACCAAGATATAATCATAATATATAATTACCTAAATTACCAGAATTAAATCATTAATATTAATAAAATGATCCAAAGTTATTATCTAAATAACTTTAATAAAATTAAGAAATGTAATAATAAATAATTTAGTCAATTTAATAATAAACACCTTTTGGTTTTTCTTAAACAGTATAAAATAAGGTAAATCCAATATCATAATCTATTCCTTTTAGCCAAAAATTATTAGCAAATAACCAAAGGAGTGGTAGCTAATAATAAAAGTAAATTATTGTTTAAAATTAGTAATAATTTAATTAAAAATAAAATGTATGCATCATAACCTACTATTTTAAAGGCACAATAAGTATCATTTGATCAAGAAGATTTTTTAGCTGATTAGGAAATTGAATAGATGTTTGCTTAGTAATCTCCTCCAAAAAAATAAAAAATAGATTGGGATTAATAACCAAGGAATAATTATATGATTGTTTAACATACTAACTCTTCTTAGGTCATAGAATAAAAAGAAAAGTTTCCCAATTTGTCCTAAAAGCTCTCATATGTCAATTAATACTCTCATAAAAAAGAAATGTATTAATTATAATATAACAATTAGCTCAAGATTAAATGAATCATAAAATTAAAATAGAACTAAGATATCAAAAAATTATTGATTGAAAAAATCAATTTTATAATTATTATTTTAATTTAAATTGATGAGACAATATATAAATTTAATTAATAGTTGAATATAATCTCTATGTTTATTAGTACATGAATGAATAATTTCTTTATGATCAATTAATTGATCATTGAGAAGAGCTTAGAATTTTTAATCTAAAATATTAATGCGTAAAGTATTATATACAAAAGATATTAATTAAATATTATAATTTTTGTTCTAATGTAAGAACCTAAAAGAACTAGAATTATTTGTTCTGTAAGTGAAAATTGCTCAAATTATGATTTATTAAAAAGCATGGTTGAAGCAGGATGTAATGGTTTTACGTAGAAAATTAGTATTATTATTTTAGTATTAATATGGCTTATATAAAAAACAAAGAGAGTTTATAAATATTGAATAATAATAGATGCTAATTAGAAGCTGAGTTCAAAACAAAAATACCTCTAAATTTAATATTAAGAGGGTAAGTAATAAGAGTTGGATAATTGCAAGATTCTGAAACTTTAATAGAAGTAAATAATTAATCAATTTTGAGGAAGGAAATATTGTATATTTGACTTCAGATTAACATAAAGTAGGAAATAATTAATTAATTCCAATAGATTCAAATGAATTTCTTGAAAAATTAAATATAAATGATAAATTAGCAATAGATTATGGTCATATAGTATTGGAATTGATAGATATAAAACTATTTGATTAGTAATGATTGTGAATATATTTAGAGTAAATGAGAAAATTGAAATAGATTAAATGTGTTTATTAAGTGGAGTGAAAATATATATATGCAAATGTTGTAAAGGTGGAACTTTAAAATCATTTAAGCCAATATCAATATTTATAGAAAATAAAACATAAAAAGAAGATGATCAATCAGAATAAATATCATTGACAGAATAAGATATTTTAGATATAGATTATGCTTGTGAATGTAATTTTGATAGTATAACATTTTCTAAAGTGAATTCAACATATGATATAAGAAAAGTATTTTTGGTGTTAATTTTAGGTAAAAGAAAGATTAGAATAGAGTTATCCTCATGTTTAAGTATTTGCTAGAATTGCTGAAAAACTAAAAGAAGAATAATTAGAAGAAATAATTAACTTGTCTGATGGATGTATTATAGCAAGATCGCATATATCAATGACTTAACCTGTAGAAGATGTGGTTAAGTATTAAACTCAAATAATATCTTGTTGTAGAAAATTATTTAAACCTGTTATTTTAATTATTATTATTAATAGGTCTTTGTATCAACATATATTTTAGAGTCTATGAGTGTTTAACTTAAACCTTCTTTTGCAGATATGGGAGACATTTCTAATATTGTTAAATAATATATAGATGGAATTTTATTATCTGGAGAAACTAGTTTTGGTAAATTTCCAGTCTTAATTGTTTAAACTCTTAACAATATTTGTAGAAAAATTGAAAAAAAACTACTTTAAGAACTTTTTGATCATCCTTAATAAAGAGATCAGTATTAAGTAAATTTTACTGGATAACCTATTGCTACAGTTATTGCTAAATCTTGTGTTGAAATGGCTTATATGTAATCAATACATTTTATTATATAGTTTATAAGCTAAAGCTATTTTAATGTTGACTCGCAGAATTTAAACTACATTAAAACTATCAAAATTAAGAGCTTCTTGTAAAATTATTTCAATTAGTGATGATTAATAAATTTGTAGATGTTTAAATTACATTAATAATGTACAATCAGAATTAGTAAATGGATTTGCTAATTAAGAAGAGTAATTAAATATATAATTTATTAAAGAATTATTTAAGAGTGCATTAAAACATTGATTGATAAAAATTTATTATAACCTAAGGATTTCATTGTTGTTATTACAGGAATGGTTGTTTAAAATAAAGACTGGCATATTAATTAAATGAAGGTTTTGGAAATATGAAAGAATATTTAATTATAGCTCTTTATTAATTAGTATATTTATTTCAATAATTATAATATATAAAATTCAAATCAATTTGTTCTATTCTAAATTATCTTCCTTAACTTCTTCTTAATCATTTTATTGATGCAATTATTATTATAATAGCGATTGTTTATCATTCGTAACAAAATTATCTAATTACTAAAAATAACAAAATATCTTTATGATTAATACCTTTATACCATCTGAGTTATTTTCTTTCATTTTTCTTTTGGCATTCATTGTAGGATCTCTACTTTCATATTGTTCTTAACCATTAGATTGGATATATATGAAATAAGAAATTGCTATATGATATGAATTTCGTTTTAATTGTGCAGTATTGTATGAATTTCTAGAAATAATTTGCTAGTAAGAACTGTGATATTTACTAATTGTGTTGGCATATTTAAATATGGATTCAAATAGCTATGGGGTAATTATTAATATTATTAAGGATTAAAATAAGGTTAAGCTTAAAAAGTAACTTAAGAGTATATTGGCTCTTTTTTAAAATTGTAGAGATCATTTTTCTTTACATCTTATGATTAAGTTTTTTTTTATTGAGGCTTTTTAGTTTAAACATTTGATTATTATTATTTATTTTTTGTAGGGACGGTTTTTTGAATTTTCTTATGAGCAACTTAGTTATATTATTATATAAATTAGCTACATTTATTTATGTCAGATATTAAGGCATAAAAATTCTTAACTACTTCTTTAAAATCTCCATCATCATAAATCTTTCTTCTTCTACTCCTCATAGACTTATGTTAATTTAAGGTTTACATATCTATTCCCTATTAAATTAGGATTATTGGAACTGTCAATAAAATTTTCACTATCAACTTACATCTGTGTAATTTAAAGATAATAATATGATAAAAAAGTAGGTTAATTATGTAATATAAATTAATGATTTTAAATGACACTAATATAAAAATAATAAATAGTATCCAAATAAACTTCATTCAATACAATACATCTTTTCAATCGCTTCAACAATGGTTTAAAATTAATCAATTTAATCTAATTTAAAATATTCTTTTAATAAAGTTCGAACATCTTCTAATGGTAAGACTTTGTGAATTAAGAACCTATATAATTTAATTAATTGATTATCTTATTTATCATCATAAAATGAGATTATAGGTATACCATTTTCTAAATGATGACTAAAATAATTTAATGTTATTACACAAAACTATATGATGCATTATCAACTATAACTATATCTTTTAAATCTCTATCAATAACTTCTAAATTTTTAATATAATAAGTTGAATTTTCATCAGTAACACAACTATCTCTAAAAATTCTTCTTTTCACTCTTTATTGAGGATCCAAATAATTTATGACCTTATAATTTATATAAAATGATACTTCATTTGCATAACATTCATGAGAAGCTGTAAAAATCATAACTTCACATACATCACTTAATAATTTAATAATCTTTTCTGCAAAAGGTCTAATATTGATTCCAGCATTAACTTTCTCTCCAGTTGGAAATGTTATAGGTAACACTACTTATGAACACATACTTTCTTCTTCATTACAATGAACTAATGTTTCATCTAAATCAAAAATTACTGTCTTCTTAACTAAATTAATTATAAAATTAATTACATTTCAAATTTTAAGGATAGGGTTCTAATCTAATTTTTTTTTCTTATATTTCTTTATCTTCAGCTTAAAAAAATTACACTTATTTTATTGTTGGTATAAAATTAAAGGAATTTACGAAATTCTCTCGAAATAATTTAGAAAAACTAACTGTTTCATCCTAAAATGCTGTAATCAAATCATCAATATAATATCTATTTTATTAGATTTTCTATAATATGTTTTAATGATTTTGAATTTTATTATTAATACCATTTATACTATTATCATCATTATTTCTTTCCATTTTTGTAACAACTTTCTATAATTAATGATGATTTTTTTTCTTTCCAAAATTATTAGATGATGTTATTTACGATTTTTCTGGAATTTTTATTAATGGATTTGGTTTTGTTTCTGTCAAATTCGATTGAGGCTAACTCATTTACTTAATAGGTTATTCTTATGTTTTTTTCTCTTATGTCTACCCTCTAAATATATTATTATTATTTTAACGTAAAGAAGGTTGATGTATTCTATTATTTTAAAAAGATAATTACGGTAGTGGCTATTAAAAATTGCTTGCTGTAAAACCATTCCTTATACCATACTAAAATCTTGACATTGATAATTTTCAATTAATAAAATTATTTACTATTATCAAAATTTTAAGAAATTCATAATAAATAATCAAAATTTATTATTACCATATAATAAAAATTTTAACACTTTCTCAAACTATATTTACTTATTATTTTATATCATTTATTTCAATCAGAAATATTTTACTTCCTTAAATTATTATACAACTATGTACATTTTGCCAGCACTTTAAGATGAAACTTAGAAAGGTAATATTAAGGTCTAATTGAAACCAATATTTATTTATTTTTAAAATCTTACATGCTTGTATAAAGAAGATTTAATTCAAAAAATGTTTGTAGAATTATAAAATGTTCATAAATTCATCACATAACTTGTGATTAATAAATAAAACAAAACAAAAAACTAATTAATTAGATAAACTCTTATCTAATTTAGAGTATATAATTTTTATTATTTTAATATTATAATACATTTTTTTATTGTTTTGTCTGAGTAAATTTCAATTTTTCATTATATATATATATCAATTAATCCTAAAATTTGTGAAGTCAAATTAATTTTACTTTTAGGGATTAAATTATGTTAAATCAATAAAAATACTCTGTTGAAAAGGGGATTATTATTTATCATTTAGATTTTTCTTTTAACAAATCCTCAATATCTTATATTTAATAAAAATAATCTTGAACTATTAGTATAAATCTATAATGAGACCTAAACTTAACATTATAGTATAAATTCCTACATGAACATAAGATAGTTTTTCAATTATATTTTAGTCAGTTATAGATAATTAATCTTAAGCATAGTAAACTAAAATTAATGTTAAGGATAAACTGAGACCTACATCTTAAGTGATTCCTTTTATGGATTATAGAATGTTTAAATAGGGATTCTATGATATTTAAATTATTGACGAAATCATCTAGATCAAAATTAGGATGGATATTTAAAAGATGGCATAATCATAAAATAAAATTAAAGATCCCATAAAAATGATTTTTCTTAATGGTTGTAGAAACTAAATTTATCTATTAATTTGATTGTCTTATTTCACTCCTTCATATAAAGAACTAAATTAGGATTAAAACTTTTTAGACTTCAGTTCATAACTAGATAATTTTAATGAGGAGGATAAATGTAATAATATGACTATTTAAATCAATAGTAGTAACATAGCAACAATAAATGAAATTTGATCGACTAAAGTAGGATTCTAATTCCAAAGCCAACAATAAGCTGATGTGAAAATAGAAAAATTTAAATCATAGAGACTAGATAAATAAATCCTAAGAATGATGTTATAAAAGAAATTTTAATAATATTTAAGGCTGATATAATGAATAAAGTAAACTAATTTGTAAATTAAATATTTAATACTATTAGATCTATCTAAAGGAGAAATATATAATATTTTGAGTTGTTTAATCAATATGTTATGAATAATAAATAAATTGATTTTAGCTAAGATAAATAATATAATAGGGGTAAACCAAATGACAAAGATAGAACTTAGATTGATAATAAAATTATATTCTACTTGTTTTTCAATAATTAAAGGATAATTTTTGTTTTATTGATAATCTAGATCTTAAATAAAATCAAATTAAAAATAGTCATTTGTAAATTCAAATCTAGCAAATTCAAATATTTCTAAGAATTTATTATGTAAATAAGGGAAATTAACATTAATGAATGTGATATAGGATAGAATTTATAAATTATCTAGAACATTCCAATAAAATTCTAAACTTCCCATAAGCAATCCTAAAACAGAAACACCTCCCAATATAAATAATACAGATGAAGCAAATTATTTAGATGCTTTTGATGTACTTAATGTATCTTAACCAAGTTAAATATATTAAATCAAGTCAATAGATATATTTTTTGTTTTTAATGGTAATTAATCAATGACATCATTAATAATAAAAGTTGAAAAGTCAATTTGGAGAACAATTTCAGCAATAGATTAAAGGAATTACAAATCAATTTAAACTTTTTCTAAATGGCCATCAATATTCAAAAGAGCAGTCAAATTAATATTAAAACTGGATGTATTTTAATTAAGTAAATTAAATTTCCATTAATTTATAATAGATGCATTTGGTATTTTCATAAGTTTATTAAAATTGATAAATCCCTATCTTTAAGATTAATAAAAATCTTAGACTCTATTAAATGTGATAGTGGCAATTGGTATATTTAATTTAAAACAAGAGCTTATGGTATTTATTTATTATGAACAATTCCAATCTTCTTCTATTATACATTTTTCTGAACATCCATCTTTATTGATAATATTACCATCATCACATTATTCATCATTTTTTTTCATTCCATCTCCACATTTTGAAATACATTTACTTTTGCCTGTATATAATCCTTAAATTTCTTCACAAAATGTACATTTTTATTCTAGTTCATAATGAATTTCATTAATACAAGATAAACAGTCTTTTTATTATGGTCCAGAACATTCTTTGCAATGAAAACTGAAAATTTAATATAATAATAAATTACTTGCATTTTTAACAGTCAAAATTAGGAGTTATAAAATATCCACTTTAACAGTTTAAACATTAATTTTTATTACAATTTTTGCAAAACTGAGTGCATTTAGTACAAAAAGTCATTTAAATTGAATGATGTAATTTTATATTTGAAATAGATTCACAATAATACCCTTCTTCTAATTTACAATTATTAGAACAACCATCTCTATTAATATTATTCCAATCATCACATTATTCATTTTTTTAAATAATTCCATTTCCACATTCAATAGTTTGACATAGTTCTATTTCAATAGAACAAAAAAGACATTAATCATTTTGAAAATAATAATTCTTTTAACAAACACATTTATTATAGAGTAGTTAGAAATTTTTAGATTCATCACAAGTAAGACAATTGTATTCATTGGAACCAATGCAAGTTTTACATCTAAAATGACATTAAACGCAACCCTATTCTGGTTCAAAATAAAATCCATTTGGACATATACAATCTGGAGGTTAAGCAATACTCATTTTACAATCTATGCATGTTTCAGCATTATTTTGACATGATTTGCATCTTTTATTACATTCTTGACAGATTTATTATTCATTTTCAAAATAGCCAATTTAACAATTACAATAAGGTGGATTAATTCTTTTAGAAGAACATTGTATGCAATTATTAGAGGATTATTCACAAATTTAACATTTTTTATCACAATCATTACATGGAGAAAATATATCCAATTCATAAGTTCCATTTGGACAGATACATTTTTATGGTAAAATTCTATTGAATTTACATGATGTACAATTATCTTCTTAAAATCTACAAGTAGAACATTAATAAGCACAAATTTGACATTCATATGAATTAGGTAAATTGAAATATCCTATTTAACAATAACATTTATTATTAATTAATTACATTTAATTTGAGCAATCCAAACATTCTAATTAAGATTTACATAGAAAACAATTATTTTTGCAAGGAATACATTATTAATCTTATAAATAAAATCCAGGAGAACATTCACAATTTGGTGGATATGCATGATTATTTGAACACATTATACAATTATTAGGCATATTAATACAAGATTTGCAATTATAATTACAAGCTAGAATATATAATTTAATAAAATACGTAGGCATTTTTTATTAATGATATTAAGATAATAACCATCTAAACATTCACAATTTTATTTATTACTAAAATTATTTAAATTACATAGACATTTTCCATTAAGTTTATCATGATCAAAATTATAATTTTTACATTAGATACAATGATTTTAATCAATACAACTAGAACAATTTGAAGGACAGACAATACAATTATTAGCATTTTCATAAAAACCTTTAGAACATCTACAAAAATCATTAATATCTCTATTGGTTGAGCAACTAATGCATACAGGTAAAGTACTAAATGGATCAATCTGACATTTAGAACATTAATATGGACATTCTATTTATATAAAGATATAATAATACATAGACAAATTCTTTATTGATTATCATAATATCCATCTTAACAAGGACAATCAGACGAAGGATCATTTGTTCTAAAAGTTTCAGATCCCATACAAGAATTACAAACATATCCAGGTGATAATAATACACAATTTGAACATCCTAATCCACATTGAATATTATAACATTAGAGAGTTCCTAAATCCTAAAATCCATTTGCTGTATCACAAATACAGTTATTATTATCAAGAATTCTTTATAAAGTAGAATCACAATGTGTACAATGATTGCTTGTAAATTAACATTAATCACAAGTTGAATCGCATCTTTAGCAATTTTAATTGGTATCAAAATAATAATGAGAATTACAAATACAAGCGAAAGTCGCAACATTTAAATTTTATTAAGCATTATCTTTACATGAAGTACAATCGTTAATTCCATTATTCTAACATGTTTTGCAACTTAAATGACATAAAGAACATGATGATCCATAGTAACCATTCTAACAAATTGAACAGGTTGAAGAGGAACATTCATAACAATTAGATATACATTATATACAATTACCTGATGAAACATAATACCCTTAAAAACAAGTAACACATCCAGAAGAATTACAAGATTAACAATTAGTTTTAAATGATGAACAATCTTTATATTTTAAACTTATTACTTTTACAAACTGATGAATCAACTACATAGTTTGGAAGATTGCATTCACAAGTTTTTGATAAACTTAATTAATAGTCATTTTAACATTATGCACATGTTCCATTAATTTCAACAAAACTACATTAAAATATTAAAGTGGCCGAATTGTTACAAGATAATCCATAAAAAAGTTTATTTTAACATTCATCACAAGATATACCACTACAAGTTAAACATGCAGAAGCACATTCTTAAATAATAAGTTTTTTATTAATACATTAACAAATTCCATTTGAATCCATATATTAACCACTTATGCAATCACATTAGTTATTAATTAAGATATTTGAGGAATGACAACAAATATTATTCGTTTATAATACATAATTTGATTGACAATCTAAACAATGTATACTACTATAAACACATGTTAGACAATTTGTATCACATATTTAGCATTCATCATTTATTAAATAATAACCTTAATCACATATGCATGTATTATTTTATTACAATGTACTATGAGTTATACAACTTAAACATTCAAACTCTAATTCTCCATAACAAGACAAACATAATTTACTACAAGCTATATAATATTCATAACTTTATTACATTTGCAAATATCTAAAAAGTTCTATTTGAATAAAAAAAACTTTGATTAACAAACGCATTTATTATTTATCAACTATTTTCCACTTGAACAACTTAAACAACTCTCATATTCTATACATGTCATACAATTAATATGACATTCTTTTATATTTATAATTTAAACTTACTTTAACAAATTGGATTACCTTCTATTTCAAAGTAACCATCAAGACATAAACATTTATTATCTTATTTTAATCTGTTAGAATCAAGCTTGCATTTTATACAATTATCATTACCAGAACCAAAACAAAATTCACAAGTATAATTACATTCTACTTAATTAATAATTTAATACATCCACATTCCATATTGTTATAATCATAAAAATACCCTAAATTACATACACAGTTTCCATTCATTAATTCATAGTTTTCATAACAACCTAAACAATCATTCCTACTTGATCCTTAACAACTTTTACAAGATTAATGACATTCTAAAATTCTTTTATAAATTTACCTTCACATACTGATTATTATTAATTTTCATAGTATGATGTCATGCAGATGCATTAATGATTCCATAATATTCGCTTAGAAACATTATTACATGAAATACAACTATCCTTTCCTATACCATTACATTATACACAACTAAAATGGCAATCTAATTAATTATCATTTATTTACTTAAGCATTGTTCATCAACTTTTATCTAATTCATTTTACATTTTATTATTTATTAATTATCTTCTTCTTCATTTAAAATTTTATGAACTGAACTAACTTTATTCAAATTATATGCCTTTGAATTCAAAATAGTAACACTTATATAGAGAATGATTAAAAAGCTCATCTTTTTGATTTTTAAGAAATTAAAAACTAGATTTTTTAAAATATTAATTGATTTCAATTAATTGACTTATTTAGTCATCAAAATTGGTATTGGTATAAAAATTAAAGCTCGTGATTATTATGTTTTAGAACTCTTTTATTCTTTTAATTCTCTATAAATAACGATTCATTAAACAGTATATATTAGTAAAAACTTTTTAATTCACTATTTTGAATTTTGAAAGATGATGTCTTAAAAATGTGCTTTTATTTTGTTCATAGACAAATTGTTTTTTGAAACTTTCTTTATTGACAATTTTGAATTTCTATATTTATGGAATAAGCTTATTTTGATTGTTTCTAATTTGAAAAAACTGATGATTTAATTAAAGCTTTTAAGGAATATAATCAAGAAAAGAATTAAGGTCATCTTTTATCTGAAAAAAAATGTGCAGCACGACTAGCAAATTAAAATAAATAAATTATCTTTTAATTGATGTTACAGTAAGCAAAAGAAAAAATCAAATTGATCAAGATCCTCAAAATTAAAGTTGATGGACATAATGAATAAAAATTTTATCAGTAAAATATATAAAAATATATTTAGTATATTAAGCATCTTAGATAAAATTAGTATAGAATGTTTAAAGTTAATGAGTTTGAATAATTTATGAAACAATATCTATTACAATAATTTGTTTTTTTATACATAGATTAGCTATTTAAGCTAGTTTTTGATTGAGTTGATTAATAATAAAAATTGAAGTAAATGAGTTCAAAGCAAGAAGAATAAGGACAAGGTATTTACATAGAAAAATCTTTAGTTCGTAAGTCTTCAAGGCAAAAGAAAATGACAGAAAACTTTAAAGAGATGCTCTAGGAAATCAAAGAATAAAAACCATCAGCCAAGAAATCAGATTAAAAGTAGGAGAAGTATTAATAAAAGAAAGTTTAGGAATAAAAGAAAGGTAATATAAGTAATAATATTTTAGTATACGAATATGGATTTATGACTGATTGGGTTAATTGTATCTATCCACATGATAATGGATAAACTTTTGATCTATAGATTTAATTCTGTGTTTTAAAGCCTAAAAAACCAGCAATAAAAAAACAAAAAAAGGAATAAACAGAAGAAGGAGTATCTACTATGAATTAAATTAGATTATGTCTTTGATTCAAAACTTATTGACTAATCTTAATTAGAATCCAGAACAAGTGAGAAGACAAAATGATTCTCAAATATAAAAAGTTTAAACGACAAACGATGGAATAATTGTCTATCATCCTTACTTTAAGAAAAGTAAAATTTCTATTAATATTCAAGTTGAATATTAAAGCAAGAAACCTCAATAGATTGATAGTATCGAAGCAACTCCTGAATTAGAAATCCTGCAGCAGAAGTTTGAATCAATTAAAAAGACTTTTAGGCCTTTAATACTCATTTGACATAAAAATATATATATATATTATGCTATTCATAATTTAGTTATCATTTTAATACGTTTTCTATATACTTTTAATTTAGAGAACCAAGCTATTAATAGATATTTGAATCAACATAGCTTGATTACCCAGTTAATAAATTGATATCATCTACCTAACCTTAAAATTTTGAATATATATCATCTTCCCCTATAAACACATAAAATTACAAGGGTAAATAATGATAAATGTTTTATAGTAATTCTTAATGATCCTGTAGATTATCATTATATTTTAAATAAATCTGCAATTAATTAAGATCAAAATTATATCCAATATACAAAAAAATCCATGATTAGTTTTCTTGTTGGATAAAATCATAGTTTTTAATAATTTCAAAAGATTCCTCACATGTACTAAATTGAGGTAATAAATTATAGGATCTAAATTATATTGTTTATTGATTAACTAAAATTAAGAATGTTTGGTCAGAAAGCTTTTTTTATAATATAGGTTCTGTACTAAGTCTTGCTAAAATAGAAAATTAGCCATATTCTGTAATTCCATCATATTTAAACCATCCGTATAAGGAATATTACTTTTCTAAATTAAGTTTCGATGTGAATTTCTTATTGGTCAATTGATCAATCCTGCTTTCAACTTATATTAAAGTATGTTTGTTAAATTAATTAGTTTCAGAATCTGGTATGGTTGTAGTTTCTAATATCTTTGTGATATCATTTTCAAAACCGAAACCAATTTTGACTTAAATATCGTGCATTTATCCAAAAAATTTTCCATATGAATATTCTCTTTAACCTACGGTTAATATAGCTTAACTTGTTAAAGGTAAATGCTCAACATTAAATTCTAAATCTTTATGTTCTCTAGTCTTTGAAAAATAAACAAAGCCTTTTGCTCCTATAAAATCTTATGTATTAGAATAAGCAAAATAAATTAAATTCCATTAGCCTTCGAATAATTATTAATATGATATTTGTTTGCTTTCACTACATTACTCATTAACAACATTATATGTAATAAAATCATAAGACTTTGTAGTAATAACAACCATTAAAGTTCTATCACCTTTCTAATCACAATTTTCATATAATTTATTCCTTGAAAATCTAAAAACATTATTTTAATCTAGAAAAGTATCATCAGATATTTCATTTAACCATCTTGTCCACATCTAAACAGAATATTAAGTAGATCCAATAAGATCATTTTTATCTTCTATTAAATTTACTCTATTTAATTTATCAAATTCACCTTCATAATCTTTAAATTAATAAGCTTTTTATATTAACTTTAATTCAAATTCAGGTAGATTAGATTTATCCTTAAAAGCTTCCTTTCCAATATCCATTCCTATTTGAGCTAAATGTCCATCAAAATGATTGTCCTATATTTAAGAACTTATAATTAAAATAAATTTATTTGCTAGATGATGCTATATATAATTAAACACTTTTGTTTCAATTGAATCTATTATTTTGAAATAAACATTAATTTATTATAAATGCTAAGAATAACCCATCCAGAAATAGCACCAAGTACCAAAATTTGCATCTAATAAAATATTTTGTATCCATGAAATAGCAGGTGATTATTCATTTATAGAATATGTAATAAATTAATATCCATTTTAGGATAAAATAATTTAAAAACGATATCTCTATTCTTCTTCTTATTCTAAACAAGAACTTAATTATAATATAATTTATTAGAATTAATATTGTTCCTTTATTACATTATCCTCAATTAATTATTTATTTAATTGACTAGGACTAGGTCTAAACCAACCAAAAACTGAATATTCTTCTGGGAAATAATTTTCTTTTAAACCTATATTATATTATCTAAATTATGATTATTCATTAAGAGTAATGAATTTATATGATTACAACTATTCATCAGATTCTATTTATCTAGATTGATCAACTAAAATCTAAAATTGCTAAACATCATCTATAATTGCATTTCCATCAAATCTAATTATGAGATTACTAATCTGACCATTAAATCCTTCATAATTTAACTAATATATATTTTTGAATATTTACAAATTTTCCTAAATTGAAATTCACTTTTCCATTAATGCTTTTATGAGATATGTTCTTAAGAATAATCCTTATGACTCTCTTTTCCTTTTAATGATGAATAAATCCAACTACTTATTATTTATCAGCATTATAACTTAAATAAATATAATTCCAAACATTCACTTATTAGTTTAATAATTTAAATGTTCCTATTTGATATTTATGTGTTATTTAATCATAAACTTTAACTTTGTATTCCTTTTTATCTTAACTTAAATATAAAGAGAGAATTTCAAGTTCTTTGTTTTAAGTTTATATGCAAAATAAACTTGATATAGATATAAATTATTCTTCATCTTCTTTTTTAACTAATTCTGGAAATTCTTTTAAATATCTTGACCAAAAACCATATCCATAATTTCTTTAGCCATCCATACTAATTTTAGAATTAGAAGTAAATACTTACTAGAATCCTTATTTTTTAGATGCTATATTGATTATATTATTAAATTAACCTTTCCACTCAAATGAAGTTGGAAATAGCTACAAACCTTATTTAAATGCTTCATTTAAATAATGAAATTATGATTGAAATGATCCTAATCCAAAATCAATTTTAAAATAATCTATATCTCCATATAAATCATTTTCTAAACCATCAAATCCTTTATATACTAAGAAATATTTTGAAGCATGATGGAAACATTCAAATGAATTTTTTTATCTTTTAGTTTTAGTTTAAATGAAATATAAACATATATGTTTCTTGTGTCCAAAATATATATATGTCCATTATTTTTTATCTTATTCATTTTCAATTTCTATTTTTCTCTCCAATAATTATAAATAATCCTACTTATCAAAAGAATAACTTAAAAAATATAAATTATTATTTTAATCCATTTTAACTCCCAAAGTTATATCTCCAGGTTTTGTAATTTAATCTCTATATTCATTTGTTGATAACAAAAATATAAATTAAAATTCATTATTTGTTTTTCCAATGCTTTTAAACCATAATTATACTCCATATTCTGAGACAAAATCATTTAATTTATACTCAGATGGCATTTTATTTAGGCGATCATTCGAAAATTATTCAAGTTGCTTAAAAATCCAATTTTAAGATAAAAGATTTTCAGGAAATACTTTTAGTTTATTAAATTTTGGTATAATACTATCTTTACCAAAATATAAACTTGTATCTTAAATATCTCCATTAAAATGTTTAATATTTTAAAATCTAGATCCAACAGAACCAATTGAGAAAAATAAATAGTTGTCAATTAAAAAATGAACTATATCATTTTAACTTTATGTGCATTTGTTTACTCCTTTAGTACTATATATGCATCCAAGAAAAACACCTTATTCTTTATAGATTCTCTTATAACCAGTATACAGATATAGCCACTCATTATCTAAATAGTTATTAATATAAAATTATTTTGATTCTTTATCTAAAACACTATATGATTCAAATTGAATTTAATTAGTGTTTAGATAAACAGATATAGCGCTTTCCCCAAGATTATTATTTTATTTGTATTATTAAGTTGTTCCAAGTCTTGATAAACCTAAAGTTTAATTTGTTAATGAATTAATCTTAGATTCAGCATTATAAAGAAATCTCATCCAAAATCCATATCCATATTCAAAAGAATTAATATCTAATTTAGTAGGATCAATTTCATTTTCTTATAAATCTTAATTAGAGTTGAAATCTAACCTCAAAGTACTTTGTGAAAATTTCCAAGTTTCAGTCTTATTAAGATAAATAAAATCTATTAATCCTATTTATGCTTGAAGTATTTAATCATCTTCAAAACCATTTTCTTAATATGCTCCATTACCATAATTGAAGGTCCATCTCTTTAATTATCCATTAAACCCAGGATCATATTCATCTTTTTATAAATTGATATAAATTCCATGAAGTTAATAATGATATATTTAATCATGATGAACAACAAATGCTTTTTCTTCAAATTTCCAAAATTAGAAAATCTTCTTTAGTTTTTAATTGTATGCTATATAAATAAAATGCCAAAGCTTTTCTTAATTTTCTGATTGTATACTCCAATTTATCATATTGCATTTATCTTAACAATTATAACTTTCAAATTAATAACCTTGATCATTGGAGATAAGATAAAATATTTTATCAAAATAATCTTCGTTGAACTCTTTTGAATGACTTAACCTTAGAATTAAATTGTGATCTTTAAATTCAATAGGAATACTAAACTTTAACCATCCTGAAATTGAATATTATAATGGGTCAATATTCTAAAACTCAAATAATTCAAATGCTTGTTTATCATAAAAAGTATTCTCTTGATGTTCTAAAAGTGTTTATTGTTAAAATATTTGATTTAAATTGGATAATAACGGATATTATTCATAAGCAAATTCTTTTAATTCTTCAGCATTTATGGGATATTGCTCATTTATTAGAAGAAATATATTAGAATAGAGACCATTAAAAGCATAATTATTGAACTCTCGTTTAATCAAAAATCTAAGGAAATCTAATCTATAATGTTTAGCTGGAATGAGTGCTTCTTCAAAATTATTTTCTTCTAAAAATAAATATCCTCTTGCCAAAACTAGTTTATTATATTTCTATACATTCTTAATAAGAATATCCAAAGTATATAAAAGTCCATTTACCATCTAACTATTCTTTAGTATATTTAGCATTATAAAATTTCTCTGGGTATTCATTAGTATAAGTAGTGAAATGATAAAAATCTTTACTCAACCAGACTGATAAAGTTCTATCTAAAGGATTTTAATAATCTGTATGATTCTATCGAGTAGTCAATCTACTAATTGAATGCCAATCTTTTAATTCTTCTAATTATTTTGGATATATAAATGAGTATTTCAACCAAAACCCATAAGCATAAGTTTATACATCATCAAAGTCTTAATTTCTAGTTAGACTTAAATCCCAAATATCTTTAAATTAATCTTCATCATATGCAGATGCAAAAATAAGTTGATCAGGTTCATAGATAAGACAATTAACCAAAAAAGGAATTTATAATAGTATAAATACTATTATTAAAGAATTCATTAATCAATAAAAATAATAATATTCTTTAAAAAATTATTTCTTAAAAAATAATTAAAATTGAATACAATTAATGTTTACAATTTATATTATCATGAATCTCCAAACATTTTGTCCATATTTTATTTTTATTCTTTATGTTTTTCAACTCTTTTTTTATATTCCTGTCTAGATGTTTCAGCTGTTGCAGGATTTTCTCTACAATAATCCTAATATTATAATAGAAATATATATTACTGTTAAAAATGCAGCTTCAGCTTCTTGAATAGGTAAGTGTTCATCAATTTCTGATTTCATTGAAAACATTAATTCATTAATTTCATGCATAGGTAAAATTGCATTTCCTACTCCAAGACATATGCCAATGATAGCTTCAACAGAAATAGATTCTAAAAATACATATTCCCACCATAAATTAGTTAACTTAATGATAAATATAAATGGATACACAATATATTGGTAAGACTAATTCTAATTGTTCTATCATTTCAATTGACATATATGAACTATAATTATATTTAATAGTTCTTCTTCTTGCAATATTGTATTTCTCAACCCAATAATGAAAAACTAAAGCAACACAAGTGATTATTAAAGCAAGTGGAATAACTGAAGCATAAAATGCAACCACATACATATTTTTCAGAATAACAGCATAAGCAGTGGAAATATCAAATATTGGTTTTTCATACAAACTAAATAAAATAAGAAGCATACTCATGTAATTATTTCTATGTTTTAGTAGATTTATTTCCTTTCTTCTTTTCTAGATATGTAAATAGCCATTTAGAAATAGTTCCAGCATCTAAAAGTTGAACAATTCCAGGGATAAATGCATTAGAAATAAATACATATGTTTGATTATAAACTAGACCTCCAGCTCCATAAATATTTTTAGTCACCCAAGTACTAATTGCAAAAGTAATTACTGCAGTATTAATAAATTAAGCCATGCTTGATTTACTTGCTAAACTAATATTATAACCAGTTTATGTAGAGAATCTTTCAAAAAGGGATACACTCTTAATAATCATTGCAAGTATAGCATTGATCACAATAATTGATATAGAAGCGACCTAAGCAATTACTTTCACTTTTAAATTAGGTGATAAATCTCCTCTTTTAACTGCTTATGCTTATTCTTCAGCACTTTCAGCTTGAATAGCTGATAACCAATATATTAGGCCACTACATACAATTAGAATTATTGCTGTAATCACATAACCAAAAAGTCTTCTGAATATTTTTGATTTGGTTGTAATATGTAAATTCTCCCAATATACATCAGTAGGTTCAGGTGGTTCTTCTACAACCAAATTCACTCCTCTGTAAACTAATTTACTTTTCTTACCAAATAATTTTTATAATTTAGAAACCCTGTTTTCTTCTAACAACAGTTAAACATCATTCTCCCATTAAAATGTTACAAATGCTTATCCTAAAAAATAATTCTTAACATCTTTTCCTTCAATAAATTTCTTTTCTAAAGCTTCCAATTATCCTTCAATACTTTATATTTCATTTTCTATTTCAGTAACTTAAGGATCCAACTTCACTTCTGAACTTAATGGATCCTTGCCTTAACTATATAAATTTGATAAAATCTAAATAAATATAAAAATAATACTTTTTGCTTTTCAGTTATTTTTGTCTATTTTTATAATTCTAATTGATATTATTCATCTAAATTATAACATAAATTCACTGCTACAACTCTTCTTAAGTCTTTATTTGGCTTCTTTGTTTAAATTTAATATTGTTTTCTATCTTATTCATAATCAATGATTTCTGGAAGTTTAGGGAATTTTTATACATATTATTCCATATAATTTTTTAAATCATCATCAAAATCTCCATTTTACAATCCTGTTGGATCAGTTGGTATATTTTTTAAATAAATTGTAAAGTCAGATGCATATTAAGTTTATGAGTCAATCTCTGCATCAAATGCTCGTTATTCTTTTCTGAAATATTAAAACAGAATTATCAAAGTTATCATTGATATTAAATTTAGCATTTATTAAAGATCTATGAATTCAGATCCATTTCTTTTATTTGCTAAAGAAGATTGGGTTACCCAATTTAATTAACAAAAGCTCTTTTCATCTATTTCTTAGCCTTTATGATCTTCAAGCATTCTACATGATGTTCCAAATGCAATATTAGTTATAATATTATAATCACCTGATGTTACAAACATAATTAAAAGCATTAAAATACAAGATTTGATATATTCAAAATATAATGGCATACCTAATTTATACTAAAAGATACCTGCTCCTAAAAATGAATAATCTCTATTGTTGCAACCTATTGATAATAAATGATTAGGCACTTATCTTGCACAACAACCACAAATTTTACCTATTAATTCATTTTGGTTGTTTTGTTATATGCTATTTTTCTGTTTTTGCAATCTCCTTTATTATCTTTTTGATAATTTTGTTGTTCCAACATTCCAGGCTTACTAACTTTTCTATATTTCTTACACCATGAAGCTCAGCTAATTCGAAACTCGGTGGAATCTAATCAATTGCAAAATCTGTCGAACCACCTTTGCAGAGGATTCCTGCTTATACTTCTTCAGGTTTTTGTCTATTAACGCTTATATTGACTTGCTCGTCCTTAAATTGTTAATATCCAGATGGTCTTGCGGACATTTGATGTAAAAATTAAATAAAAATAAGTTATACAAGTAAAATTACTCATATATTAAAATCAATCAAATCATTTAATATTTTAAGATAATATTTCTCTCAAATAATTCAAAATAAATTAACATACAAAATGTATTCATTTATAAAATTTTTTTCAATAATTAAATGTAAATAAATTTTTATTCTAAACTTAACTTTTAAAGTAAATTAATATTTTTTAATTTTATTTGTTAGTAAAATCTTAAAAAAAGCGGAAAATATTACAACAAAATTTTCAAAAAATAATGTATTTAGATTTAAGGACTCTATCATAAAATAGCCTGAAAATCTCATCTCATAAAATATTTTAGTTAGGTTGCTTCTATTTAATTGTGATCACTTAAAATAAATATCAAATTTATTTTTGAAACTAGTAAAAAAAATTTATATTTTATTAAATAATTATTTATATATTCAATGAATCGAAAGACACAATTAAATAAAATGTTTTTTAAGCTTAAATTATATAAGTAAATTTAGAGATATATTTAATGTAAAATAAAATTTTTTCTATTTTATAAACCAAACAAAATGAAATCTAGTTCTATTTCTTCAAAAAAGAAATTATCAAAAATAAATCAATTATGAGATGGGTTTACTTTAATAAAAAGTAAATTTGAAGCAACCCATTTTAATAAAGTTTAAATTTAGAAAATATATTATTTTTTTTTTATTTTAAAAATTGAAATCAACTTATTATTATTTATATATATCTAAAGAAATGATTAAAAGCAATAAGTTTTATGAACTTAATTGATGTTCAAATTAAATTTTTTTAATTTCTGTGTTGATACTTTGAAGGAAATTCAAACACTTTTAAGGATACTTTAATAATTACAAATAGCTCTTAATTATGATTATTTTATTCTAAAAATATATAAAAATGTCAAACATAATTATAATATTTTTTTTGTACGAAAAATAATCCTTATATAAAGAGAAAATTTTCAATAAATTATAATAAGTAAGAATATACTTAAATTTGAATGTGATTTATATTAGTAATTAGAAGTAAATACAAAAAATCTTGATCACAATAGATATTTAATCTAATTATTGTAGAGAAAATAGAAAAAGAAAGTTCATATATTTATGAACTATATTAGTAGTTATAAAAAAATTATATTATTAAAACATGAATTANAAATTAAATAAAAATAAGTTATACAAGTAAAATTACTCATATATTAAAATCAATCAAATCATTTAATATTTTAAGATAATATTTCTCTCAAATAATTCAAAATAAATTAACATACAAAATGTATTCATTTATAAAATTTTTTTCAATAATTAAATGTAAATAAATTTTTATTCTAAACTTAACTTTTAAAGTAAATTAATATTTTTTAATTTTATTTGTTAGTAAAATCTTAAAAAAAGCGGAAAATATTACAACAAAATTTTCAAAAAATAATGTATTTAGATTTAAGGACTCTATCATAAAATAGCCTGAAAATCTCATCTCATAAAATATTTTAGTTAGGTTGCTTCTATTTAATTGTGATCACTTAAAATAAATATCAAATTTATTTTTGAAACTAGTAAAAAAAATTTATATTTTATTAAATAATTATTTATATATTCAATGAATCGAAAGACACAATTAAATAAAATGTTTTTTAAGCTTAAATTATATAAGTAAATTTAGAGATATATTTAATGTAAAATAAAATTTTTTCTATTTTATAAACCAAACAAAATGAAATCTAGTTCTATTTCTTCAAAAAAGAAATTATCAAAAATAAATCAATTATGAGATGGGTTTACTTTAATAAAAAGTAAATTTGAAGCAACCCATTTTAATAAAGTTTAAATTTAGAAAATATATTATTTTTTTTTTATTTTAAAAATTGAAATCAACTTATTATTATTTATATATATCTAAAGAAATGATTAAAAGCAATAAGTTTTATGAACTTAATTGATGTTCAAATTAAATTTTTTTAATTTCTGTGTTGATACTTTGAAGGAAATTCAAACACTTTTAAGGATACTTTAATAATTACAAATAGCTCTTAATTATGATTATTTTATTCTAAAAATATATAAAAATGTCAAACATAATTATAATATTTTTTTTGTACGAAAAATAATCCTTATATAAAGAGAAAATTTTCAATAAATTATAATAAGTAAGAATATACTTAAATTTGAATGTGATTTATATTAGTAATTAGAAGTAAATACAAAAAATCTTGATCACAATAGATATTTAATCTAATTATTAGTAGTTATAAAAAAATTATATTATTAAAACATGAATTAGGAAGACATATTTTTAAAAAAATAGTGGTTCATAAAGTCTTGTGAAGGTAAAATAGAATAATTCTATGATATAAATCTTAAGAAGGTAATTCTTTTGATCTAGAATAAAGGTAATTGGATCAGGAACGTATGGAAGTGTAGTAAAAGCTTCATTAAAGGGAACAAAATAATAAAGAGCAGTTAAGGTGATTCCAAAGAGTAAAGTAAAGAATCCTGAGCGATTTAAAAGAGAAATAGATATACTTAGAGCAATGGACCATCCAAATATCATAAAATTGTATGAGACATATGAAGACTAAAGAAATGTTTATTTGGTGACAGAGTAAAAATAATAATAAATAAATAGATTATGTGAGGGAGGTGAACTATTTGACAGAATAATGGATAAGGGATATTTTAATGAGGCAGAAGCTCATGCTATATTTCTGTAAATCATGCAAGTAAAAATAGATTTATAATTAGGCATTAAATTATTGTCATACAAATGGAATTTGTCATAGAGATTTGAAGCCAGAAAACTTTTTATTTTTAACAAAAGCAGAAGATTCTCCTTTAAAAGTTATTGATTTTGGATTGAGCATTTTATTTGAAGATGGTCATTCAAAACCAGGTACTCAAAAAGTATCAATGAAGACTAAAGCAGGAACTCCATATTACATATCACCTGAAGTATTAAAGGGGAATTATGATGAATTATGTGATATCTGGTCAGCTGGAGTTATATTATATATTTTATTATCTGGTGTTCCTCCTTTTTATGGAGATACAGATCCAGAAATTTTAGAATCTGTTTAAAAAGGAGTTTATACTACTGACATTCCAGAATTCAAGTTTGTTAGTGATGGAGCAAAAGATTTAATTGCAAATATGATTACAACTCCTGATAAAAGATTTAAAGCTTCATAAGTTTTATAACATAAATGGATGAAAGAAAAGAATAAACCAAATAAGGAATTAAAGTTAAATTATGGAGCATTAAAAAATTTTACAGGGAGCAATAAATTAAAAAAAGTAGCTTTAACTTTTATTGCTTCATAATTAAATGAATAAGAAATATCTCATTTAGGAAAGTATTTTAATACAATTAAATAGATTATTTAAATAATTAGATAAAAATGGAGATGGTGTATTAACTATTGAAGAAATTAGAGAAGGTTTAACAGGAATGAGTGATGATCAATCAAAAGAATTAGCAAATATTATTAAAAGTATTGATACTGATGGAAATGGAAATATCAATTATACAGGTTTAATAATAATCAGATTATGTAGAATTCCTGGCTGCTACAATGGAAAAATAGTTGTATATGAAGGAGGAAAAATTATATTAAGCTTTTAAAATGTTAGATTTAGATGGAAGTGGTAAAATTGATAAAAAAGAATTATAATAAGTTCTTGGAAGTAATTCTAATTTATATTCAATTTAGAATCTGAAAAAATAGTGAATGAAAAATATTGGGATGACATGATTAAAGAAGCTGATAAAAATGGAGATGGAGAAGTTATTATTATTTTAAATATTTTAGATTGATTATAATGAGTTTATTGAAATGATGGATAGATTCAGCTTAATGAATTGACAAGCATATTTTATATACATCAAAAAAATAATTATTATTATAAAGTATAATTAAAATTTATATTAATGGACATTGACAATATATTTCAAAATGAAAAAGAAACCAGATGGGTCAATAAATAAAGAACATTAATCGTTACGTCTAAAAACATTTCTGATCGAATTCGATAATTGTTTATGGATTTACATGAATTACTTCCCCATTCAAAAAAAGAAACTAAACTAGAAAAAGGAGATACTTCCAAATAAATTAAAGAATTATGTATGTAACATTCATGCAGAAGTTTTATTTATTTTGAAGTACATAGAAAACATGAATTATATTTATGGATTGGAAGATTTCCTAATGGTCCTTCAATTAAATACTATATTGAAAATTGTAAAAATCAATATTCATTTTATAAGGGCATAATTGCTAAGATTTGAAACTGACTGGAAATTGTATGAAAGGCAGTCGACCAATTCTCTCATTTGATGGATCATTCACCGAAGACCCTCTAATGATTTTATAAAAGGAACTATTTATTCATGCAATTAATGTACCTAAACATCATCCAAAAAGTGCTCCTTGTTGTGATAGAGTTTTTTCCTTTATTAAAGAAAGTCCAGATAATAATAATATTTGGATTAGAAATTATGAAATTTAATATGAAAAAGCAGGAAAGGAAATTATTAAAAATTAGCTTGTTGAAATTGGGCCTAGACTTGTTTTAAAACCGATTATCATTCTTGAAGGTTGTATATAAGGAGCATAATTATGGAAAGATACAGGCTATATCACCTAAGCTAAAATTAGATTAGAAAAAAAATTAGAAATTAAAAAAGAGAAAGATTTTGCTTCAAAAAAATAATAAAAAAAAGAAAAAATGCTCAGCAAATTAGAAACCTAGATTGATGAAATAGAAAATATATTTGATGATGGCGATTAACCAGTAAAAAGTGATGGATTTGAAACTGAAGATTCTAATGTCGATCTTGATTAATTTGAAGAAGTTTAATGATTTTTATAAATTTAATGTATATTAAAGCAAATTTAAATCTAATCCTCAATATAATTTAGTTTCTCCTCCAAAACTAAATATTCTTAATCAAATGAAGATACTTAAAATTTTTATAAATTGATGATTAATAATTCAAGACCCTAATTTTATTAATTGCATTATCAATTACAAAAACCTTCTGAACTATCTTTTGTGTTGTAGTTGTAAACATAAATTTTATCAAATATTTCGCCTTTTATTCAAACAGATTAATTCTTTTAAAGCGATTTTTAATAAAGAAATTTGAAAATTTTAAAATATCAAATATTTTTGAGTCTATCTTTTATTTGTATAAATAATTTCTAATTTTTATTATTCTTATTTAAAATATGAATTAAATAGTTATAAGAATTAATTATAAAATATTTTCCTTTCGATATTCAGATATTGCAACATAAATTTTCAAATGTAAAGCTGATCCCTTTTATATCCATTTATTTAAGAATTTAAAATAAAATGAATTTTACAACAAGTTTTATGTATATATCAAGAAGATTTCAACTAATCAAAAAAAATGATTGTGTCACCAAAGAATTGAAAATTCAATATACTATGGCACTTAAAAATAAGGTTAGAAATTGAAATAAAATTTATTCATAATAGAAATTCTCTTTTCGTAAAATAAGGAAAAATCTTATAATAATAAAAAGGTATTATGAAACATAAACTTATCGATCTATCTAAATAAAGAAAATATTGATTAAAATATAATAATTAATTTTAAGAATAATTGCGATATCGCTTTAGATCAACTTTTTTTCTTCTCGCTTTTTGTTCTTTAAGTTAGCTATCATCATTAAAAAATTCATTAATAATGATTAATATACTTAAATTATGATGAAAAATTAAATAAAAAGTAAAAATTTTCAATATTTGTTTTGAGAAAAAGTAACAAGTTTGAAAAATCATCTGATTAAAAAAACCTTAATCAAATAAAATAGGGAAAAATACTTTTCGTTAACTTTTTTCAAACGAATTTATTACGTATATTATTTTTATGAAAACAAATATATGTATTTGCTATTATTAATTTAGATATATTTATTTAAATCTTTTTAATCATTTTTCTAAAGATGATAAAAATTAAACATAAAGTAGACAATTCTTAGCAACTTTTTTAAAGAAAGAGATTAAAAATTGATCAGGAGGTCAAATTAAATTTAATTCATAGTGTGATTAATGATCATTTGCCTGTTTATTAGGTTTATCTTATTTATAATAATTTAGGCAGCTAAACTTCACAAGCTAAAGTATTCTTCAGCTAAACATATTTTTAGAAATTATTAGAGAGATACAAAAAACTTCTTTTCAAAATAGAGAAAAAAGAGATTAATGTGTAAATGCTAAAATATTGTAATTGAGGTAACTACAGGAGAAATTAAATTGTTTGAATAAAATAATACTCTATTAACTGATGCAAAAACAAAAAATATTAATGCTATTAATAACTCGATAATTTCGAATTTCTCTAAACAATTATATTTTGATATCAAGTATACTGAGAATGATTTTAACATCATTTAAAAAGAAAATTTAGAAGAATAATTAGTTTACATAAAAAAAGTGCTAAATAATCAATATTAGAAAATGCTTGTAAATAATTATTGAATTATTGATTAATTTTATTTTAAAAAAGTTTTTTCTGGAATTATTACATTACATTGAAAAAGTATAATCATTTGATTCGTTCGTTGTTATATTTTTTGATTTTTTAAATGATGATAATCCGGCATAAGTATTTTAATCTATATTTAAAAATTAATTATTATGTGAATATTCATTATAATGGAAATAGTTCATTCAACTTGTTATAATATAAGATTAATTATCTCTATTAAATTTAGAAATTCAATAAATATTTATTCATCATTATATTAAGAGTTTAAGACTTTAAAGCACTAAATTAGAATACCTAGAAAATTTTGCTATTAATTGAATTTCATAAATGAAGACTTTAAAAATTTAAATCTTTATAAATTTGTATTGGATTAATAAAATAATGTTATAAATGAATTCCATAGGCATTGAAATAGTAAAGGATGAATAATGTATACAAAAATAAAAATGCAGCAACAATTAGAGAGTTGAATATAATAAAAATAGTTTTTTTGATGATGAATTTTTAAAGAAGAAAGAAAAGAGAAATCGAAAATTTTTCTTGAAGAGATAAATCTCTATGGTATAGGTTTGCAAGCAAACTGGCCAAATAGACTTATAGTTAGGGTCTGACTTTTTGCATATAGAGATAATGCAAGGTGGTCATTTTCCTTTGAATTAATATAATTTAAAAGATATTCCCTCAGAGATATATCATAATGATTAAGAATGCCTATCCTCAAATATTAAGACTAGTCTTATAACTGCATCAAAAAATCTACTCAAAAAGGTGAAAACATTTCAATCTTCATTAAATTACAAATCTTTAACATAAATTTAATAATAATCAGATGCTAACGAACTATGTTAAAATTTCAAAATTAAAGAAAATTAAATTACTCACTCTTAAAACTAATTTTTTGATCAAAAATTTCAAATTAAAGAAAATAAAATATTTGCTAGACAAATTGAAGAGGCCAAACACATTTTATTAAATCAACACTAAGCTTTTTAATTTATTCTTTAATGATTGATGATTTTTAATTAAATTTTAATAATTTTAAAATGATTTTATACTCTTCTTTATTATTGCGAAAGAACTTGTAGATTTACTAATATAACTATAACTTTTTTGGAGTAAACCAATTTTTTTTTATATCTTTTCTTGACATATTATTACTGCTTCTTCTAAGTCTACCTTCAAATATTCTGAATTTCAGAATTAATTTAATAATATTATGAAGCCACTCAGTTTTATCTCTTCTTACCGTAAAAATTATTTTGAAAAATTCACATATTCAATTTTGAGTGTTTTTCAGATATTTTTTATAAACAAAGGTTTACCTAATAGATGGAATGATTTTTATTATGAGGTATAAAATTATCGAAGGTTTTGATGTTTTCAATTTTGATCATGAATATTATTTAAAATTATTTACTCAAAGCTCTTTTAAATATCTACTATTTGAATACAGATTTCTGGTATATTATCAAACAAAGTTATTTGTTTTCTTTCTGCCCTACTCTCATTCCTAAATTTGGAATACCAAAATAAATAAATTTTAACAAATTTTTCAATTAAAATAATTTTTTGGTTTTCATATTAAGAAATGATTGAAAAAAATTGTCAAACTATTTAAAACAAATAATAATTATTATTAAACTTATTTTACTTAATATTATTAAAATTGTAGGTTGCTTCAAATTAATTTTGAGTGCTACATTTTATTTTAAAATAATATTTTAAAAAATTAGATCTCTAAAGAAATATATCTATTAGAAAATTAATAATTTGATTTGGATATATTTATAAAATTTTAAATTCATTATCACATTGATTAAATTACTATTAATATTAATAATGATAAGACTTTATATATCAATATATTTATTAATCTAATTAATGGTAAATTTATTAAAAGACTCTTAATACTCAAAGTTGTAATATTAAAATACAGGAATTAAAAATATTTTCATTTAAGTTTAAAGTAAGAGACAAACATTATTTTTAACAAACCTTTTACGATAAATAATCATTTTAGAATGAAAATAGTTATTTTATTTGTATAAAAGAAGTTCAAAGTTATCAAAAACAAGAAATAGAATGGTAGATATAATAAATATTTTTATTATTAATTATCGTTTCAAGAAGAAATTATCAAAAACTGTATTAAATGATTTTATTTTAGAGATAAAATTAAGGAATAAGCTTTCTCAAATTGTATAAAAGAATATTTAAATTAAAGTGCATAGGAGTTCAAAAAATTAGCTATAATTTTGTAAGTAAGATGATTTAACAATTGCATTTAATTCTTAATGAGATTTTCAATCTAATTCTATCTAATAATAAATTAAAATAATTGAATGATTAAGAAAATTTAAAAAGAGATGAAATCTTAAATTTTATTAAATAAATGATAAAGATTTTAAAAGTAAAAAGATAAAACGATTGAAGATCTCTTATATGTGATTCTATTTAATTAATAAAATGGCAAAAATATTATATATTATTGTAATTTGAAAATAATTTGGGTAATTTTGAAATAGTCTGCATGTAAAAGTAGAATTAAGTAATAAAATTAGAGTAATATTTATATTATTAAATACCAACGTGATGTATTATTAAAATTATTTCAGAATTAATGAAATTTTTAATAAAATCGAAATGACAACAAACAGGAAATATTTAAGGCTAGAAAAATGATAAAAGTGAGAGGTGTTAATTTATACAATATAATCAAAGAAATAAATAGGTTGCCCTCTTGGCCAAGTGGTTAAGGCATCTCCCTAGTAAGGAGAAGATCGACGGTTCGACCCCGTCAGGGGGCTTTTTTTATTTTTTATTTTAATTTTTAATTTTAAAAAATTTTTGTTATTTTATTTTATTAATTGATACTTTTTAGTAATTTATTTGTTATAATAAATGTTATCTGAGCCAGATTCAATTGTAGAGAAAAGTCCAAAGGGTAGATTTATTAGAGTAATAAAATAACAATGCTAAAAGGTAGTTTAATGAGTAAATCGGGAAAGGGACTTATAAAAATGTTTATAGAGGCTATGATGAAGATTCTGGATGTGAAATTGCATGGAATGTAATACATTTAGATCAATTGCCTCAGTGTAAATAGAATTGATTTTATTAGAAGAGGAAAGGAAACGAATATCAGAGGAACTTAATATTCTTAATAACATAAAGCATCCAAATATTATAAGCCTCATTAATGCTTGGATTAGTAAAAATAAATGTGAAGTTATATTTATAACAGAAATTGTTCATGGTGGATCACTAAAAAAGTAATTCATTTATATTAAGAAAGGCATTTAAGAAAAATATAGAGGCCTCGTTTAAAAATACTAAAACATTGGTGTCGAGAAATATTGAAAGGTTTAGAATATCTACATAGTATTTCTCCATATCCAGTAATACATAGAGATATTAAATGTGATAATATATTTATTAACACACACAATAATCAAGTTAGAATAGGAGATTTTGGATTAGCAATTAAATTACAATAATAGGATTTTACATAATCTATTCTTGGAACACCAGAATTTATGGCTCCTGAAATTTATGAAGAAAAGTATGGTCCTCCAGTTGACATTTATGCTTTTGGTATGACATGTTTAGAAATGGCAACATAAAGAAGACCATATGAAGAATGCGCAGCACCTAATTAAATTTATTAAAAAGTATTATTCAATTTTATTATCAGGTCATTAATAGGATTAAACCAAAAACATTAGATTTAATATAAAACCAAGATTTAAAATTATTTATTTTAAAATGTCTCGAAGATTAAGAAAAAAGGCCAACAGCTTCAGAATTACTAAATGATAAATTTTTAAATGAATCAGAAGATGATAATTAACATGTTGTTATTTTAGAAGAAGAATATATTGATCAAATTTTAGAAAATTAAGTTTAAAAATATAATCTTGTATTCAGAGAATAGTTAGACTTTAATAGTTCTATATTAATTTAATTAAATGTATCTGAGGAAATGCATATTAAAATTACATTTACTGACACCACTAAATATAATTCGTCTTTTCAAGAATTCGTGAAGTCAAGTGTCTAAAAATATTTAGATTTACAAAATGCAGAACAATTTGCAGAATTTTAAGAAGAAAGTAAATTATTATTTCAAATAATAAGTTCTCAAATTAGGTGGTATTGATAAAGTTATATGGGTAAAAGCAAGCGAAGAATCTAAGAAAATTATGAAAACTTAATTACTGTAATCCTTATAACAATTTTAAATAGTATCATTCTTAAATATTTAGACTATTTCCACTCTACTTTAAGATGTTGATATAAATGAATGGGAATTAATTGAATAATAAATTTTGGTTCAGTTTTAATAACAAAGAAAATAAATCAAATCAAAATTGTCAAATTGATCAAATATAATATTGTATTTTATTGTAAAATTATCTATATAATCTGATATTATAAAATTTTTATAAAGTTAGTTTAAGAAAATTATAAATTATAAAAAACTTCATTAATTACATTAAACTTTATGAATATTACTTTTAATCCTAAGATATCTGTTTTACATAATAAAAGGTAGAGTATTAGTAAAATAAATTTAACTATTTTAAAATTTTCTTAAACCTTAGGATTTACTAAAAATAGAATCTTAAGGACTTAAAACTCTTTATGTTTTAGATAGAGGAGATGTTGATTGATATTTACATAAATTCAACTTTATTTATTGAAAAGAGGACGAATCTGGACTTTAGTTATTCGATCTTATTTTTAAATTAATTTTTTAAGATGAATTTGTATTTATTACTCTATCAGTATTTAATTTAAAATCTGATAAAGTATGTTTATGAAAAATTAAATTTTAATTTTTTATACTATTTGTTTCTCTCTATTAAAGAGTTAAACCAATATCTTATGTTTTATTATCTAAAATAAAATTTCTTAATGATATATTTTTTTTCGAGCTACTGATTTTTTTTTGATTTTATTATTATTCTTCATAGTCTCTATAATCTAAAGTAAGAAAATCCTTATTTTAAGTTGTTTCTAAAAGCTGTTATTTATCTTGTTTATCAAAGAAATTTTTTTAGAAACCTTTAATTTAATTCAAAATCTATTTTAATTTATTATCATTAAGAGCTACAAGACTTTAGTGCAAAACTTAATCAAAATATAAAACTCTTAAAAAATCTTTTTTGTTTATTGTATAAATTTTATTTGTTTCTTAAGTTGTTATAACACTAATTTATCGAGGAATATCTGGATTTTTCAAAATTTCTAATTCTCCAAACATTTCTCCTGCTCCAATATATTTAAGAGTTATTGTTTATTTTTTATCAACCTAAATTAAATGTCCATATTTCTTTTTTTAAAAAAGCTCATCTATTTTTTCACTATTTGTTAACTATTTCTTATGATAAACACTTAATTCTTAAAGTTAACTGATATCATCTAATTCTTTTTACTATTTTTCGCAATTAAAAACTTATATTTTATTATTTTAATTATTTTATTTGATCAATTGTAAGTATTTAATTACCTAAATTAGACTAATTATATATAATTACTTTTAATTCACCTTATTGTATAAAAAATACTTAATTTGATGGTTCACCTTCTTTATAAATTTGATGATTAAGTCCATATTAATGAAATTATACATAATCGAACAGCCCTTTAATATTTGTAAATTTCCAATCTGAGAAAATGGATAATTTAGCAAATTCTTCAAAATACATTTACTTTTATTAATTAGACTAATGATAAAAATTCACTTAATACTAGAGTTTTTTTGATTATCATATAATCTTCTTTTTCTAATACAGCTAGATGAGTTGAACTTAATGCCTTAACAGATGCAGATCTTGGAGCATCATTTTCTAATGCCAATTCTCCAAAAGATTAGCCTTTATGCAATTAAGTCAGTTCTCTTTCTTCAAATTAGTTTATCCCTATTTGATATTTCTTATGAATTGAGACACGACCTTATAAAATTATATAGAATGTAGTTCCAAGATCTCCTTCTCTAAAAAGATTGAATCCAATCGGTAAATAATTATAAGTAATTTTCCTTAAACATCGTTCCCATAATACATCTCCTTAAGGTTGATTTATCATGTTCTAAAAGTATTCATTGTTTTTAGTTGCTATTTTTAAAATATCCATTTCGGCAAAAGATCGATGATATGAAGATTTATTAAGAATAATGCAAATGATTCCAAGTATTTAATCTTCAGATAGTTAATCATAAATATCTGGATTCTATTCAATTTGATAGATAATTTTTTGTAAATCCTGTCTTTCTTAATCAGACATCGTTTACCCTAATAAAATACTTCTTCTTGACATTAATAAAATGAATTATATTATAATAATTTTAGATTAATCAATTATAGTAATTAATTTAGAATCCTCCACTTTTTTATGATGATATTTCATTAACCATCCATGTGAAGTTATTAATCAAGAGCTATAGGAAAGTATAAATTATTTATACAAAATAATAAGGTAAATATTGTGTTTACTTTAACTTTTGCTTAAAAATGAGAATTATGAACAATTTAAGAATTATTTTAATTTTATTTTAGACATCAAATAAAACTTAATTTGCTTAAATAAATTTAAAATATTTTTGTACAGATTTTAGGAAGAGATTATTTAAAATATATTTTTGAATTCACAGGGAATATAAAATTGAAAATTAATTTTTTCTAAATAAATTAAGACTTAATAATATATTAGATTTAAATTTATTGAGATCTGTAAATTTTTAGCAATTAATATTCCATAACTAAAATATTTTTTTAGTTTTTTGACAATTTTGCTATCATCTTTTTGTATAATTAAATTTTATACTATATAAAAGAGATTTTTTTTGTAATATAAAATTCTAATCAAATAATATCTTTAAGAAAATAGATTTTGGATAATTATATTAATAATAACTTTTCATTTAGGTTTTATAAATATTAAATATAATATAATTGTAAAGAGTCTTTAAAAAAAAGATTTTTTGAATTCTTATAATAAAATAATAAGAAATAAGATAAGATATTTCATTAAAAATATCTAACAATATGTAATAAGATTATTGTTTCTTGAATTTAAATCATAAATTGAAGATCAGAGAAAAAGATATTAAAATAATTAATTCTAAATTTTATTTTATTGAAAGATTTAGTTTTAAAAGAATGTAGATAAGGCATAAATTCAATCAATAGTTTAAATCTGATGTATTCCATGGTTAAACATCATCAAAATTATCATCAAAAGTTAAAATTTTTTTACTATCAATATTTTATATTTTGGTATTAAGCTATTACTAGACCGATTTCTCTTAGACAGGTTCTATTTTAATATTTTGAATCAATTTCGATTAGTTTTTTATAATCTATACTCTGGTTTTGCGGGGAGAATGATACTATGAATTAGAATTGGTCGGATTTTTTAACTAAATTTTACAAAGGGACTTATTTTATTGTTAGTTTGAGATTTGTTTATTTGCATCCTTTGGTTATTTCTAAGTATTAATTTTTTATCCATAAATGTTATGTAGTGTAAAGGAAGGCTAATAATTTTATTTGGCTTATATTTCATTCTTGTTTTATAATATGGTTTAAAGATATGTCTAGTAAGCAGTGAGTTTAGGACTTGGAAATTTTTAAAATTGGTCAAAAAAAGAGGCACATGTAGTTTTCATCAATTTTCTAGGAGAATTGTAAGTAACATTAATTTATTTAGGCTAAGGTGAAACATCAGTTTAGAATCTCTGTGAAATTTAAGCATAATCATTGAATTTTTGTGTTTTTTTGGAGTATTGATAGCTATAATTATTTGATAATTAAAGAAACTTATCAGCCATTTAATTATTAAATGTTATTAAAAAGTGTTAAATGATTGTTAATATATTATTTTAATAATGTTAAGAAAATATCGTTTCTAATCGATTGAGTTATCTGAGACTAATAAATTGTTGAATTTAATCATAGAATAGAAATTTTAAACAATTTGATTAGAAAAAATAAAAAAAAATTAATATCTGTAATAAAGACTTATTTATAATATTTTTTATTATATTATTATTAAGAAATGGCAGTCAACGATGAGAGATATGTGTTTATAGTCGAATGGTTTGACACAAGTGCTTCTTTGATAAGAAGTTATAATCTAATTTACTTTATGTCTGATAAGACAATTGAGATGGTAAATAAAAAATGAATGGATTTAGTTTGATTTGAAAAATAAACGAATTTTTCTGAAAAGATGTGATTATCCATCAATTTAATTGAAAGACTTATATGTGGGATCAATTGTAACAGTTTATTCAAGATAATTGAAAATAGTTGATTATGCAGATGTATTTACGAGATCAAAATTTGAAGTTCAAAGAGGAAAGTAAGTAACATATGTAATGATATAATAGAACATTTGGTATGATAAAACCAGATGCATATACACATATAGGAAAGATAATTACAGCAATTGAAAAGAACGGTTTCGTAATTGGAAATTTAAAAATGACTAGAATGTAAATAGCAGATGCTTAATAATTTTATGGAGAACATAAAGTAAATAATTCATAGAAAAATAATAGGGCAAACCTTTTTTTGATGAACTAACATAATTTATTTGTAGTGACTTTATAGTAGGTTTGGAATTGATAGCTGATAATAGTGTAAAAAAATGGAGAGATCTTATTGGACCAACAAAATGTTAAGTAGCAAGAGTAGAAGCTCCAAATTCAATGAGAGCATTATATGGTACAGAAGGTGTAAGAAATGCTTGTCATGGAAGTGATGCTCGTAATTAATTTATTTATAATTGATAGCTGGATCAGCATAAAGAGAATTAGATTTCTTTTTTTCTGATAAATCTAATCTAAAATCAACAGCTGTTTTTAATAATTGTACATGTGCTATAATTAAACCTCATATTGTATTAGAAGGAAGAGCTGGATAAGTTATAGATATTATTTTAAGTGAAGGCTTTGAAATTTCTGCTATGCAAATGTTTTATTTAGATAGAGCTACTAGTGAAGAATTTTTTGAAGTTTATAAAGTATATTATTTATTTATATTATTTTTAGGGTGTACTTCCTGAATTCTAAGCAATGTCTGAACATTTAACATCTGGTCCTTGTATTGCTATGGAAATTAGATAAGAAAATGCTGTAAAATAAATCATTTATTTTTAGGTTAAATCTTTTAGAGATCTTTGTGGACCTCATGATCCTGAAATTGCTAGAACTTTGAGATCTTCAACAATTAGAGCTAAATTTGGGATTGATAGAGTTAAAAATGCTATTCATTGTACTGATTTGTTAGAAGATGGTATACTAGAAGTAGAATATTTCTTTAATATTTTACAATAAAAATGATTTATTGAATGAACATTTTATGAATAAATCATTGTCTTTGAATCTAATACAATTTGTATAGGTTGTTATTAGATTAAGTTCTATTTAATTCTTCATGTAGGTACAACATTCCCCAAGTCTTTGGACTTTCTGGTAAGAAACGCTTAGAAATCAACCTAATTATAATTTAAAGAAATAATACGTAGTAAATTATTCTTAAATTTAATGATTATCACCAAGGATAAATTATGATAAGATGTATCGAATATAGAATACAGTTGCCTTTTCAGGATAACGAATTTAATTCAAAATTACATTCATCACATTATATCTAATAGCAAAACTAGATAGTTTTATAATTCTTGTCAATAATGTTTTTTATTATTAAACATTAAGATTCTCAAGTCTTGGTAATAAAAGGAAGAAACCAGAAATTGTAGAAGGTAATTTGAATTTTTGATCATATTCAAAATACTTACTTACTTTTAATTTTAAATCATCATCATTCATATTTAACATAGTTTAAATTTCTTCTTTAATTTTAATTTACATTGATTCTTCTAAACAAATATGAACAATCTATCCAAATTTTTAAGCATCCTCAATATCATAAATATTTGTACATGATTGAGGATCATCAGTTTAATCATTAGGATAAGCAGCTAAACTAAAATTTAATAATTAGACATGATTGAAAGGTACTTCATCTGCAAAACAAAAAGCATATTTGCTACAGAATTTTCTTTAATCGGTTAACAAAATCATAAATAATCTTGTAACTCCTTTTAGATATTCTTATACATAATGATATGTAATTGTTTCTTCAGTAATTGTATCTCTCACAAATTCTAATAATTTAATCATCAATCTTGCAAAAGCATTTTCATTTGTTGTAATAATCTATTAGAAATATCTATTGCATAACAATTCTAACCAAGCAAAAGAAAATCCTGGATATAGACTTGGCTCAACCTTTTCTAAGAAATCAGCGAATTTATTATGGAATATCTTAATATATTCTTCATCCAAGATTTGTAAATCAAATAGTAAATTATAGAAGAGTTTGAATAATTATCTTTAATTAAATTTCTATTTAGTAACTTCATGTAGTTTTGTAAGTACCATTAAACATCCATCAAATAATTTTTCAAAGAATTTAGGTTTCATTTTAGGTTCAAAACCTTAGGCCATTATTGTAAGCATTTTTCCTAATTATTCAATTTGAGAATGATCCATATATTCTTTATTGATATCATTCATACTTAATTCAATTGCATAAGCACAAAATTTACTTAATTAATCTTCAACAAAGAATTAATTTTCACATTCAAATTTGAAAAAGTTATCGAACTCTTCTTCAGAACTCAATTAATACCATATTTTTAATTTTTATGAAACTTAATTTGAGAATTCTTCATCAATTTTAGAATAAAAACCTTTGATTAAATTTAATTTTTTTTAAAAGACTTTAGTTTAAGAAGAATTAGATATATGATTAGATAGTTCTGAGAAGAATTTATTAACAGTTGGATTAGTGTCTTTCTTTTTACTTACTTCTTTAATAATATTTCTGAATGAATTTATATAGGGACTATTATCTTCTTCTATAATAACTTTTTTAAGTATGTAAACAATAGAACTGACATTCATTTGATTATCTTTTGTGAGAATTTAAGTCATTATTTGTTCAGCTTCTATACTTTAAATAAGTCTTTTATTTAACATGATAGGGAATGCTTACCACCATAAAGGACTATGTTCTAGAAGTTCAATATTTTTGGCAATGAATTCTGCAACTAATTCACTCCATTTCTTACCTACTTTTTCATTAATTTTTCTAATGAGAATAGTTATTAAATCTAAAGAGATAGATATTTTTTCAGAAGTTAAATTATTAGTCAAGATGACTTATAAAAATTTATCAGCTAAATCCTTATAAAATTATTCAGGATTAGATTAATCTTATTCATTTAAATCTTAGACTAGTTATTATATTTTTTCTTCATTACTTTAAGGATCTTATAGAAGTTAACATAAAGTAGATACTTTTTACAAGACAGATTATTTAGGTTATTTTTTTTTCGTTCCAAATTCTTCATAAATTCTAATTTCTTCTTCAGTCAAACCTTATATTCTAGGTTGTAATGGTTCAGGTAAGAACTTAAGTTAATTCTAAGTAATTTCATCTCTATATTATTAACCTTTTTCTTTGCAACGTTATCTTTTTTCTAATTCTGCTAAAATCAAAGGATCTTGATTAACATCTTCTAGAGCTCTTTCAATAACAGCTTTTCTTATTAAAGCACAGCCTAGATCTAGATTTTCTTAAGCAGCAGTTTAAACAAAGATTTCTTTAGTTTTGCTATCAAGATCAATTTATTCAGTTCCTTCTTTAAGATAATGAGTAATTCTAACTTTTAATGGTTCTCTACAAGTAACCATAGCTAAACTTCCAGATAAATGTGAAGCTATCATATGCATTCCTCTTAACATATATTTTTCATTTGGTTCAAGTGCAAAATCTTTAAACACTAATTCTCTTGTAGTAATAAGAGCAATAGTAACACTTCTACTTATAACAGGTGGAATGATATCAGAAATAGCATGATCTAAAGCTGTAGCTACAAGGTTTTTACACTCAGCTTCACTTAATTTATCATATAAATTTTTGGAATCTGCCATAACATATTATGGTAGATTCTTAATATTCAATTTATTAAGTGGATCTATATCTATAACAGGTTATGGTTATGGCTATGGAATAATTACAACTGGATTTGGAATTGTAATAGGAGTGGGAGTTTGATTTATTGTTTGAACTGTGTATTCAATTTATTTAAGTAAATTCATTATCTCATATTTTGCCATTGTATTACATGTTTCTTTAGCAGCATCTAATTCTTATAATATTTTGTTAACCCATTTATTATTTTTAGTAAATATTTAACTAGTTTTCACTTATTCTAAGATTTTACATAAAGGGTAGATTGTTAGATAGTTTTATTTCAATAATGTCTTATAATCAAAATATTTAAATAAGAAAGGTTTATCTCTAGATACAGTAATCTAACCTAGAAAACTACCCATGTTTTTTATGGTACTTCTATCATCTGCAGAAGGAGTAGCTTTATTGATATTCAGCAATCTTGTTAATCCTATACTAACTTCTTTTGCAACTTCTGAAAAATATTTAGATTTATTTAATGCAGCAAGTAAACAACACATTACATTTGGACCTTATGCTTATTATTAGGTCATTGGAGAACGTAAATATGCGATGGTTTTTATAAAATAAAATAGGGCATCTTAATTTTCTAATTTTTATCTTATTTCTGCTGCTTTTTATTCAACATTATTTTAAGATATACTATTCAATGTAAATGTAAAATATTCTTTCACTTCTTAATCTGCTCCACATTTTGAAAACACTTCAAATTCCATCTATAAAATTTACTTATATGTTAAATTAATATTTGCATTATTATCTTCTTATTTTTATTTCTAAGGTTGAGGTGTATGTTAAACTGGCAGTTATGATTATTTTTATAATGTAGGAGGAGGAGTAACTGATTATAAATGTATTACTTAAGGATGTTATTGAACTTGTGTAACTGGTTATTATTATGGTACAATAACAGGTTATGGTTATTATTATATAGGAATTTAAATAGGTTATACTACAGCAGGCACTATAATTGGAATAGGTGGTGTTTATTAAACAGGAACTGATTCTGACTTCTTTAAAGATATTTAAATTGGCTCTTCTTCTTATTTTTCTTTTTAAGCAACCAATTGAATTGGCTTATGGAAAACAGTCTAAATAGGAATTGCAGGTGATTATGGAGATTTAATACCATGTTTCTCACAAACTCTTATTATTTCTGCTAAAAGATCTGGATTCTTGAATGATAATTATTCACATGCCATCACATCTTATGCAAACTAAGGCCATTCATATATTTTATTCTTCATTACATCTAATGCTTTAACAGCAAAATCATATCTTTATGAATTATTCTTTAATGATACTGAAATTATCTTCAATCCTATTTACACACTTTAACCTTCTACTAATCCTCTTTCCAACACTCCTCCAAATAATTATCCTGTTAATTCTAATTCCTTCTTTGGATATTTCAAATGAAATTAATATTCATTATATAAATTTGTTATTATGCAAGCATACACCTCTTTCTCTTATATACTACCCTATGTTTTCCATTATAACATTTAATTTAAGAAATTCTCCAGAGTTATTTATTCACTATAATAACTCTCAAAATAACTGTCTGTCTTACTCTCCACTTCCTAATTTGTTTTTTAATTTGGCTATCCTGCTAACTATGGAAACACTTGTACTACTTCTTTATAGTATTATTATGTAGTCTATTTAATCTTATTCCCTAATTTATCTCCTTAATTCATCAATTACTCAAATATTATTGTTATCATCTCTAATTTTAATTAACCTTTATCTAATATCTAATCCAACTATTGCATCTACATTTATCCTAATTAACCACTTGGCAATCCAGATTTTAATTAATACTCTTTTATCTATTATATTACATTCTCATCTATGTATTGCAATAATACATTTACAAATGGAATACCTTAAGATTTTATTCTTTCATTCAACCATATATCAAAATTCAAATATTCTCGTTTACCTGCCAATATACCTAATGGAACTGAAAATTAATAATCTTCAAATTTTGCCATTGTTAATAAAGAAGTATTATTCTACTAGGAATTTTAAAACAATTATTAAACAATATCCAATACTCTTGATAAATTTAAACAGGAATTCTCTTTCTTTCCTTATTCTTTTTTATATAATTCACTTATTCCTGTAATAAATAAATTCTAATTGTATTTCCACATCTATTCTAAAACTGGTGATGAATTTGCATGTTAAGATACATAATTAGGAAATAATAAAGTAAATAATTCATCTATTAATGCTCCTCCTTATGATGGTGAAATTTAAAATAAAGCTAAAATTACTAAATCTGGATTTTATCTTATTGGTGTTTCAAAAAACTCTCTTATTTCAGCTATATATCCATATTCACTTAATTCTATCAGCATTTAAACAAACTCTAAATTTTACCAAAATTATAATTATTATTAAGTCTTATAATTTGTATTATGTTCCATAATAACTAATTTCTTTGGTTAAATCTCATTCCAAAACAACTATTCAGGTTTGTTAGTTTTCAACATACAAGAAAGAAAAGTAATTTAAGATTTCTTATTATGCCATTTGTCTAATAATAATCTATGTGGTAATTAAAATTAGGATTATTATTTTTTAATTTTAGCTAATATTCCCATCAAATTATTATATCCTTATAATGATAATTCTAAATTAGGTCTATCTAATTTCTCAAATACTTGTGACCATTATCTTTTATTGTTATCATTAATAAAAAATTTAATAAAATCATCTTCCTATTATTTATTTGATTCTACTGACAATTAATCCCAATCTGGTTATTAAGTATTCTAAGTCAACTTAAATAACTATTGAACATCTTTATGAACTTCCTCACCTTGATTATTAGCCAAATATAATAAACAATCCATTATATCAGTGTCACTGTATTCTGTAAATATTTATTATAAATTTGTTGTATAAGGTCCTAACTCTCTTAAAATATCGACAGGTTTAATACAATCACTAATCTTAGGAATATCTATGTTAACTGGATCCAATTTCATGTACTTTTTATTATCATCATACAAACATTTTAAATCAGGTTATTTTGTATTTTAAACGTATTCATTAAAATTTTTAATTTCCTATTCAAGATCCTAATATTATTTAAATATTTTTACCGTCAATTCAGGAATGTTTCTAAGTTAATATAATAATGTGTGAATTACATATTAGGGCACCTATATATTATTTTTCTATTAAAAAGGTTCTTATAGCTTCTTTTTTAACATCTTAATGCCTTCTTTAGCATAATTCACATTTGATGAAAAAGTAATAGACAACCACATAATCATTTAAACCAAAGATGGTACTTTAAGTGTATTACATAATTCACACAAATATTCAGTGATAGACTAGGATTAGGGTAACACAGCTTCAACCACACCACAAAAATAATCTAAAAAATGGGATTTAGATGAGGCTTATTGGAGCCATTGTACTAGAAATTGTCCTTTTTGTGTTAGTGATTGTTTTTCCTTTTGTATTTCTATACTTTCCAAGAGTTGAAGTAAGAAATACTATTCTCCAGGTATACCCAATTGATTAATGAGAGATTAAACCTCATTTAATACTACCTTCTAGTTTCTCTTTTGGGCTAAACCTTAGACAAATGTTTTTATCTATTGATAGATAGGGACTTATGGATTGCGTGAAACGTAATTCATTTATTTAATTTATTTATGCATTCATCAATCTCCCCGATATATTATTTGAATTTCTCCCAATTATCTAATGTTAATGTAATCCCTTTTTTAGTTGGTAACATTTATCCATCTTTTTCAAAATACTCTCGTAAACTAAGCATCACTTTACCTTTGAATTTGGATACTGAAACTTTTTTAGAAGTTGTTAACTTTTAGAATTATTTAAACATGTTTAATTACATCAAATAAATATTATCCATCCTCAAATGTATAACTCTATTTCTTAGCCTTCTTCTCTTATTATGGAGTTTATTTCTAACCATCAAATATTTAATCATATTCTTCTTCAGATGAAGATCGATTTCTCATCTATTTCATTAATTAAGTTTTTAAATTTAATGTATTTACCTTAGCATTTCTACCCATAAGTATATCCATAGTATAGATATCCTTCCTATGGTGTACTTCCATAAATTCCATAGTAATGGAGACCACCTGTTTATAGGGCTCCATAATATGGTTATCCAAATATTAGATATGCACCATCTTATCCATATAACCCTTATGCTTCAACAGTTATGCCATAAGTATATCAACCACAACCAATGATGAGTCAAATAATGGCTTCACCTTAAAGAACATTCTAATCTCCAGATAGATTAAAGGTAGCATAATCACCAACAAGAAATATACTCATGTAATCATAATAAGTCCCGAGATCTCCAGGTCCTTAACTTTAATCACCTTAAAGATAATATCTTACTTATGAATAAGTGTAAGAAAGACTGAGAGGTGTTTAATAACCTTAAGCTTAAAAACCATAACAGACAAATAAGCGTATGTTTCAAATATGATTTTTGTAGATGCTAATTATCCATAACCATAGCCGAATTAATAAAAATAAAAATCACCACCTCCTTAAAAAAAATAATAGGTTCCACAAAAACAACCAGAAGATGATTTAGATAAAAGATATTAGAATGCACTTAAAAGTACTGAAGAAATTATCAAAAAATATCAGATGGATGATTCTGGAAATAAAGAACGTTAAAATAATCAAGCAAATGAACCTTAAGGTGATGAAGAAGATGAAAATATTTAAGGTATTAATATTCTAATTATTTCTAGAATTGGCATTACAATATGAAGATGGATATATTTATAGAGGATAAGGATATCCACCTCAAACTAGAAATGGATTTGGTATTTTAACAGATTAAGATGGAAAATAAGTTTATGCTGGATATTGGAAAGATAATCTTTATGATGGTCAAGGAAGATTAACTAATCTTTAGACTGAAGAATTAAATGAAGCTATTGATTGGAATAATATGACTACTATTGGCAATGGATGGGCATCATATGAAGGTAATTATTATTAATATATACAATTAAAGGGAACTTTTTATAAGGAAAAATGCATGGATAAGGAACACTCATTCTCACTAATCAAGAACAATATTTCGGAGAATTTGAAGAAGGTATGGTACATGGAGAAGGAGAATTTACAACTGCTGATGGAACAGTTATTAAAGGTAAATGGGATCAAGGATACTTAATTTAATTATCAGAATAAGAATGAAAAAATAAACATTAATAATTTATATATATATATTTATTTTATTTTATATTTACTGTATTTTTNTAATGTATTTACCTTAGCATTTCTACCCATAAGTATATCCATAGTATAGATATCCTTCCTATGGTGTACTTCCATAAATTCCATAGTAATGGAGACCACCTGTTTATAGGGCTCCATAATATGGTTATCCAAATATTAGATATGCACCATCTTATCCATATAACCCTTATGCTTCAACAGTTATGCCATAAGTATATCAACCACAACCAATGATGAGTCAAATAATGGCTTCACCTTAAAGAACATTCTAATCTCCAGATAGATTAAAGGTAGCATAATCACCAACAAGAAATATACTCATGTAATCATAATAAGTCCCGAGATCTCCAGGTCCTTAACTTTAATCACCTTAAAGATAATATCTTACTTATGAATAAGTGTAAGAAAGACTGAGAGGTGTTTAATAACCTTAAGCTTAAAAACCATAACAGACAAATAAGCGTATGTTTCAAATATGATTTTTGTAGATGCTAATTATCCATAACCATAGCCGAATTAATAAAAATAAAAATCACCACCTCCTTAAAAAAAATAATAGGTTCCACAAAAACAACCAGAAGATGATTTAGATAAAAGATATTAGAATGCACTTAAAAGTACTGAAGAAATTATCAAAAAATATCAGATGGATGATTCTGGAAATAAAGAACGTTAAAATAATCAAGCAAATGAACCTTAAGGTGATGAAGAAGATGAAAATATTTAAGGTATTAATATTCTAATTATTTCTAGAATTGGCATTACAATATGAAGATGGATATATTTATAGAGGATAAGGATATCCACCTCAAACTAGAAATGGATTTGGTATTTTAACAGATTAAGATGGAAAATAAGTTTATGCTGGATATTGGAAAGATAATCTTTATGATGGTCAAGGAAGATTAACTAATCTTTAGACTGAAGAATTAAATGAAGCTATTGATTGGAATAATATGACTACTATTGGCAATGGATGGGCATCATATGAAGGTAATTATTATTAATATATACAATTAAAGGGAACTTTTTATAAGGAAAAATGCATGGATAAGGAACACTCATTCTCACTAATCAAGAACAATATTTCGGAGAATTTGAAGAAGGTATGGTACATGGAGAAGGAGAATTTACAACTGCTGATGGAACAGTTATTAAAGGTAAATGGGATCAAGGATACTTAATTTAATTATCAGAATAAGAATGAAAAAATAAACATTAATAATTTATATATATATATTTATTTTATTTTATATTTACTGTATTTTTTATATCTCATATTACATCTATATATTATAATTAAATTTTTATTATAAATAATAATTAATTTATAACAAAGCTAAATATAGTATGGATCAATAATTAGTGATTTAAAAAAGTTTTATTGATATAATTAAGATATTTTAATCCAATTAAAAAATATTATTTAAAGAAACACATCAATTATTATTTATCTTAATTGTTAAATTAAAATTACTATAATTTGACATTTAAATCAATTGATAAGTGCTTAAATTTTATTTAAAGGCATAGAAATTCTCTCTGATCTATTTCTCCTCTTTAAATAATGAATTCCATATCTAATCTCTGCTTTTGTTATGGTTCTAAATAAATATATTTAAATTACTCTAGAAAGTTCAACTAATCCATTTTTAACAATTTATGATCTACCTCCTCTAACCATTAAATTGCCAATTATAATTAGGTTAAACAATAGCCTTATTGACTCACATTCTTGCTTTTATCTAAAAATATTTAGACAAAGTTTAGGTTGCTATGTAATCTTTAGGGAGCTGCTTTAATCAATATGTAAATGAGAATTGGTAATACAGTATCTGCAGAAGTGGCTTCTTCCTTTAATGATGTTAATTTAAGAACGTCATTCATAATTTTAGAACATGTTATAATTGCTTCTAATTTATTTACAGCTGTCTTACAATTATCTATGTTCAACAAAGCTACAAAAATAATAGATTTTTAAAACCTTCAACAGCCAAATCCCACATCTCATCAACTCTATTTTATTTAATTATTTCTAAATGATCATAACTTATCCATTCCAAAGATTTAATTCTAAAATAAAGACCAGCATCTTTATAAGTTCTTTCTTTTGGATAGACTCTATATTAATTATATTAATATTTTACTTATCGTAAACACGCTTACTTACATATTTTTCAAGCATATCCATCATCTAAACCTCATCAATTTTCATTTCGTTCTTTTCTTTTAAATAATTAGCTAATGCCTATATAAATTCAAAATATGCATTCTTCACTCCAGCTTTATCTTCTCCAGAAATTACTGCCTCTTTTACCTCTTATAAAGATGAAAAGTTTTCTATAAATTATTTTATATCAGAACAATGAGAATATTAAAATTCAGAATTTTTTTTTTATTCATTTGGACTTGCTCCTCCTACTATTTGTTTTATAAATTCTAAATTAATTGCATTATGAATGCATTCATTTTATTATTCTACCCAAATTTAATTCTCATCCAAAGCTTCACTATTATTATTTCTGAGTTTCTAAGCTTTTATAGAAAACAAACCTTCTCTTGTTTTAGGAGATGTTACACATAATGTAAGAGGTGTTTTTTCGATAAAATCATATAATTATTTTTATCTTTTTTCTTGACTTAATTATTCAAAAGATTCTCTCATCACTTCATAATTCTTCTTAATATTATACTTTGCACTCAATAATTAATATTTTGTTTATTAAATAATTTCTGTTAAATTCTTTGAGCGTTCTTAAAATTCCTAATTCAAAATTTAAAAAATATTTCTTAAATTACTTTAAATATCTTAATTATTTAATTATTTTATTTGCTCCAATATATATTTTAACAAGAATACAGTTTTTTTATCATTTAAATAAGTGTATTTCTTAAGAAATAAAATAAATATTTACATCAACAAAATTGTTAAGTACTCTTTTAAGACTAGTTTCTTCTTAATTTCCAGAAGTTGAAACAGCTACATCTTATATTTCTATTAAACATTTCATCAAAGAATTAACAAGTTTTCTTTAATTTCTTAAATTTTCATCTTTTATCTTTTTCAAAGGTTATACCTACTCTTAATACATTATATTGTTTGGAATAGAAAATATTAAGATCAAAGCATATATTTACTATTAATTTTATTAATTTTATTGTTGTCTAAAAATGTTTTCATGTTTATCTATTTCCAAAGTTCTTGTTGCATAAGCCACAAGACTATTAATAATTTTTTAAAATTCAGGAGATTCACTTTTGAAATTCTTCATGTCTTATAATAATAAACATAAAACTTTAATTTCATCTAAAGCTATACAAACACAATTTGATTGAATTCCATCTATTTTATTAGTATCATTAATAATGGCATTAACAGAATCAGGACATAAATTTAAAATTTCTTGAAGATATTCTTTAAGAGAAGGCTATAAGTCTGACATATATTAATTTAATCTATTATATTATGGATCTTCATTGTATTTTTAATTTCTAATCATTTTTTTGATGATAGTATGAATTTATGAAACAGTAGCTTCATGATCTTCACGAATATATTTAAAAGAAGAATATTGTTTAGGAAATACAAGTTAAGGTATAAGCCAAACATTAAATAAGAAACTAAAAATATTATCTTAGATTTATTATTCAGTGGCATCAGGGAACTTTTTTAGGATTGAAATTTAAATCATTTTGCAAATGATTCTTATACCTTAAGGTATTAGGTAGATGTTTTTAAAAATATTTTCCATGATATTATTTACTAGTTATTTAAATTTATCAATGCAAGCAATCAACACACTATTTATTTCATTATTCATTTATTAATCAGATTTACTATTATGACTATAAACTTCTGATAATTTACGATTTGGTGATTCAGAATGAATTTCTTAAGGTGCAATACTTCTCCTTTCCATGGTTAAGAATTTAGCCTACCTTTATTCCTCTCCAAATTAAAGTACTTTTAATGAGAATTCAGTCAATTAATTTTAATTCCTTCTTGAATGTTTTGTATTAGATTTTTTTGATTGATCATATTATTTAATTAGATTTGCATAATACTCTGTCATATTTTATTAAGGTTTTTCTACTATTTTATTTGGAGTTATAAACGCAATTTATCTTTGAGGTACTGACTTATTTAATTAATTTGGAGTGTTAGGTATTTATCTAATAGTAATAGCAGAAGAAGTTAAAGGCTATTTTTCATCTTTCTATTTTTTTTCTTATTCTTTTTTTATTTCACGCAATTTATCAGAAATTTTTCTTTTATCTAAATCTAAAAATTTATCAACTTTAGTGATTTGAATCAAAGAATTTTTAAAAATGACTTTAGTATATTTGACATTTTCAGGTCTTTTTGTGAATTCTTTCATAATAAATTATGTCCAAGTTTCTTCTCTATCCCACAAAAATTCAGGAAATTCTTATCTATTAACTTCTGTGGTAATAATTTCACTCATTAATTTCAAAATAGGTTATTTCCACATTGATCCACATGCTATGTTATCATATATACTATTTATAAATGTTCTTATTAAAGTCTCTATTTCTTAAGTTCTGTTTGTATAATTGTGATGTTAGAATATTGCAGAACATACTTTAGTATTAGATAATTTTTCAAATATCTATTTCACATTAGTTTCTGCATTTTTAAATAATCTAGATGTAGATTCTTCCAATATCTTTTACTCTTAATTCATATTACTTTCAACCAATACATTTATATAAGTTTAGTAATATTACTTACTTTCCTACTTCAACTCATCTAACAATTTATTTTTTAGTTCATCTTCCTGTCTCATTTTGTATTATTCTTCTTTTAGACTTTGTTGTAGCTTTATCCATTCCTCAATAGATGTCCGATCACTATTTATGATTAAATGAGATTCTTATCTAGTTGTTCCTACCATTTAGTAAAATACTCGGTCTTCAACTTCATCACTTTCTTATACATCTGGGACACTTCTCAAACTTTAAAATTATCTCTGATGATTCATAAAATAATTTATATATTCATTATCTATTCAATCTCTATAATTCTATATAAAACATATTCAATATTTATTCAAGAAATCTCTTCTTTAATTGCATTCCCTTTCATAAAATTCTCATTTTATTTGATATTTAAGAATTATTTCAATCAAAGCTATTATCTCCATTCTAATTATAATACTATCTAGATTATACAGAATTTTTATTATATTTTTTAACTTTACGCAGTTTCATTTAATAATATCAAATAAATACTAGAGATATTAATAAAAAAATATAATACTAATCTTCATTGTCTTTATCATCTTAATAATTATTTAATCCTATTTATAATTAATCATAATTATAATTTTAAATTGAATATCTATTAAGTATGACTTCTAATAATGTATATACTTTAACTTTCTGCAAATTTTTTAGTTTTTTTATTCTTAAAATCTTGAAATTCCATTTGTTTTAACTACATTAACCTATTAACATAACGATTTCACCTTATTTTAAAACACTTTCTAATTAATTTGTGAATTACATTAGGATATTTTACTTTTATTAACAATTTTTTTAAATTCTTGACCTTTTAACTCAATTTTGAAATTTCATTAATAGAAACTAATCCATTCTTCAATTCTTAAAACGATTGCAAGATCATTACACTCTTTATATGTTGTTACTGTTAAAGATCATATGCATATTATAAGGCACGTATTTCATGTGATTTTTTGGGTATTGTGATTGAATCTAGTCTATTCTATTAGTATAAATACTTTTAAGTTATATTTTAAACATTTCTCTTAATATCTATTTAGATCTGTTGTTATTGATTCCTTTTCAAAAGAAAACATATTAAACAAAGACTTTGATTAAAATAATTTGTGAATCATTCTATTCTAATGTGTTTATTTGATAAATTAATAAATTTGAAATCTATTTTAATTGTATACTTTCAGTCACATTAGTATAAATTAAATTTAAAATCTAGAATGATAATGAGTATTAATTCTAATAAATTTGCATTTATTCGAGCTTTCTAGATTCAATTCATTTATTTTTAATGCTCTATATTTGAATTATGTATATTTGAAATTAAATTTAATTGATAACTCATTTATGATTAATGATGTTTTATTTATGCAAGTTATTAACTTAATTTAAATTTATTTTATTTCAAAATGGAATGCCATATTTGTATTCCAAATAGGAAGGTTCTGTTTGGGACTAATCAAGATAAAATTAGAATGAAAGGTAGAGTAAAGTTAGATTATTATTTAAGAAAGTCTCTCTATCATAAAGAATCACTTCCTCCCTTTATAATAAATATGCTGAATCTCAAAACTATTATTATACCAAAGTAGTTAATGATTTGATTCTCAACTAACCTACTAAAGCAACAATTTGGTTTAAAGTATATTATTATCAATTTTGAAAAGGATTTATAATANTTTATCATCTTAATAATTATTTAATCCTATTTATAATTAATCATAATTATAATTTTAAATTGAATATCTATTAAGTATGACTTCTAATAATGTATATACTTTAACTTTCTGCAAATTTTTTAGTTTTTTTATTCTTAAAATCTTGAAATTCCATTTGTTTTAACTACATTAACCTATTAACATAACGATTTCACCTTATTTTAAAACACTTTCTAATTAATTTGTGAATTACATTAGGATATTTTACTTTTATTAACAATTTTTTTAAATTCTTGACCTTTTAACTCAATTTTGAAATTTCATTAATAGAAACTAATCCATTCTTCAATTCTTAAAACGATTGCAAGATCATTACACTCTTTATATGTTGTTACTGTTAAAGATCATATGCATATTATAAGGCACGTATTTCATGTGATTTTTTGGGTATTGTGATTGAATCTAGTCTATTCTATTAGTATAAATACTTTTAAGTTATATTTTAAACATTTCTCTTAATATCTATTTAGATCTGTTGTTATTGATTCCTTTTCAAAAGAAAACATATTAAACAAAGACTTTGATTAAAATAATTTGTGAATCATTCTATTCTAATGTGTTTATTTGATAAATTAATAAATTTGAAATCTATTTTAATTGTATACTTTCAGTCACATTAGTATAAATTAAATTTAAAATCTAGAATGATAATGAGTATTAATTCTAATAAATTTGCATTTATTCGAGCTTTCTAGATTCAATTCATTTATTTTTAATGCTCTATATTTGAATTATGTATATTTGAAATTAAATTTAATTGATAACTCATTTATGATTAATGATGTTTTATTTATGCAAGTTATTAACTTAATTTAAATTTATTTTATTTCAAAATGGAATGCCATATTTGTATTCCAAATAGGAAGGTTCTGTTTGGGACTAATCAAGATAAAATTAGAATGAAAGGTAGAGTAAAGTTAGATTATTATTTAAGAAAGTCTCTCTATCATAAAGAATCACTTCCTCCCTTTATAATAAATATGCTGAATCTCAAAACTATTATTATACCAAAGTAGTTAATGATTTGATTCTCAACTAACCTACTAAAGCAACAATTTGGTTTAAAGTATATTATTATCAATTTTGAAAAGGATTTATAATAATATGATGAAGAAATGGAACACTGTAAAAAACTCTACACTTTATCGTCATATCCAAAAAAAATCAAGATTTTAATTGAATTTTATAGAGTATTAATAATTCATTACATTTGCAGTTCCATAAAGAGATTCCTAGATGGGCCGTTAATGAATAAATTGTCACCATCTTAAATGAATTTTACAATCAAAGAAGAAAACTAGATTATTATAAAATACAACACATTATTGAATAGGAAAATCAATAAAATCCCAATAGAACTCCAAAAGGGATTGTTGGAGAATAACCTCAAGAATCTTAAAGCACTCCTAAATCATCTTAGGAATCAGGTATTGTAATTGGAAATGTTTTGGATGAATTAATTAATACCGAGTTAAAATAAAGAACATAAACTTAAGAAAGTGAAATTAATGAAATTATTTCAACTTTAAATGCTAATCCTTCAAAAAAACCAACAAATTTATAATAAATTATCAAAAATCAATAGTGTATTCTAAATGAATAAAGGTTACAATAATTCATAACCTAAGAAAAACTTAAAAAAATTAATTTACTTATAAATTAATAAAAAGCTACTAATTAGTCATAAAGACAAACTAAAGTTTAAATATTGTTCTAAGATAAATGTGATTCTTTTAGAAAATCAAATTTAAACTAAAATTGCTTAACATAAAAAAATAGAGATAATCCATCTACTCATGCTCAGATATTAAGTTTATGTAAAATTGAGTATAATTTTCTAGTACAATAAAGAGTAAAAGTAAAGTTTGAATTAAAAAATTAAATAAAAACAAAAGCAATCACTGGTAATACATCTTTAAGGAGCCTTTAAAAAAATATTGAATCTCCTAAAGCGACAAGAAATATCTAGTATCAAAAACAAAGATTTAATTAAAAGAAATAATTAAAAGCAAAAACATTTCATGTAAATCAATCAAATAAGTAAAATATCTAAAAAGATAATTAGAAATTTAATTGTTAGTTTATTAGCAAACAAGAATACAACTGTACATGTAGATGCAAATTAAAAAAATCTCCTTTTGGCTAAATTGAATACCTTAAACACACCAAGATAGATTTTAAATTGAAATATATTTATATATTTATTTAAATAAATAAATTATATCTGTCGAATATTAATTAAAATTTATTGTATTTTATAATTAATATGTATTTAAATTTGGTGAAATATATAAGTCAAATAATAAAGATATTTTGATTATTAAATAAAGGCAATTTACAAAGCATTGTTTTATTTTACCTTATCAATTACGACTATTATGATTTCATAACAAATTAATTAAGTAACTTAATAATAGCATATTATCAAGATGGATTAGAATTAACCTAAAAAAGCAATAAAGAGAGCATATTGTAGAAAAGGGAGGCCTCCTATGGTATTTAGATCAGAAAGTGAAAAAATGAGATAATTGTTATAAATTATAGATGAGAATAATAGAATAGAAAACTTGGATAAAAAAATCATTTAAACTACCTCTAGTTCCTAATTAAAAAATGATTCAGAATAATAATAAAGTTCGTAAACATAATAAAGTGATAAAAAAACTTAGAATGTAACACCTAGTTAGACATAACTTTAACCAAGTATAGAATAAACAACAAAATAAACTTTGGAAATAAAAATAATAAAAAAAGCATAGCCATAAGAATTGATGAATGAAACATAGAAAAAAAGATTGAAACCAGATGACAATTATGAATAAAGATTTTGTTAGATGAAATGTGAAATGTAAAGTTTTTTAAGTTACTGGATTATGAAACTCAAATCTTCAGTCACTGAAACATAATAGATGGTTGAACAATTAGAAAAATTTAAATTATGATTTTTATGAAATGTTTGTTATTTTCATTTATTATTCTAAGAAATCTCTTATTTAAATGTATGTATATATATATATTTGAAATCAATATATTGATTAGTATAATTAATTTATGAGATAATTTAGCGGGACTTGGAAAAGAAGAGGAGGTAATGCAAATAACAGACCATTTAGAGGAGGAAATTAAAATTCTAGAAATAATAGATAAAATAACAATAGATCAAATAATCAAAGAGGAAACTTTAAGAATAATTAATTTAGGAGATAATCAAATTAAAATTCTGGATATAATAGATAAAGAAATTAAAATTCTAACAGAGGAGGAGGATCTTAAAGAGGAAGAGGAAATAGATAAGGATTTTAATAAGAAAATACATAGCGAAGAAGAAGGTTTGGTTTCAAATAAAAAAATTAGAATGTAAATTTTATATTTATTGAATAGGGTGAAAATAAATAAAGATTTATCAAAACTGGAAGAAAGAATAGAATTAATTCAGATGTTTATAAAATAGCCAAGGATCTTTAAAGTATATATCATAGTTTATTATTATTAGGAAAATCTAAAATGGAATAAGCATTAGATAATTATTGGAAGAAAAGTGATTAATCAAAGAATGAAAAGACTACTCAAGAAGTAAATAATGAAAAATGATATCAATTAAATATATATTAATAATTAAAATGAAGAAGTTAGAATAAGTGAATACATATCTAAATAAGTTTGATGAAACTATTCTAAAATTACTTAAAGAGTCAAATATTAATACGATAAAAAGAACACAACCAAAATCAATTATAAACTCAGATGAACCTACTAAATAATAAGAAGAGATTCTTAACAATTATCAATATACTCCTGTTTCAAATATGGAAAATTCTTAATTGAAAAAGTCTGATATAATTGAAAATAATAACTCATATAGAATTTTTAGAAGTAGATAATAGATAAAGACTTAAACTTTTGAAAAATTTCAACCCTAACAATAATCTATTGTTGCTAATAGTCCAATAAATTCAGGAATGCCATCACCAAATCAAACTAATACTTCAATCAATATTGTTGAAAGACTTAAAACTATTGAATAACATTATGGAAATAAAATAAAGATTTTAGAAGATGAAAATAACCAATTAAGAAAGTAAATCTTCTAATAAATTCAGAGCATCTTAAAATGATAAAGTCTAAATACAATCTTTAGAGTCCTAAGTTCAAAGATTAGAAAGTGATCTAAAAGAATAATAAAAACTATTTTAAGATATTCTCTAAAAGTAGTTAAACGATTAAAAATAATAAATGTGTATTATTTAAATTCATTTTTAGAGTTTGAATTAGAGGAATAAGAAAATAGATTGAAAAGATAATTTGAGAGGTAAATATCCAGAAAGGATTAAAGAATTTTAGAATTAGAATAATGGTAATAAAAGAAAAGATCACATCATACTGATAGTAATAATACAAATTTACTATTTACATTCAAAACACATGATCATTGAATTACTTATAATTAGTTATTATTAGATCTTTTTGGAGATTCATTTTCTTAAGCATTAAAATCAGTTGAAAGGTTTTTTTAAATTTATTCAATAGCATTTCTATTATCACCTTTCTAAAATAAAAAGTTATTATTTCTTGGTGTTTTAGGAATTTGTGATTCTCCTTATATTTTAATTTTTTTATGTTCCTTTAAACCTTATTTATTTTCTTCTGGTTATTTAAATACAGGTGTTTATTCTGAAAAATCTAACTATTTTTATATATTTATAGCTTTTTCTTTTGATTGAGGAGTATGATTTTCAAAATCAAATTTTGGATTCACAAAATTGTCAAAAATTAATGAATTTTTTTGATGTTGATATTCGATTTAATCATTATTTTTTAATTTCTAATCTTCTTATATATCTATATCACAACCACCAAATGAAATATTAACTTATTATTCAATAGAAGTTGTAGATTATTTTTCTTGTTTTTCCTATATTTAATCAAAATCATTTATTGATATATTTTCAGAAATCTAATTAACATCTTATTCATTTTATAAATTATTAATTTGATTAGAAACTTGCCAAGGCGGTTTAATTTTGTTTTCAAAAACAGATATACCATCACTTGAAGTTCTAAATGGATTTTTCTCATTGATTGGTTCTTTATCCCAAAACCTAATCTAATTTTATTTCTTATCTTAGAATTACTTTTTAATATTATAATCATTTTCTATTTAATTATTCAATTAATATTATGAGTGAATTTTATTGAAGTCCATTTATGAAATTGATTCATTAATATTGTTTTATTTATTTATGGAGCAAAAATTAAAGTTTTATAGTTCTAAAAGCTTATTATTAGATGGAATCTCTTATCCTCTTACATTTTTATCTTGAACTTTATCTTTCAAAAATGAAGGTAAAAGAAAGTCATCTTCTAAAATACCACCTAATCTCTTAAAGTTAGATTCAGGTTTATTGTTTTTAGACTTTTATTCTTTCTCTTCTCTCATAAAATGAACTTTAGATCTGTTTCCGCCAAAAATGGTTTATTGTTTTTGAGATTATTATATATTATTTTGATGCTATTATTATATAGATTGAAATTAGTTATTAAAACTTTCTTGATTGTTTTCTTGCATATAATATGGCCTAAATTATTGTTTACTCACACTAGCTAATAGATTTGAACTTTTTTGAACTAATTTTTCACCTAAGGATGAACTAAAATTGGCGCTGTCATTATCTGAAAATCGATCTAACTAATTCCATCTAGCATGAGACATATTCAAATTTACTTTTTTCTATTACTTGAAATAATCCAATTACTTCTGTAAGATCTCCAAGATAACTTATGACAGGAATTTGTTCCAATTCATTAGATTAGACTCTATTATTCTAATAAAATGACTTTAATCTATCTATAGCATAAAAATATTAATTAGATCTCTTTCTTTATTGATTCACAATTAAAAATTTGTTTTAATGCTAATCATTATTTTTAGAATCAAACACAAACTCTTATTATATTCTTTCTTAAATTAAAGGTTCCCTTGTTGTTTAGTTACTCTCAATTCCAAAAATTATTTGAAGACTCTTTCTCACTCTTTCTAAAGACATTTATTATAATTAAATTATTGAATTCAATAAATGGTTTGTAAATTTTTTTTTAGACATTAACTTTTAAATTAAATAAGTCTTTAAAAAATTTTTTAATTATTAACAAAAACAAAAGTAAAAAATAGAGTAAGTTTGAAATATTATTAATAGAATTTTAAAATAATCATTTGGAACTATTTGAAAGAAGATTTATGATTATTATTGTATTCATAATAAATATAAATATATATTTAATTAATAACAATAAATTAAATAATGGGAGCCTGTACATTAACAAAAGTAAATAGATACTAACTAAACAGAACTGTAATGCCATATAAGTAAAATAATGTTTTAAAAATAGAGTTCATATTTTAGCTATATTATGGCCAAAAAATTAACATAATTTATTTGATTTTGATTCCAATACATATTTTGTAAAAGAAATTGAAGTTGATTTTTCATGTATATTGAAAAGATTAAAAATTTTAGCTTAAATAGCAACAGTTGACAAAGAATTAGTGGCTTTAACTTAAGGAGAATGGGCTCAAAATTCTAATGAAATAGTGAATATCACTTTGAATGAATAGGATGCATATATTAATAGTATATCTCAATAATAAGATCATAAATTATGGGTAGTATTGAAATTAGAAAACAATTAATTTTAATCTATAGATGTATTAAATTGATTGTATAATAAGCACAGAGATTTAAAAATAGGAGATTTTATTAAATTAGGCAGAGTTACTATGTAATTAGTAGAATATGCATTTATGGCATCTTAAGACGAAGCTACTTAATATTAAGATGAATAGGAAGATGAAGTTTAAACTATAAATGATGTATTCAATTGTAGGATTTGTTTTTCAAGTAGAGCAAGTGAAACAAACCCTTTGATTCGTCCATGTAAATGTGGAGGATCAGTTAAATATATACATTTGGAGTGTCTATAGAAATGGGTAGGAATTCAACTTAAAATAAAATAAGGAGAACATTTTATATAATATCTTTGGAAGAAATTAGATTGTGAGATATGTAAGGCTACTTTTAGAAATACTTATAAATTCCAAGATAAAACATATACAGTTCTTAAATTACCAAAACCAAAATCATCTTATATCACATTTAAGATAACTAATATTGATAAATAAAAAGAAGCTATAATTTATGTAGTTGAGATAGGAGAAAAAACTGAATTGAAAATTGTATTTGATAAATAATTACTATTTTAGGGTCGTATACCTGATTGTGATATTAAATTAAGAGATATATCTGTATCAAGAGTACATGCAACTATTAAATTAATTCCGACTAGTAAACATACTCTTGAAAGTCCTGATTACATAATTAGAATTCAAAATAACAAAAGTAAGTTTGGAACTCTTGTTCTTGCTTAAGATTAAGATTTACTTAAGATTCCTGAAGAAGGAATATAACCTAATATCTTATTTTAAACAGGAAGAGTCTTATTTTAATGCACAAAATAAAAGAAATAAAATTAAAAGACAACCTACAAACATCCTGAAAATATTACTCTTACATTAAATTAAACTAAATAATAATTTGAATAATAAGAAGTTTAAGAATCATTCGTTACTCATGATGAGCTTATGGAAAGTGATATTATCTTAAACAATTCATAACCATTTTAATAATAATAATAATAATAATTTAATATAATCCCTCTCAAAGATGATTGTATTAAAGATGAATTATGATAAATCATTCATTTTTGAATTGATTGAATTAATATATGATTTATATTTTTATTATTATGTGATCAATTATTAATTCTCTTTTTTAAAAATGTCATAAAATGAGATTAATTCTAGAACATTTAATTGAAGATGATGATATAGAATCAATATATTATCATGATTGTTGTTACTTAAATTATTAATCATCATCTTCATCTTGATTTTGTTGTTGATTATCATCCCCTTCATATAATTTTTATTTGTTTTCATTATCTTCTTCATCTTCTTCATCATTTTCTTCAATTTATTCCTCTCTTTCATATTCTTTTTCTGCTTCATCATCATCTACAAATAAACTTGGATCATAAACAAAAAGTGCTCTTCCAGTCATTTGAGCATTACTTCCAGTTTATTTAGCACCTAAGATTAAATAAATAATTTAAACCTTTCTTCTTTGATTCTTCTTATTTTAATTTTTCAGCATCTTATTTTTTTTTTTCAGCTCTATCAATTTTCCATTTTTCAAATACTTCTTTGGTA